GCTTCCAGACACGCACATCCGCCTAGATAATGCGTTTGACCAGATGAATTATTGTTTGTCATTAGTTGCCACGAGAGATTCAGTCAACCAAATAAAGAGGCTTGGTTACAGCCCGACCTTTGGCAAATATTTTCACACAGTAACACCATAGATTGGCTCCTCAGCTAGCACGTGCTATTTGGTTATTAAACATTAGCCCCTAAAAACTAGCCTCTATCATTGCCAAAGCTATCAACGTACGCTTCTTAATGCAACATATTTTTAACACATTTTCTGTTTATCTGAAAGTTTTCTTTTGGTTTCAAATATTAAGCACAGCTGGCAGCTGCTGCTTTGGGATAGAAACTCAGCTGAGCCGCTAGTAAATGTCATGTTAGATTTGTCACAACTTAATTGCCTTAAACGCTTTGACACGGTTCTAAAAAATGGCAACAAAAAAAACCAATCAATAAAGGGGGAAACCTAGAAACTGCAATTAAATATTTATGGGTTAATGCGGCGATGTCGACCGGCGGAATTTTCAGCTTAAAACAAATCAATTAATTAAGACGCACGCAAGGTATTTTACAAATCATACTTAATAAGGTCAAATTGGCAATTGAACAACAAAAACACCAACAAAACAACAGCAAACCCAAACGAGTTGGCTTATAAAAAATAAGAAAAAAACGAGAAAAATACGTATCTTTTATCGAGTTTTATGCAAATTGAGAGCTAAAAAGTTGCCTCAATCTCGGCGGACAAAGAGATCGAAGGCAGTTAAATAACAAATTGATAAATATTAATAAGGCCAGAGGGTTGGCTGTGTGCGTGAATTGCATTTACGCTTCGATTAATCTGCGTATCTAGCAGATACGAAATGTCATCACTGCCAGTTACAGTTAAAATGCAAAAAGCAACTACTTTGGCCATTTGAGCGGACCTCGTATGCAAAGCACATGGGAGGCTTGGAATGTATCCGCCAGATACAAATTGCACTTGCAATCGAGTGTAAACAAAACAAAGGCGCAAGAAACACGCGTGCGCTCGTAACTCGACTCGAGATATGATCGCAGTTGGGTTTTTTATTTTTTTTTTCGTTTCCAACTCAGATTCAGATACGAGTACATGTGTATCTGAAGCGATTGCCGCAATGGCAATCTAATATTTATTAAGACATCGTGTGACTTATGCACTGCGATGCCTTGACTTTAGCCTTTCGGCTGGATGCAACTGCCAGGCCTATCTGATGACTCAAAATGGGTCACCAGATAGTGCCCAGATATCTCAGTCAGACTTTGTTTACCTTTTCAAGCAGCTCGTACATTGTAAAATGCCATGCGGGGCAGATAAGCGGGAAATGTATTAAAATTATTTTATTACACGGACTTACCTCATGATTCACCCGGCCACTTTTAATCAATTACACAAAAATACTTGGCCAATTAGGATGAGTAAGCTGAGCTGATTAGAGGGTGTAAATTTAGAAAAAGGAAGTGCAGTATCTTTAAGTGCCAGCTAAAGTAGAACCCTTGATTAGAATTTGAAGGCCTTTTTTTGTTTGTCCCAATCTGAATACCGAATTATCAAGTAAAGAGTCTTGTTAAGTAGGAATTTATAGGTTGATATGAAACATTAAGCCAAGATAAGAAACTAATTACGCTGCACGTATCTCAAAAAGCTTAAAATGATATTACTTCAAAGGAAGTGTGGCAAAACCTTATGGAGGTTTCCCTGGAAAACGTCATCAAAACAATAAAAACAATAAAATAGAGAAATTGCCAATAATATAAGTTATCTTTGTTGGAATTTCCAGGCCAGTTTGTAGAGTAAGGTAAACCCTCTTATCAGATAAATAAAGAAGTGTGCACCTACTCGTGGCAGGAATTTCTAGCCTGATTTTGTTGTTCACAAGGGGAAAGCCAGAGACTTCACCTTCGCGAACCGGGGCTTTCCACTCCAATAACTTTGGCCAATGGCTCTGTTATGCCCGAAGCCAATTCCATGGCGATCCGCCCAGAAGGCAATTCACAATTAGCAGTAACCTCAATGGCTCGACATGTCTCCTCCACTCGTGTCACTTGCGGCAACCTTGTGCTATGGCTATGGACATGGCTTGTTTTGTATATATAGCAACTATATATATATCGCTTATTGGATAAGTGTATGCCGATCGGTGATCGGCGATCAGTGTTCGTAAGCGACACATAAGCCATAATTAAAAGCGAAAAACAGTTGGCCCCAAATCGAAGCCACCGAAAAAACCAGTAAGCAAAACCAAAAATGCGCGCGCGTTTGCGCACTGCGCACCTGTTTTTCATTTTTTTTTTTCTTCTTCTTGCCGTTCATACACCTCCCCTCCTATATATAGTATACACCCCTTGGGTCCAACATCCTCACCCTCACTGGAAGTTGGCCAGTTTTCATGAAACAATTACGAATACGAGTGCAAAACAAAAACCGATCCAATCCGATCCCAAAAACAAGCTAAGGCGAACGCCAAGTTGGCCAAGCTGTTGGCCAAGTTAAGGCGACTTGAGGGGTCTGCCACTCTACTCCAGCCTATTGCAACGTTCGTCGCCGCTGCTGTTTAGTTGTTGTTTTTATTGGGGCATAAACACGGCCATAGCAAATGCACAGTGGAATTTATGGAATGCATTGATACACTCCCTGTCATAAATCTACAAATTGGTAACTTTTCCATATATATTTATCTATATATTGCATAAATTTATGCCAACTTTGTAAAGAAGTGATAGAAATTAAAGTAATTTTACCTTAAATTTAGCATTTTGAATTGATAGTAATTTGAGCTTAATAGCTTGTAAGTTTGCCAGACTTTCCATTGCCTTAAACTTTGGTTTGCTGACTTTTGCATAAATACAAATCGATTATCTTTCAAGGCTTAGCACTTGGCCAAGTGTTTTTCTTGAATTGCCTTAAATGCACTGCTAACTGCAGGGGCTTGAGAATAATTACATTGTTTTAGGCTTTTCAGCCCACAGTGCTTGGCAAGTGGCCCGGTTTGCCTACGAATGGAGTAGCCTCTCCTTGTCACCCCACTGCCGATCCCCGTTTTGACGTCACCGCCCCCTTTTCATCCTTTTCATTGAATAAGACACTGGAGAAAAAGTTCTCTTAAATGGATAATGCGAATATTCAAGGAATTTTGAAAGAAAAGATACCTTTTTTACCAACTTCTACTTAAAGAAACTTTGACAAAGATAAGAAAATCCCCTTTATTTGACATAAACTTTTCTTTCTCTGTACCGATCGCTTCGATTTCTGCTCGATCGCTCGCCTTTTTAGCTTTGGCGTAAAATTGCAGAGCGATCTTGCTGTTGTTGTTGTTGTTTTTGGTTTTTGCTGCCATTAAGGCAACAACGGCACACACACATACACAAAAACAACTACAAATACAAACAAACATCGGGTAAGAAACCTGTAGAATTTACAATTACAACAACGGCAAACACAGCGCGCGTATCTGCGTCAATGCTTTTTAACGTTTTTTTTTCTTTGTTTTTGTATTTTGTTCGCTTACTGGGCGCATTTGCAATTGAAGCGTGGCTCACACAGATACACAGCAACACACACACACACACACATATGGACAGCCGCTAACCCACTTGATATGGCCATCTCGCTCTCGAGCGAGCGGTTTGAAGTCTGAACGTGTTTTTTATATAACTTTTTTATGCGCATAGTTTTGTTGTTCATAAAACTTGTTGTTTTGTTTTTTATCTTTTTTTTCTGCATATATTTTTTTTTTGGTGGGAATATTTGGCATTTTGTTTTCTTCATGATTGAGGAATTTTCGGTTTGTTTTTTATTTTTATTTTTATTTTTCGTTGGCTTGTCTAGCGATAAGTAGATGCAAGATACAAATGAATAAATGCATTTGGGTATGAGTCATATGGGATTGGATTTGGGAATTGTGGTATTGGGAAATTTCACATTATGGCTAGGTTTCTCAGAAATATGTAATGGCTAAAAACAATTTCAACTTTTTCAATTTCATTTTTGGTTTTGCACACGCCATGCTATTTATTTTAATAGATAAATCATTTTTGAATCTGTTATCTCATTCAATTTAGTGTCAAATTGGAGCTCTCTCAGTGGCGAACGGCCAACGGCCGTCAGACCACAAAGCTGAACACAAAATCCACTCAACTCTCATGACTTCATTTGGTCTTGTGCAATTTACTGATTATCTCATAATCATCTGCTCGTGTGCTTCAATTTGTTACCAACAGACTCTTGCTTTGCGGCCTAATGATGCTTGGAAATTAACCATGGATTGCATAAATACTAATAAAATTAAATAAAATAAAACGAGAAAACCATAGTTGGTAACTAATTTCTGATTTTATTATGCTGCGCCTGCATTTCAATTTTGGCATTTACAACATTTTTCTCGTCGCGTGTGTGTGTGTATGTGTTTGTTTGTTGTTTTCGTGCTGATTTATGCCGATTTTGGCCCAGCCGCATTATTCAGTGAAAGTTGAGCGAGTTCAAAACAAATTCAGCCAAAGGTTGTGTCAATGAACCAAAGGTAGACGAATTCCCTAATTTGGGTTGGCTAATGTCAAGGTATTACCAGGCTAATCTTGTTGTTAACAATCAATTGCCTTATCTATACGGCCTCTCACGTGCCTGCCTATCAAAGTGTTCCAAATATAGCCGATGACCGTCTAGATACAGGTTAATATGGCTAACACGAGTTCTTCTTGTACAGATATATATTTCTTCATAATTAAGGTAATTCAGTTTTGATTTTGATTGACCTATAAAGATCTTAGTTTAAATAAAACGTAGTCTTTAACTAAATTTGATTTGTAAAACTCAAATGGAATCGAAGATTTTTATAACTGTGCTTTAGAAAAGTCAAGATACAATAGTTCCTTATCGAATCATAAAGATATCGCTCAATGCAGGGTAAACACTATTCTCAGAATATTCGTATTGGGAAAGTTTGAGTTGTAAGTAAAAGGCTGAATGGGGTTTATTTTATTGCTCACCTGGCGATGTTGATGATCGTTGTTGCAACAGGTAGATGTTTTTCTGGTCTGGCGATAAGAAAGAGTTTGGGCAATGGCAATATCGAAATACCAAATACCAAAGGCAATTAGTCGTTCACTTTCGATTTGATCGCCCGATAAGGGATAACTCCGGTGTTAGCACGGGTAAACAAAGAACAAATACACTTATTTTCTGTTTGCGTTTCAAAACAAAACCATTGAAAATCCGTGGACCTCTTTTTGATTTCGTTTATTTTGTTTTTCCCTATTTTTATTTCGTTGTATTTGTTTTTACGTTTTATGTGTTTGTCCCGCTTGCTCTTTTGGGGCGCCTTTCTCACTCTTGTCCGCTTTAACCGGTTTTTTTGGTTTATGTTTATGCTGCTGCTGCTGCTAGTGCTGTCGTTGTTGTTGTTTTTTCCTTGCTCTTGGCTTGGTTAAACTGAAAATATGCTGCAATTGTAACTAGCAAATTGTCGAATGTTTCTAGCAGCCACTTGTCTTAATACGAAATTAAAACGAAAACCTTAAAACACCCGCGTTTTAGGTAAACAAAGCGAAACAAAAAAACTAAATAAAACACACACGCATGCGCAGAACGAAGCGCAGGAATGTTGGCGAACAGGTGCTAACTATCTTTGGTTGCATCCCCAAAAATACACTGTTTATTTTGTTTTGAATTGTATCTCTGCTACTTTTCCGCTTAACGACTTGAGTTTTCTTTGGCTTGACGAGCGCTTTCCGCGCGGCGATTCGTTTAATTCGAGCGTGTTGTTTGCGATTGAACACCTGTTGCGCGTTCGATTTTCATAAAACTAACTGTGTGACCGTTGGTTGACTGGTGAAATATACCACTCAATAAGTTACAATGACTGATCTGGCAGCACTGGCGCGAGAACACTAATTTAAATCTTTTGCAACACTAATTAGTTACTTAATAGTGGGACTCCACTGGCAAATGGCAATTTAAATGTCAGCCAACTCAATTGTAAGTTGTACTTAGAATTCAATTATTGCAGCCTTTTGATATTACCTTCAGTCTTTCAGTATAAGTTAGTATTTTAAATGTTCATGATGCCAGTAAAATAGTTCAGCACTGACTGCACTGGTTAGTCCCCAACTATCGATAGGCACTTACCGGTCGACAATCGCAGCCGTGCGATAATAAAAACAGCAACAACAGTGACGACATTGCTATTTTTGTTTTGAGTTTCACCACTGCTGGAAAGAATGTCGGACCTCGCTTACCTAGACACATTGGATAACAAAAAGCTTCTGGCCAAGTGCCTGGAGTTAGGCTTGCCCGGAGTTCCGGTGACGAACAGCACTCGCAGCGTCATCATTCGCCGGCTGAAGTCTGAAATCTCAGGGGTTCCGCTGAACAAAAGCAAATCTGCAAGTAAGAAACCAACGCCTAGACGTGAAACCGTTCACGGCAGCCAGGTGGCGGAACCAGTACGCCGTTTGGAAGGAAGAAGTCCAGGTCGCAGCAATGGAGGCAGGATAAGTGAGCAGGGTCGTCGCACCATCGCCTATGGTCTGGACAATACTTCGATCTCCGGGAGATCTGTCCAGACCACGACTACGGTCTCAGATGTGGGTTCCCAGTCGGAGGACGATGACTATAGCATGGTAGATTCACCGCGTGTAAGGTACTCCCAGGTCCAACAGCCCAGGCGCTCTGTTTCCCTAACAAAATCCGGGGTTCTGACCACATCCTACACTCGCGAGTTGGATGAGCCGCAGTACGAACAAGATGACTTACCTAACAGCTATACCTACAACAGACCACAAGTGCCGGCCGCTTCCCTTCATACACTTCCCACCTATGAACCACGTGTCGAACCCTCGACCTATAGACGCACAGATTTGGGTTTCTCACGCCCACTGCTAACCCAAACCAATCTGAACTCAACCAGCTATCAAGCGCCATCTGGATTCAACCCACCACTCTCGCCCGTTTCGCCAAGAAACACATTCAGCGGCTCGGCAAAACCCTTTGGTGGTCCAACACCAGCTCCTGTACGTCAGCGCCAGAATGTGGCAGCCAGTGGACACAATCTGGCACGTGGTCGCCTGCTCCAACCGACCACCGCAGTGAACACTCTTTATCCACAGTTGAATCAGTTTTACGACAACGCAGGTGAACCGATGGACACGGACAGTGAGTCTGAGGTGGATGAGAGTCCAATTAGAAGCAGTCATTTCACAACCAATCGCTCCTCGCCGCTGACCAGACCTCAAGTCAGGAAACCTCTGGTAAGAGAGCAGGATGAGGTGTCGCCAATGTCGCAGTTCCGTGCGCTGCTTGCATCGCTTGACCAGAAATATAATCTCAAGTACTACTTTATACTAGTAGTGACAGTGACGCTGGCTACCATGGTGTATGTGATTATGACGCCCAACGTTTAAGAAGCCTTCATCGCATGCTAATGCGTTCGCCTTTAAATTTGGTTTTGGTTACTATTCATATTTCAATACCAGGCTTCAGATTTTGTTCAATAAAGAGTTTTCACCTTAAGACTATTTAAAATTCAAACATGTTCGAAGCTAACTGTTCAGTTCAAATTTCCAAGTCTTTAATTGCTTGTTTTCTCATTATTTCTTTTTATACATAATTAGAAAAATGTACTACATTATAATTATGGTATTAAATAAACTAATTAAATGTAAGTGCTCAGTGTTGTTAGTTGCGATTTGTGTGTGTGGTACTTTCTGACAACGGACCAAGGGAGTTGTATGCTTTATGCTACTATTTACACGCCATTTAAATGAACAAAACAAACAGTGTAAAATCGTCGAAGGATATCGGGGATAGTGGTTAGGACATCACAAAGCAAATGGCTGCTGACGGCACTGGCTGACTAATTGAAGTGGAACTTGAACTGGAACGGCGACCCATGCTGGAAGTGTCCGAACGGATGTTCGCCGTGGAAGCCACCACGCTGATTGCCCTCGGGATCTAGGGGATCCTCTCCATTGTCGAACTGCCGTCGTTTCTCGGGATCGGTAAGAACTTCCTTGGCGGCGGCGATGTCGATGAACTTCTTTTCGGCCACTTTCTTTTCTTCGTCCCGGAAGTTATCCGGATGCCACTTTTGCGCTGCCTTTCTGTACGCTTTCACAATCTCCTGTTTGTTGGCGCTTCGCTTAACGCCTAATATCTTATAGTAATCCCTACGCTCTGACTGCTTTTGCAGCTTTTTGCGCGCTGAATGCCTTCTTTTGCGCGGGAGTTGTTCTCATCCAGGTCGAGTGCCGCTTGGTAGGAGTGTATGGCATCGTCGTACATCTCGGTACCCAGCAGCGCCTCTGCCCGATCACAGTAAACTTGGGCTTCCTTCATAATATCCAGGGCGTCTTTGCACTGCTGCAGGGCTTTACCAAACTGCTCGTCGCCCGTGTAGCAATTACAGAGCACTTTGTGACCCTCATACCGAATCATCGTCTCCTCCGGTTCGTGACGAAGCACCGCCTCTCCGGCGGAAATACATTCAGCAAACTGCTTCTCCTCGCGCGCTTGCTCTGCGTTTACCAGCTGCTTTTCAACCTTTCTGAGTTTCTTGTAGAAAGGGAAGCAGAGCTTATGCTCAGGATCAAACTTCAGGCACTCACGGATCTCCTTCAAGGCATTCGTAGCATGACCAATGGCGTATAGCAGCTGGGCGATTTTGTAGTGACCCTCAGTACTGTCCTGTGTGAGACGGTTCACCTGTCGTAAATCGGCTATGGCGGACAGTGGATCGTTAACTTCAATGTAGGCATCTGAACGAGCCTGTCGGAAAGGCACCGCCCACGGCGAGATTTCCAGCAGCTGTGTGATCATGGATATAGCATTTTGGTGGTCACTATTCTGAATTAACTGCTGCACAAGAAGCCATTGCTCTTGCGCAGGGGCCAAACGAGAGTAGTGCTCCAGCACCAGACCGTTGTTGGGTTCTTCTCGAAGTACTTGCTCAAAGTCCACGATTGCTTGTTTATACTCTCCGCTTTTCATGTGAACTACACCGCGCTGAATGCGAGCGGCTGTAAAATCTGGTTTCAACTCCAGGACCCTACTGAAGTCCTGGACGGCAAAACGCGTTTTGCCCAGCGCCAAATATACAGTACCGCGCTTAAATAGCGTCAGATAGTTATTGGCATCACCCTCTGTGGAAAATGTTTGAGTTAAATATAGGAAAACGGTAGAGAAAGTATAGGAATACCATTGCAACTAATATATCATCCTGATTTAGACAGAAACGTTTTAAATTGATATTAAATCCTTGAAATAGATCACTGTACTATCGTTTAAGATAATAGGTTAAATTTAGATCATATTTTTGTTTCATATATCGAATTAACTATCTTGTCGGCCTTGACAATGACATAAAGTTGGTTAAGTTACCAAATTAGACTACAGTTTGAGAAAAAATTAAATATGCGCAAAAAAAAGCAAAATTCATCAATTATATATTCATATTCATAGCTATTTTTGATAGCCTTTTTAAGTACGATTTATAAATTTAATAAAAATAGCACACAGCTGGTATGGTAATTCACAAATGAACTTAACAACAGTATTCCAAGTCTTTCTTGTTTACAAGGCATTTATAATTACCAACAGCCGCATGGTAGTGTGTTAGTGCATCCGACAGCTGTCCCCGGGCAAGGAATTCCTTTCCCAGCTCTAGATGGTTCTCAATATCCGCTGGACTCGCCGACGACTCGGCTCCTATACGAAAAACAATGACGTGTATTTAGGTATGCTTTAGAGATAAGGATTGAAAGTACTTACCCTCCAGGAACAGCTCCAGAAGAAGGAGTACAAGACAGGCGGTTAGTTTCTTCTCCCCGCCGCCAATCATGAGAAGGTCGCTCAATGGCAAGGCCATGATGATGGCTACGTGTACTTGGATGATGGGCCCACAAAACCTGTGTGGGCGTGATTTGGAGTTGTTTTAATATCGACACGAACGTCAAATCTGCTTGGCGTGGCAGCTGCTAATCTCTACAGTTGCACCCCGCCCCCTCTTCAGCTAGCGGCCTTCTTCTCTCGGCTATTATAGATTTTGCGTCCGTTTTTGGTCAACTTTCGGAACCGTCTGCGATTTTTATTCGGTTATTCCCGGCTTGGTGAATTGATTGCTTGGATTTTCTAAATGATACGAATCAAGTAGGCAGTCTCTGTTGACATTGCTGCCACTTCCAATTCGGAATCGCTGCCGTTGAGAACTGAACTTTTCGCTTATAAATATTATAAACTAAAAACTGACGTGTTCACGTTCCGTAGGGATGGGCGACTGTTAGCCGCAGGTGATACTAGTCACGAATACTTTAAGCAATCACGAGTCACAAGTATCGTATGTGGGTGGTGATAGCTATTGACTATTTTATAGCTAGAATTGAAATTTTTTTGTAAAACTTATGTGATTGAAGCTGTCTGAAAAAAACATTTAATATTAAATCAAAACATAGAAAGCTATTGTATTGTCCTATTTTTCAAAATTTTAAATTTCTTGGCTAATGAACCAAAAAATTGGTACTTCACAGCATTTTTCCAAGTCCATTCGATAGGCTTGTAATCGATATTTTTATAAGAAAAAACGTGATTGAAGTGTCGCCCAATTCAAAATTACGACTTATTCAGCTTTGGTCAAATGAATGTTTACTTGGAACATGAATTTGGTAAATATATCTGCAACTACGTATCTTAAAATTTATAGTATATTAATATTTTAAATATTTTTATACATTTTCTGTAATTATTGTAAATACTTCTCGGTTTCATCTGGAAATAAATGCATTTCTTGAGCATTAAAAGTTTGCCATTAAGCTTAAATTGCTCTTATAACATGTTTTTTGTTCACATTGCTTATTGCTTATCGCTAAATGGTCAAGTGGATATAAGTGCTTTTAGTTTTTGAGGCTTTCTGTGAGATAAATATGAATCAGAGATAGAAAGAGATATGGAGCCCAAGCGCCTTAAGGACTGATAGAAGAAATGGACAGAGTTATATGGGATATAGAGTTAGATTTCGCCTACAGAGTATTTACTAAATAAAGCTCTAAGCACATTAACGATCCTAAGATCGCTGTGTGCATGTGGTCTAGTAATTGGATGGAGGGTATGTATGGTCTATGTAGGCTTGAGTTCAGAGAGCTACGCTCCCAATGCATTACAGTTTCTGTGTTTGTGCTTAGCTATAACAGAAATCTTTGCTGTTCCACTTGGTTAGGAAATCACAATGTTGATCAGATCATCCAGAGGGTGGTCCGCGGAGTGCGGCTGAGAGGCGTGTGTCTTTTGCATGTGAGCTAGAAGTGATTTTGATCTGTATAGAAAGCGCCTTATGAATGATTTGCCATACATACTTTTAAGCTTAATGTGCGTGACAAATCTTTCTTGACAGAGATCGCATTTATAGTAGGTTTTGCCAGTGTGAACTCGTTGATGCAGCCGCAATGACTTCTCAAACAGATAGGCTCGACCGCAAACATTACACTTGAAGTTCTTCTCCAATACTAAAAATGATGTGAGTTTAGTATCAAAGAAAATATTATTTATATGAAGTCCACTTACCCTCATGACTCAACCGGTGCTGGGTAAGCACATACTTTAGCGCGAAGGCCTTACCACAAACATCGCATACATTAGGCTTTTCCTTCTCATGCGTTTTGATATGCCACTTCATGTCTTGGGCCCGCTTGAACCTTTTCGAGCAGTGCGGACAGGCATGTGGGCGGTCCTTCTCCGAGTGAACTGCAGCATGTCGCTCCAGAGCCGACTTCATGTTGAACCTCTGCGTGCAGCTGCCACATTGAAAGAGTCCGGAGTACTGACGTTCGCGCTTCTGCTGTAACACCCGTTTATTGTTGGCGATCACCGGAGCTCCAGGTCGCTGCAGGTGCTCCACGGACATGTGGTGTATTAGATCCGATTCACTGGTAAAGGGCTGACGGCACAACATGCACTCGCTCCGCTCTATTGCAGTTAAATTCTCCCTATGCCGCTCCAACATATGAATCCGCTTCTCCGCATAGGATGCGAAAACTGTGAAAACAAATAAGCAAGGATTACCACTTGGTCGATATAGGGTTTAAGTTGGTGGCTAGTCGAAGGGTGTCATGAAGTAGAAAGATATGCACTCGGAAATTTATCGTCCTGAAATTGGAACGTTGGGTTGAAAATTGAAATATATTTTTTAATGACGATGTTTACTTTAACAATTTTAAATATTAACTGTTTGATAAATAATAAAAAAATTTGTTTCATAATTTCAGGACGATCATTTAGGTAATTGCTGTCATGCTGTTCTCCAGGCTTTCGTACGGTGGAAGGATTTGGTTATGCATTGTTTGGTTGGTTTGATGGGTTAAAACGCTAATCAAGTGGCTAAGAGGAAATCAAAGTACAAAACATTTGCTTTTCGTTAATCGCATGCTATGGCTAAAAAGGTATTCAAAAAGAGCTGGTTTAGCCATTATGATTACCGTTGCTTTTGGCTTGACTAACACACTATAAGAGGCGGCAGAAGCAGCCGGGCTTGGCTCAGTTTCTATGGTCTTAAAGCGCATGTTGGTTGTGAGAATGTTGATATATGATGCGACAGATTGATATATGATATATTAATGCTTATGTTTGTGAATAATTTAAGTTGGAGGATCTTAAAACACCCCTTTCGGAGGTGCAGAAGATCCCGTGTAGGTGTCTCCGAGCCAGAGGATCATCCAGCAGGCTCATCTTGACTTACCCTCCGAGCAGTTGGCACATTTGTAGGGCTTCTCTCCGCCGTGTTGTCTATAAATGTGCCAGCGAAGAGTTTTCAGGTGAATAAAGGCTGGCGGATATAATAAAAGGTTATCTACAATTAGTTTTAGTTACAAAATGATATTCTAGAGTATGATATCACAGCCTGATCTAGATGCTTACTATGTGTAACATGTCGTATGCGCTATATTAAAATCAATACGCTTTTAAACTTTGATGAATAATTTGGAATGACTTGTTGACAAATTTTGGAAGTGACTGTTGGGTTGTTCTTACTCTTTCCACAGAAGCCGCAGTGTTCGCTCTTCCTGGAGCTAGTTCCCGAGTGGGTGGCCTCATGACACATAAGGTGTCGTTGGCTGATGAAGAGTCGCTCGCATCCAACGTGCCGACACTTGAACTGGCGTTCCGGATTGTGCCATTTCATGTGGTAGTTCAGACTCTTGCGGGTGTAGAAGCGCTTCTCACACAATGCGCACTCGAAATCCGTCTCCGAATGGTACTTCTCCACATGGTGGCGCAGATTATGCCGATCGCTATACTTCTTGCCACACACCTCGCAGGCATGTTGCTTTTCCACATGGCTGTTTTTCAGATGCACTGTCCTCGAGGCGGCATCCTGGAAGCATGCCTCACACTCCGGACAATTGTACGGCTGCTCCGGATCGTGGCTGGTGTTGATGTGCTCCAGTAAAAGTTGCTGCAGCTGGTAGCTCTCCTGCGGTCGCAGGCAAAACTTGCAGGCATAGCTAATGGTTAGGTCCTGAGAGGCCAAATCCTCCGGTAATTGCTCCTCCTCCCCGTTCTCCTCGTCGATGTCTACGGCATCCACAAAAATCTGTATGGTTTCACTGGCAGTGTTTGGTTGTTGTGTTTCGACTGAAACCGTCGTTGTTGGTTTGGATGTTTCTGTTCCCTGATTCTCCTCTGCTTGGTCCAATTCCTCCTGGTGCTCGACGTCTAGGCTACTGGCATCGATCTTATCGTAAATGTTCGACAGCTTCAACTGTGCCTCTTGGCAGGCCACTCGGAATGCATTTATCGAACAGAACTTGGTGAAGCAGTCGCTGCATATCTTCTGAGGCAACCCATCATTGGGAGAGATCTGAAATTATTTATATTCACACGGTGTATTTATATCATTTTTAAGATAGCTAGAAATATTAAATAGTATCCTTATTCTAGGCTCTTAATGAAGTTATAATTTATCAAGGGCTATCTCCTTGGCAGGTATCTTTAAAGAGACTTTAATATCATTCGCTTAGCTTTTGTAATAAGGGATTTCCTAGGAAAACTTCAAATTGACTATTTCCCAAAAGCTTTAGGCATAACATGAAAATTACCAGCATGTGCAGCTTTATTTTACGAAACCTCTGCGCAATTTGATGTCCACACACAAACTTTCACTTTCGAAAAGTTGAAGTTTTTAAAAAGACAAATACAAGCCAACAATCTCTACACACACTAAAAAGTTAGGGAACGTGTTATCCTACATATGTATGTACATATGTATCAACAAAATATATTTTCAGAAACAATTACATATGAAAAATTTTAATAAGGCCCTTTAAAAACATTTTTTAAAGGTACATTGAGGTATCTCATAATAATCCTTGATCTTGTTTTTCAGTGCACTCACCTTTAGATTCCAGTTGACGAATTGCAGGCGAATTTGGGCCATTTCGCTAGGCCAGCAGTTGGGATGATGGAGGTCCAGGAAGTGGCTGTTGTTGCTGCCATTCTCGAAATCGCACACAAACATGGAAATCGCACAGGTGCGACACGTTTCCATGGCGGTAGCCGCAAACAAAGTGGCCAGCGAAAAATGCGGCAGTGCATCAACAATGGCAACATGCAACTGCAACGCCCAAATTGGGTTCGCCAGCCATTCATGTGGCGTAATTATGCAACTTTATGAATTACGTTAGCTGTTTGGTTGTGCCGATTCGAAAACCACAGCCAAATCTGCATCCACATCCCAAAACGCAGTGGCTCGAAAGCATCTGTACGGTGTGTTTTGAATATTTTCACAACAAGTATTTTTACAACACGTTTCTAGGATTGGATGCTGTGACTCGAGGACTGGGGACTGGGGCACTCGGAAAAGTTTTGTCTGTATCCGGGTGACGACCTCTGCTCCTTTCGTTCCCTTGGCCCGCCCTTCTGCGCCTAGCCAACAATCCAATTGTCCGTGTTCGCCATCCGACGAAGTTCGAGCTTCCGCGTGAACTGACCTTAGCCGAGGAACAATCTTTTGGAACTTGCAGTACCGAGAGATTTTGATGGTCCCAGTCCCACTGTTTAACCCAGTCAAACAGCTGGCTTTGTTTGTGTACTTGCGCAAAAGCACCGATGGCAGGCAATAATCAAAGCTCGCGTGCGAAAACTGCATGCCCATGGTAGCACAGTGGGGGAAATTAAGCTCCAATCACTTTGTTTATCAAACTTCCCATGGCCCACTTCAACGTAACCCACTGTTGTAAAAAGCTCGCTCTCCCACACTCTCAATTCTACTGCCGCTCCTGTGCTCGTCAAAGCTTCTCTCCGAAAAACTTTAAAGTACGGATATTGTTTACAATGCGGTAGTTATTAAAAAAACTAAATGAACTGATAATATAAATATTACATAAAAAAAAGATGGTAGAAAAAGTTTAAAAGTTTAAATTAGAGATACTAACAATAATTAAAATGAAAATATATAGAATACATAGAAAAAAAAACAAATTTGATATTTTTAATTTATTTATGAAACCTTCTTTCTGCTGCTAAAACCTTTAAATGTTTATAATTAAATTATAACAACGATAAAATTCAATGATATGTAGGATAGAATTTGCCGAAAGTATAAATATGTTTTCCATTTTCCTCAAATTCTTGTAAATTTTACAAAAAATAAGAAATATATTTACTTATCTCCCAATGCAAACGAACAACACATTTAAATTTAGACCTAGGGCTACCTGTATGTACAGTTTGGGAAAAATGTTCTATATACTAACTATAAATTAGCCTAGACCTAGTACCGTCCCTAACTGGGAGGAAGGATGCCTAATGATCGCAAACATAACGTGGCCGCGTTTAGCTTAGCCTCCTTTTTGTTGTTGCATCCTCGATCAGGAGTGTAGGTTTGCCCGTTGATCTCAACAGAGAAAAGGAAGGAGCGGTTGTGAGCGGGACCGGTGTCCTGACGTAGCTTGTACTGTGGTGGCGTCCATTTGTTCTTTGAGGTCAGTTCGTTGAGCACACACACAGGATGCTTATCCTGGGTGATCAGTGGGATTGCCGTACCTGGTCCCGGTCCAGGTACCACACCTGAGCCAGCAAGTCCCCCACCACCGACTGGGCCGGTTGCGATCTTGTTCCTTCTTTGGGCGGCCGATTGACGCGATGGCAGCGGCTTCAGGTCCTCGCGCGACACCAGGCCGCGCTTGTCCAGTTTCACGTCGAGTAGGAGGGGCTGCAGAGATCCGGTTTTACATCTGCCCAATCCCTCGCCCGGTTTCCAGCCCATCTTCTGCAGCAATGTCATTCCCATTCCACCAGTCACCGGTTTGGTGGAGGTCATTTGGTCTTTGCGCACCCATAACTGGGGCCCACTGTTCAGCTCGTGGGCTTTCATCACCTGTGCACCTGTGCTTCCTGTAAACTGGCCAGGCAGATGCTTAGAGTTGGCCCACGTCGACATGTTGCGTTGGGCATTGTACATCATTGACAAAGCCTCAGAATCAGCCGGATTGTCCTATATTAAAAAATATATATTCACACATCATCGAAAAATAAAAATGTAAACATACCTGCAGGCGGCGTATGGCACTAAGACGCTGCGTGATTATGGTGGAGACGTCCATGGAGGGCGGCGTCACATTCTGAAAAATGGAAGTACCTTGCGCCGGCGACATTGGCGATGTTGATGGGATGGGCACCTCGGGAACGAAAGGAGCGACAGCCAACGGAGGAGCGGGGTCTTTCAATGCGGACAGCGGGACGGATTGAGGAACAGTGTGAGATGCTGTTGCAGCTGGGACTAGGGACACTCCATCTACTGACTTAAAAGCGGGCTCCTGCTGCACCTGCAAAGGCATCGACTTGGCGAAGACGTTCTTCGGAATTTCCTTGAACATATTGGTAGCCTGTTTAGCGGGCGGCAGGGAGGGCAGCGGTACCAGGGAATCCTTTCGTTCCACCGGTACCCAAACCTCATTATTACGATGAGTTTGTCCTGAGGATACCGGGAACTGCATGGTTATGGCTTTCGTTTGGTCGTCGTGGCGGGGTGTTGCTGGAACCAGTGCCGTCGAATTCCGTATGTGCATCACAATAGGCTCCCGTTCCTTTAACTGAAAGGGATGATGAAAGGCCTTTGCATTGCCATTTTTGTCTACATCGGAATCCTCTTCGGAACTCAAATCAGATAATCCGTCACCGTTGGATATCTTCTTGCAAAAGTCGGTCAGATCCTGAACAGTTCGTCCACCATAGCGCATTTTGACTAGTACCTTGTCCTTTATCTCCGGCGTCATGTTGGCCACACCCGGAAGGTTTCCTCGCTTGAACATGTTTATGGCATTCTTTCTCGCAATCTCAAGCAGGCGCTTCTTATCGATTCCGAGCTCTCTAGATCGCGATCTGGTCCTTCGACTCCTTCTGGAGTTAGATTCACGTGTGTTTCGCTTGGGTGACACTTTGTGCTCATCCTTACCATCGAAAAAGCTATTGTGCGGCCTTCGGTGACCATTGGAAGCCTTTTCTCGAAGATATGACTCCTCGTCGGAGAGCGAGACATCGGAGAGGTCGTGTGCCGGTCGTGACTTGGTCTTAGCGGCTTCAGATCCTCTTAAGCGATCCGCTTCCCGGTGTCCGTTGTAGAAGCTGTTGTGGGAACGGTCTCGCTCCTTATCACGTTCTTTTTCCCGCTCCCTTTCACGTTCACGATCACGCTCCTTATCCTTTTCTAGCCGTTCCCGCTTTCCTTGGTAGGATTCCGCCTGGTTAACAGCCTCCGCAGAGCGTCGTTTTCTGCATTCAGACTTGTCTTTCTCTTTCTCTACGGGAACAGGTTGCACCCCAGCCTTCTCCTTAGATTTTTCCCTATCCCTGTCCCGATCCTTCTCCTTATCTTTTACTTTACCATCTTTGTGTTTGTGCTTGTGCTTCTTGCGCTTATGCTTGTGCTTGGCTTCCCCCTCCGATTCGCTGCATTCTCCATCTGATTTTGTCGACTTCTTTTTTTTGGCCTTCTTTTCCTTTTTTTCCTTTTTGACCTTCTTTTTTTTTAAGAGATTCTTATCATTTAGCAGTTTTTCTGGAGGAGCGGCGTTAAACACGCCAAATAGCTCGGCTAGGATCTCGTTCGAAGACTTCACCGGCTCAATGGCTTTCTTTTCGTCTTCCTCTGAAGAGCTCTCGCTATCCTCAGTTTCATCGCCCTGTTCTTTGCTGTTGCTCTTCTGCTGCAGAGCTAACGTTTCGGCCTTGATTTTGGCATTTAGTGCCCGTAGTTTAGCCTCAACTTCTGCGTCTGGTCGCTCGCTCTTTACCTTAAATGGCAGCACTTCGGCTAAGGCAAATTGCTCCTGGTCCGGGGGATTCGGCTTAAGGTCCGCAAGTTGCGGCTGCTCCACGCTTGCTACTTTCTCTGTGTTCTCCGTCATAGCTCGTTCGATGGATGTGGCCCGTCCTAGTATCCATACATGATCCTGGAAAAGCGCCACACATCAGAAAAAGGACTACTTTTATGTTTTAAATGTTTTTTGCACGCCTGGTAGAAGGGTTTCAATAATAGTAATGGCACTTTCGATAGTATTTTTAATTCGCAAGAGTAAAGTAATCGATATTTTACTAGAGGTGAGGAATAAAGCTGACAATAAAACTGGCTAAAACAAATTAAGAGATTAAGATATTTTTAAACATATCTCAAAAAGTATATTTTTCTTTTAGTGTATCTAATGACAACTACAACTTCAACAGCCTTTGTGTTATTGAACTTTCAATAAAAATATATTTTTACATTGAAAATAACAAGCGCAAATCGAATGAAACCAGTCGTTGGCGATAGCCGCACCAATCGACCCTGCCTATAAGTGGGCAGTCCCGATTTCCGAAACGCAGCCAACTTCACTCACGTCGCTGTCACCGAATTTCAATTTTTTAAAAAAAAAAAAGTAGAAATTGATCACTTTTAAAAGGCGTAGAAAGTGTCTGTGTCGTGGGAGAAACGCAATTTTCCAACTGCAAACGTAAGTACCATATGCATAGATTTATGAAGAAGACAATTTTGGGCAATTGCGATGCTAATTTCCGTGTATTTTTACGCCATTTATTTTTTCATCGTCTGCGCCATCGTGCTGCTCTGCAACTGTGTTGGTCGATTGTACGTTATTTTTTCTTTGGCGATGCGTTGGTGTGTGTGCGATTAAATTTTCCCCTTGGCTGGTGTGCAATTGAAACAAATTGTTAATTGTTCAACAAAATTCCCAGGAGGCGTACGTCGCCATCTCCGCACATAATTAATTTTTATCTTACGCATTTTAAGCCAGCCGAACGCAATAGCGGTCCTTTGTTGAAGCGGCAAAGAGAATACGAAAAACAGACAGAAAATGACGTCTCTGGAGCAGAATCGTTTACAAAACTTTAAAAATAAAGGGAAAGATCAGGATGTAAGTTGGTTAACCGATATGCATACAACTTTGGGTTTACTATTAATAAATTTGTAAATATGTAGGAAATGCGACGACGACGCAATGAAGTTACCGTGGAGCTACGAAAGAACAAGCGCGAAGAGACCATCCTCAAGAGGAGGAATGTGCCCAATCTGGACTCGAACACAGACGAGGACGAGCAGCTGCCCATGTCTATCAACCTAAAGAAGCTGGCCCAGGCAGCCGCTGATGACAGCAAGCCGGAGCAGCAACTGGCCGCTGTACAGGCTGCCCGCAAGCTGCTATCATCGGACAAGAATCCACCCATCAACGACTTAATCCACAGCGACATTCTGCCCATTTTGGTGGAGTGCCTTAAACAACACAATCACACAATGCTTCAGTTCGAGGCTGCCTGGGCCCTGACCAACATTGCGTCCGGAACTCCGGACCAGACCAATCAGGTTGGTTTAATCTAACATCTTTGCATTCCCTTTGTTTTAACGTTAAACCTTTCTAGGTTGTTGCCGCCGGTGCCGTGCCGCTCTTCCTTCAACTTCTCAACTCGCCTGCTCCCAATGTCTGCGAACAAGCCGTTTGGGCTTTGGGCAACATCATCGGCGATGGTCCTGTGCTCCGTGACTTCGTCATTAAGCACGGTGTGGTGCAGCCACTTCTGTCGTTCATCAAACCCGACATCCCCATCTCATTCTTGCGTAATGTGACCTGGGTGATTGTGAATTTGTGCCGCAACAAGGATCCGCCGCCACCGGCAGCCACCATCCTTGAGATCCTGCCTGCACTCAATGTGCTAATCCATCACACTGACACGAACATCCTGGTAGACACGGTCTGGGCCATTAGCTATCTGACTGATGGCGGTAACGAGCAGATCCAAATGGTCATCGAGAGCGGAGTGGTGCCCAAGCTGATACCGCTGCTCGGTAACAATGAGGTCAAGGTGCAGACCGCTGCGCTGCGAGCTGTAGGCAATATTGTGACCGGCTCGGATGAGCAAACACAGGTTGTGCTCAACTACGATGCGCTCTCCTACTTCCCGGCCCTCCTCTCTCATCCCAAGGAGAAGATCCGCAAGGAGGCAGTCTGGTTCCTTTCAAACATTACCGCTGGAAATCAGTCGCAGGTACAGGCCGTTATAAACGTAGGCCTCCTACCGAAAATCATCGAAAACCTGAGCAAAGGCGAGTTCCAGACACAGAAGGAGGCCGCATGGGCCATCAGCAATCTAACCATCAGTGGTAACAGGGAACAGGTCTTCACCCTAATTAAGGAGGGCGTCATTCCGCCATTCTGTGACCTCCTTTCGTGCCAGGATACGCAAGTTATCAATGTAAGTTGGGGTTAGGGCTTACGAACAAATGTCCTATTGTAAGTTTCTTATGTCGGATCTTAACACTAAATTATTGTTTCTTCTCTCAGGTTGTTCTTGATGGCCTAAATAACATGCTCAAAGTGGCCGATTCTCACGTTGAGACGGTGGCTAACTTTATTGAGGAGTGCGAGGGTCTGGCCAAGATCGAGCGATTGCAGAGCCACGAAAACGTTGAAATTTACAAATTAGCTTATGAAATCATCGATCAATACTTTACGGATGAGGTGAGCTAAATATTATCATTAACAGAACCGATTTTGAAACATCTTTGAATCCTTACAGGGCGAACAAGCTACTATGGCACCAAGTTCAGACGGTACACAATATACCTTCGACCCGAATGCCGATAAACTACCAATGAATTCATTCAACTTTTAATGATCCAATCCGGAGGCAGCCGCAGTAGCAGTAAAGTGAAAACCAAACACGAGAAAAAAACATAATTTGGCGTTTATCCGTACACAAACCCTTGTGTATAACAACCCGACGAGCCGCCAACCAATTCACATAATAATAGCATTATAATTTGTTCACCACACAGCAGCAAGTAGTAGCAGCCGGGTTCTTTTTAGGAACGAGGATAGGAACTCGGGAGGATACACATCGGAAAAACCGCTGCAGCCGTTTTAGCTTCTCTCAATTCTGTGTTATCAAAATTACAAAATCCAGACATACATACACTTGTGGGTGTGTGGCTGTGCAATGCAAGGACTAATCCGTTTCGAGTGACTGCTATAGATCACCCAAAATATATACACACACAGGAATGAAACAAAAATTTCAAAAACAATGTAGGACTATTTGATTTATATGGAATTATTTAAATATGTACGCTTCTGATTTGTAATTGAAATTACATATGTATACATTTCTAACATGAAAACGATAAAAGCAAAAGGCCACTCATGGTTTTGTTTCCAGGCAGATAAGTTAAGTGGAAAACTATAAGCACAAGTGTGTCTAGTCGTTTCGCGTTTCAACGCCAGGCATTGAAAGTGTCGGCCGATTTGCTGTTAATTAGCATTTATTTAAGCTAGTGCGTCACTTGAGCACGTTTCTCATTAATGCGCAATTGCCGTCTGTCTTTTGTAGGGCAGCTAAAAAAACAGTTCTCGCATGGAAACAGATCAAGTAAATATTTATAAACAATCAGATCACCCACACAATTGGTATTATAGGAGAAGGGACTGGGCGTTTCCATCGATTGGTGTTTTTTTTTTAAATAATGACTCATCTGCCAAACGACCGTTTTGCTTAAAACCAGGTGAGAATGAAAGTCAATAGTCAAACCATTTTAAAATCAGCTTATTTAGTTAATATGTGCTCAATTAAATCATACAAAAATACTCTGTAGATATATGAATAAATATTTTTTATTAATTTAAATGTAGCAATTTTTTTTAATTTTAAGTCTAAGGACTTCCCCTGGCGGACGTCTTTGGAACTAATTAAATTATTTACATGTTGCTTACATACCATCTACATGGATAATTTGACAGTAAATTAGAATAATATCATATAAAATGTTATTCTAATCTAACCGGATTAAGTTTTTTGAGAAAATATTATTTTTACTTTCGTTTTGTTTAATTAGTTTGTCTACGCTACATGGAAAATCAACGCTTTCTAACACTTAAAATAGAGACGGCCTAATCGTCAACTATCTTTACGTCAGCTGTAGTATGTTTTCTATTTTTTTATGTGTGGAAATTAATTTCATTAGAAAACTACAACTTTTAAAGAAATTTCCTTTTTTAAAGAGTTCAAAAACCTGTAATACAATTATTGGTATTGTTTTTGTGAATTAAAATCACCAAATTCGTGATAAATTGCACATCGCTAGTATCGCGTGACTTCAAACCAAAACATTTGCAATAACGTGCTATTTATAGATATTCTGTAGTTGTATTTGTAACGCTGCATTTAATTGAGACACTTTTGCTTCCGTCAACATTTAGCTGCGGAAATTGGCACACTCTCTCCAAGGTCAAGGATGTTTTGCGGCAGCTAATGAACTTCCCATCGGGCAAAAACTTGTTCCTATTAAGTTAAACCAGACAAATGCATGATTTTTGCACTTTTTAGAAAGTTAAGAGCGGAATTGCATTTACATATGTGAATGTAAACACATAGGTATTTCCGTAACGTGTCTTAATAAACACGTTAGTAAATAACCCTCTCAGCTGTTCAACTTTGTTAGTGTATAGGTGCGCCCTCTCTGTTTTCTCTTTCTCTCGCAAAGCTTTCTAGCTTTTGTTGTTTAGCGTTCGTAGTAGATTTTATTTTGTGATTGCCAGGCAACGAGTTTGGACGCATTAATTATCATCACATAGTCTCGTGGAATTTTTTCGCACAAACCAGAAAATGTCATCCGCTGCAGTTCAGCCACCTCCGCCCGTTCCACCACCACCACCAACGGCTGCACCTTCCGCCGGAAAGGGTCTGCACTCCAAGTTGTACAATGGGATGATTGGCGCCGCCGACAAATTTGTGCCCGCCAAATTGCGGCCACTGTGGATGCATCCAGCTGGTAAGTCCCGAAATCCTTAAACATATGTAGACCGCATCTAAGTTGTAGTTGCAATTTCTAGGTCCCAAGACGATATTCTTTTGGGCACCCGTCTTCAAATGGGTAAGTTGACGAGTGCCAGACGGATGGGATTACATAACTCGGACGACGCACGACCTTCGCTGATTTTCATTATCGCACACATACGTTCACTATAAATCCGAAACGACGGTAGACAAATCTGTGCGCAGGTGCTATTAAATGAAATTATTTCATTATTCCGAACAACCTGCGCTTGATAACCGTTTGCGTTCGTGTTAGTGAGCGGAGTGTGATTGCTGCCTTCAATTATGGAACCCTATAAAGAAAGGAGAAGAAACCTTTACCACACTGCTCTAAATCTTTAAACATTTGCTAGTCATTTCGACGTGTTTATATATTTTTTGGATATCAGTTGATATGTATTTTAGATATGAACCAGACCGCCAACATATATGTATATATATGTATATAGAGATGACGAAAAACATTTATATCTAAATATTTTTGAAAACAAAGTTGGTCCTTGAACTCTCAGAAATTAATTTTCGTACATTTTCGTGATTTTTTGAAAATATATTTTCGATTAAGCTTTTTACGCTTCTGAAAATTTAACCGGTAAATTGTTGAGATATATTTTCATGCCTGACTAATATCATTTTGGAAGTATTCTTTTTAAGAAAGTGATTAATGAACCTATCCCTTATTTAGCATACTTGTATTTTAACAAACTTCTTTGTTTCTCTTTCAGGGTCTTGTTGCCGCTGGCTTAAGTGATTTGGCTCGGCCGGCCGATACTATCTCCGTATCTGGATGTGCCGCCCTGGCAGCTACGGGAATCATTTGGTCACGATACTCGCTGGTGATCATACCCAAGAACTACAGCCTTTTCGCCGTGAATCTCTTCGTGGGCATCACGCAGGTGGTGCAGCTCGCCAGAGCATACCACTACCATCAGGGACAGGAAAAGCTGAAGCAGGAGCAGCCGGCCGTGCAGAATTAGATACATATCGAATCGAATACCGGTGCTGTCCCATATATATAGACTTTAATCGAAATGTTATGTACATACATACAAATCCAATCCCACAACGCACAACCTTAACGAAATGATGAAGAGGAAGCTGTGTTCGCAGATCGGGAATCTGCGTTTTACAATATGTTAACCATTATTATTTATGGTCTATCGCCTTATCGACGTGATTCGTATTGTTTAAGTTGTAACTGTGGAGGCTTTGAGTATAGTTTTATGGATACGAGAACGATTGGACAGTTTTTGATTGTCAACAAATAAACCAATATATTGTAAGACTGTAGAAAGTAGTTAAATACACTTGTTTTTATTTAAGGGTTGGTTGTTAAGAAATACTATCAATAAAAGATATAAAGTGCTTAACATTAACGTAATAGGAATTACACATTAACAAAGAAGTTAAGAAAGCGCTTAAGTCAACTTATTCTGAAAACATTTTTATCAAAGGTATTAAAACATTCAATGGCGCGTTAACTAAATGTGTCTCAATATAACTTTATACATAAACATGATAATTGGCGTTAATTTGGGATAACCAAAGAAGCAATTGTATACCAGAACGGCTACATTAAACTAAATAAAAATATAATTGATAAAAAATACATTTGACTAGTTTAAATAAAATTCTCATTCAGTAATTTAAGATATAAGACCTTAAGGTTAAAACCTGTCTAACGAGGGTACATATACTTGTATGCACAATTGTGAGTACGTGTTTTCTTTGTTCCAACTACGTTAACGTACAAATACTAATTAATTATAAACAAATAAAAAGGGTTACGTAATTGTCTGCCCTAGGGCAATATAAATTAGTCAATATTACTAATAACTTTTAGTAGTAAGCAAGTTCTGCTTTTATAGTTATTTTATGGCTAATATGAAGTGAGAAAAGAGGGGCTGGTATTGTTGATAATAGGTGGTAGGTGATAACAGGAGGTCTAAGCTCGTAATACTAGAAACATAAACATGGACCGTGGACTTTTCGAAAAGCTCAGTTGTAGATGGGCGCTTCGTTGGAGCTGTTGTGCCTTAGATTTTAATAGGCACTCTGCTCCCCAACTTCAACGAGAGGAACTTTATCTCATCCCCAATCGACTATTATTCTAGCACATTTAATCAATCACCCTATATACAACAAACTCTTGATTATAGGTAGGTTATAACAACATTGCTCTCGTTTTGCAAAAAATACTTTAGTTTCATTTTGGCACTTCGATTGGTTGGACGTTGCATTAACAAGGAATAATCTCCTGTTCGGAATGTCAGCCTCAACTCCACCTCCTCCCTCAACTGCTCCAGTTTCGACCGGAAAGGGTCTTCATTCCAGGGCATATAATGGACTTATTGGTGCCTGTGATAAATATGTGCCTGCCAAAATGCGACCACTATGGATGCACCCAGCAGGTAACATGAGAATTAAGGAAGAGTTAATCCTTATTTTGACGGATTTACCATTTAAGGTCCCAAGACAATATTCTTTTGGGCACCTCTCGTTAAATGGGTAAGTTTGGAAAGCTTGTTGTATAACTTGTCCTAATTGTCCTTCGCCAATTTTATATTATCACCGAGCTGATAAACAAATCTGTGGGAGCATATTGTGTTTTATTATTATTTGTTTAATTCTCAGCAACCTGTTCAAGCTCGCGATAAATGAATACATTTTTTTTTCATTTCCACGCGCGAGATTCTGATAACTAAATGATTGTGCGGTTTTTGTGGTTTATGGAATATTTCATAATAGTTGGGAGAGAGCTTTGGTAACGTGCCATAGAGATTTGCAGTCAATGGGGGGACTTACCCTGTATTATCAGCCTGATCTTTCTAATCTCCGCTACTTACTCAATTATTTCCACAGAGCCTCGTTATCGCTGGCCTAAGTGATTTGACGCGTCCTGCGGACATGATTTCACCCAACGGATGTCTGGCTCTTGGCGCCACGAACCTCATTTGGACTCGCTACTCCCTGGTTATCATACCAAAGAACTATAGCTTATTTGCAGTGAATCTCTTTGTGAGTCTGACGCAGCTCTTCCAGTTGGGAAGGGCCTATAACTACAGATGGGAGCAATCGAAGCTGGAGAAGAATGGCGCGGAAAACCAAAATCCATTGAAGCTAGTTTGTAGTAGACAATGTATGCATTTTTTAGATTTCTTTAAAATAAAGAAAATTATTTTCTAGTCTAAATTAAATCAAAAATGTTCACGTTTTGAGTTTAACGGTCAATATATTTTTGACATCGATATTTTGGTACAAAGATATCTATAGAAAGATACCTTTAAACTAATTTTATTTCTAGGATTGTTTCACTACCTCTTTTCAATATTTGCATTCATTTGTTTGCAAAATATTTTATATCTTTTAACTACCTCTTTTTAATATGTACATTAATTTGTTTTCAAAATCGTTGAATATTTTTTAATTATTTAAAGTTGTTTGGTAAAAAAAGGCTAGATTATCATCACTCTTGATTTAATCGATAAATGTTAACAAGACCCGGCGCATTCTTTGCTATTGGTCATTTCCTTCTTTTATTAAATAAAAATAAATAAATAACTAATAAAATGGCTCTTGTTGACTATGGTGGGAGCAGCTCGTCTGCTTCTGAAGATGAAGAGCTGATTGAAAGTACTCACCCTCCTACTATGGTGGCCTTGAAAAGGTAAAGTTGTTTACTATTCACCTGTAGATTTCTACATTTAAACCGCTTAAGACCGGCCCTGCCCACAGCGGCCGCCCTCTTGGGCCCCAAGAAACCGAAACCCGAGGAGTTCGTAGAGGATGTGGTGGATGATCCTGCACTACATGGCGGACGCATACGTAGCTTCAAGCATGAACGAGGAAACTGGGCAACTTACGTATATGTCCCGGCAACAGCTTGTGTTGATCAATTGGAGGAGTTCCAAACTGAAGCTATAAGCAATTTGTCTTCCGACTTGGAACTACAGCCAAATGAATCACTCCACTTAAGTCTAAGTCGAACCGTAGTACTCCAGTACCATCAGATCGATGAGTTTTCGCGATCTTTACAAGCTGCTCTTAACAGTTCCGCTGGGTAAGTTTCAACTGTAAAAAAAGTTATCAAAACAATAACAAAGTTCTTTTAGGTTCGCTGCTACTTTGAAAGGCCTGCGGATCTACACAAACGAGGAGCGAACAAGGACGTTCATTGCCGCCCCTCTGGATGCTGCTTTTGTGGAAAAGATGACTGCGATCTTGCAACCCATCGACCAAGTGATGTTGGATTACAGGTTGCAACCATTTTATGATCCTGCCTCGTTTCATGTCAGTCTTCTGTGGTGCGTGGGCGATCAGCAGACTTTACTGAACAGCAAGCTAGCAGAACTACAGGAACTCCTTGAAGATCAGGACACTCTTCCACTGGCAGTTAATAAAGTTCATTTGAAAAGCGGCAACAAGGACTTTGCTTATATTTTAAAATAGGGGTGAATATTGAAATTTGATTAAGATTAAGATATTTCTGGATCCTCTATTTCATTTTATCTGAAGGGTTACATATATCTGTATATATACCTTGCTATTTATGCATGTCGTTCTTTATTTGACTGTATACAAATAACTTAATACTTAATTGTATTGGGGATAAAAAATGATTAAACATGTGTAATTTCTTAGTACTTATATATAGAAAAATAACATTAAACCTTTTATGGATACCAATGAATGTGAATAGTAAAAATCATGAATTATTCTGCATCGTTGAATGAATTTTTAGGCGAATAATCGAAAATTATACCATCCTTACCTCTTAGCTGAGACCTTTCTTTTTGTTGCCATTTCCTTGTTTGGCTGCCTGAGCTTGCTCCTCCAGCAATCGCTCTTCTTCCAGCTCTAAAAATCGCTGACGACGGCGACCGAGAGGTGTTTTCGACCACCAGGACTCGAAGGCTTCCTCCTCCTCGCGATACACAGGATCACGTGAGCTTTAAAACAGAAAAGCTAATTGATATTAAATATTTCTATGAAAATCACTTGTACCCACCACAGAACATTAATAAGCTCGGCATTGGTCAGTGGTTGAGTGCGCAACTGGAGTTTCCGCTTGCAGGTCATAACCTCTTTGAGACAAGCATCGATAGCTCCAATGGTATATCCATCAGATATTTTTGCCATGGCGCTGGTATCAAGATTGGAAATGCCACCAGAATATTCGCTAAAAAAAGTAATCAGTAAATGTACAAAAGATTGATCACCAGGTTAACCTACTGCAGTAAAGTTTTCCAGGCATGAGACATGGCTCCGTAATCAGGACGTGGAATATAGATAAACCGATTATATACAGATTGCATTAGTTTTTGGTCAGCCTCCCACGGCAAATTTGATGTGCCCACGAAAATCACTCTATCCTCAGGAGCAATGTTCTTGATCAGCTTGGGTAGATCCTTCTTGAGCCGCTTAGGATCTGTGCGATCAGTCTTCGGAATTTTTTTCATAAATGGTCTCTCGGCATCGCCCATATAAATCACGGCAGGTTGAAGCAACCTTGACACTTTTAGAACCAGATGAATTAACATAATGAGGCCAGATTTGCCGGGATACTTTCCCACTATATTAGCCGGAGTTAAATCAAAAAGCACAGCTCCCACTTCCGTGCAAATGGCGTGGAGCAGGGCCTTTTTACCAGATCCTCTGGGTCCAGCCAGTAAAATGGAGCGTATAAGGGGAGTGCAGTTGTGAATCGCATCCGATCCAAGCGGAAGGATGCAGTACTCCGTCAGGATCTGACGAATGTCGCCCGGTGAGGGGTTCGTACCATTCCTTGCTGTTAACGCCTTGTCGCCCAAAAATTGTTTTATCCTCAGCTCCGGATATTTTCGAATTATACCATTTGTGACCAGTTCTTCGTACAGCGACTCTGTAGTTCTATCCGGTGTCAAGTCCTTCTCCTTCTTTTTTTTGCTCTTCTTACCTGATCGACGAGTCTTCTTGCTGCTTTTCTTTACCTTCTTACCGACAGCCGTCTGAAGCAACTCAATCTCTTGCCTCATCACATCGTCGACGGCGCGACGGAACTCCAGCTCCACCTCCTGGTACTTGTCGCTGTATATCATGTCCTCGTAGGCCGCCTGGCTCAGCACACCAGTTTCATCTTTGTCTCGCCAAGTGTCGTTAAAACTAGCGAAATGCTCACCATAAATAAATGATAATGATTTTGCTGTTATTAATACTTACAGATCTATTTCCGCGCGGATGTCTGGAAGGCAGACGGAGGGCGCCGGCTGAAAGCTTACCTCCTCCTCCTGGTTTTCGTTGACATTCAGGTCGCCACTGCGTGCCGGTGACTTAGACTTGGTCTTGCGCGACTCCTTGGAGGAGCGAGCAGACGAGCGGCTATGCTCGCTTTCTGTTCCAGGTCTGCTAAAGATGTGCAAGGACCCACCTTGATCCTCGGAGGGAAAGTCCGGCAGCTTTCCCGTTTTGTCGTAGCAATCCTTGACCCAAGCACGTATCTCATCGGCGATATCCTCTTTCATGCTGGCGCCGTGCTTCGCTCGGATTTCCTCCTGCAGTGCGCGCTGCCGTTCCTCAAACTGTTTGCCATAAAGAGCCTGCGCTTGATACCGCTTCTCGTTGTGCTGTAGCTTTTCGAGCTTTTCGGCCCGTTCTTTAACAACAGCCGGAGGAGGTGGAAGCATACCAATCAGGATCATCTCCTCCATCTTGCGCCGGCGAGTTATCCTTCGGGCTGTATGGCCTCGCCACATTTTCTGAATCTTCATGGCAGCCAAAAGACCAGAGTCACTACGCTCCTTTTCACTGCGCTCTTCTGATTTTCCCTTTTCCTTAAGGATACGGATCTCCTTCATAAAGTGGGCACGTAAACGTCCTTGGCGCGCTCGCTCATGCATTTGGAGCATCCGTATAGCTTCGATCTCTGTGGTAACCGTCTCTTCCATCTCATGCTCCTCGAGCCAACCGAGTTTCACTAGGATTTCTTGCATGGTCTTCTTACGAAATTCCAGCTCCTGCTGACGTTCACGAAGAAAGTAGCGTGGAATCCTTAGTTCTGTCTCCATGGGAGTGAGACGCAGACGCTCCACTACCTCATCGTTGTAGCTGAACTCCATTAGATCAATGTTTACCAGATCATGCTTAAGCTCCACCACACGACCAAGACAAGCATCCAGCAGCTTACGCACCAACTGCCGTTTCTGGGGCTGAATCATCTACCGAAAATTCAAAAGTGTAATTGAAGAGTGATAACTAAACCTTAAAGTTTGATACCCACATTATCATAAACATCCTCCAATCGATTGCTGAGGCATATATAGCGCAAATAGAACTCGTACAGACTTGACTGCAGCAAGGCCTTGGCATCCGCGTCTGCGGCGACGGAGCCAACAGTTGCATTCATGGTAGCCACAGTTGTCTCCACATCCTGATGCTGCCTTTCGTAATCAATTGTAGACAGCAGCTCGCATTCATGCTGGGACTGATGCCAGATATCGTTAAAATATGTGCTAGACATGGTAACTAAAGATTCTTTGCTGTAGAACTAAACTATGAAAAACGGTCGTCAAGCTCTTTTTAGAGTTGCTAAGGAGCTTATTTGCGAAAGAAGGGTGGAATTATTAGGAAAAAAACGGTTTTGTATTTTTTTACATATATATAGTTGAATATAATACATTTCGTCAAAGGCGTTGCCTTAAGTTTCTCTCGAGAACATCAATAAATATGTTTACAGATATATTACATGGAATATGCTTAAAGGATTATGTATCTCAATGGATTTTAATGGAATAAGCTTAGTAATAAAACCCATCGTTTTCCGAAATTAAAAACTTACCGGAAATCAGATAAAGTAAAGCTAAAAGAGCATAAAAGTTAAATCTTCGAAATCTTTTAAACAATTTTGCAACTATGAAGTATATAGAGGGATTATGCACATGCATATGTAGTTAATAAATAGTTAACAATATAATTGGGGCTATTTGAAAAATTATTTAAATATTATCCGTAGAACAGTATTTGATCATGGATTTAGTGTGCTTAAATTGGATACCACTAGTGGCGGCGATGACCTCTTGGATAAAGCTCTGGGAGTTATGAATGGTGGTGCCACCAAGGATGACCCTATAGCCAGCATTATTTAACTGATGTACGGCTAAAGCCTCCTCGTACGTGGCTCCACCAATAATAAAGACCACCACTTCCTGCGGTGGTCGTCGGAATGGTACGAGCTCAGAATTTATGGCCGGGAAGAGAGGATCTAACTCACGACCCTTAAAAACATCCTCGAGTGTCTCCTTAAGTAGTGGCGTGTGCTGAGTAAAGACATTCTCCACACCCTTAAGGCCTTTAATCAGATTTCGGGTTAGCTTGACGGCATCCGTGATTCGCACCATATTAAAGAGATCTCCCTGGCGGACATGAGTTCCAGCATACTCGATCAGCGACGGCACTACAGCAGCTCGACCCCCTCGCGACTTGATAATCTGCAGCAATCCGGATGTGTCGCAATTGGCATGTCGCTCGTACCGCAACGCATAAAGGGCAACAAGCTTGAGAGCATCATCGATGGACATACGCTCATCTGCAATCAGTTTCTTAATGCGCTGCAGCTGGGCCGAGTGTTCCGCCTTGCAGGCAATCTCCTGCTCAAGCTCGGAGACCTCGAAAAGATTTCGCTTGTTACTTAGCGCCGAAAGTTCGCCAATTACACACAAATGCTTCTGCACGGTTCCGGACATTTTCTTAAACTGCGGATACGACTCAATAAAGTTCTTCATGTCCGCTATGCTCTCCACCTTCTTGTGGTCATTGGCCTTGCGCTGAAATTCCTCCATTAGTTGCTTAATGGTGGATCCAATCTCGCCATAGTTCGCGTACATGTTGTTTCCATAAAACTCATCCTGATCACCGGACAAAACCAGCTCCTTGAAGTCCTTTGGTACGTTAGGGCGATTGGACAGGTCCAATCGATTGTTTTTGATATGCAAAAGCTCATGGACCATGGCTTGGTATGTCCACTGATGCAGTAGCGGCGTCACTGGGTCATCTCTACGGTCCAGCACGAGCAGTAGCGGGGGTGCAGCACCATCCATGTTTGATCGAAAGTCGAACAGGGAGGACTCTTTGGTTATCTGCTCGTAAATCAGCTTGGCCAAAAGCTGAGCTGCCTGGGAGCCCGCTCGGTAACGAATTACTGGGTTTAATTTCAAGGAGAGTAGCACTGCTGTGATACCCTGCATGCTACGTGTAAGTGCATCCGGCAACCAGTTAAGGTTGGCCATGCAGTTGGGTATGCTCAAGGAGAATAAATTGGGATTAACGCAGAGGTAGTCCGCATACAGCTCTTTTACTTCCCGTACCGACTCGGATTCGTCACACTCTGCCAAGTACTTGATGTCTGTCCGGGGTATGATGTTGCTGAAATCTATTTAAGGGTTTAATATTATAAGATTGATGCTCTATACTACTTACATATGTAGTAGGCGCTGTATTTGGGATTCCGCAGCTCGTTGGCCAGGAGCTGGATATTCTGCTTGGTGGGGCGTATAAAGACGATGCACTTTAGGTACTTCAACCGCTCGTTAGATCTTCCAGAGTCCAACCGTTCGAAAAGGTAAACCTCCCGTTGCAACATGTCCGACTGACTAAAGGCCATCGAAATTATACTGGTCTGCAAATGATGTGGATTTTCAATAAGGAAGGTGTCATATGGCGGGGTTTTGGTTCCAGTACTCACCGTTTCCTTGTCGAGCAGGATAATTTTCATGCCGGGTCCCGACTCAGCGCACATTTTCTCAATGTATAACTTTATGCCGCTTATCAGATTCATTATTGCTAACTAATTTACCAAGAAAACCCAAATAATTTTTTTCCGCACACAGATGGATTAGTGACGGTTAAATTTCGATATTTGAGAGATAAGAAGGCAGTGATGACAATAAAACTTGATAGCTGTAAATTTAGCTAATTAATAAATATATTAAAAATATTTAAGGATTATCAATATATTAAAGTTTTTATATATATCTAGTTGTATATTTTATAAGTACCAATTTTTTGGCAACCAATTTTAACTTCTTATCTCTACCCAGCAATCGATAAGGCGCCGATATAATAAGCGGGTAGATCGAGTGCCGAGCAGTTATCGGTCTGAAAGCACTCACAGTCAGAAATTCTGACATATATTTTTGGATTCGAATTTTGATGCCCACCATGCATGTGTACTGTTAAAAACCGGCAAAATATAAGAGTAAGAGTGAGCAAAGACTTAGACACAATGGAGATGCAACTAGGAGCGATGCTGCATGTGTACAAGGGGGAGTATGGACTTCCTTCCATCGATTTTGAATGTTTACGTGCGCTGGTAAGTTGCATCACACGGCGGCTAGCACGCCTTGTGATTTACCCATTATCACCGTGACTGAAGAAACCGCTTCTTTCTCAATGACAGTGCCTCCTGAGATTCACACGCTGTCCAATGGACGTGCAGACCAACTCCAATCCACTGTGCTCAGGAGCCGGAAAACTGCCATATCTTCAGATCGGGAACCAGAAGTTCGCGGGTTATAGGCAAATCAAGCGCGTGCTGGATCTAGAGGTGAGTGCGCAAATAATGCCGGGTGAACAAACTGAACGGTCTATTTATAGGATTGTTTTGTTTGGAATTAATTCCACGTATCATTCTTTCAGGGCTACCCGATAGATGCGCATTTAAGCACCAAACAAAAGCATTTGTCCACCGCCTACGCCAACTGGGTGTTTACCAATCTGCACGCCTACTACCACTACTTCCTGTACGGAGAGCCCCACAACTTCGATACGACGACCCGGGGTCTTTATGCCAAACGAACGCCATTTCCCTTTAACTTTTACTATCCGTCGTCATATCAGAGGGAAGCCTGTGATGTCGTTCAGGTGATGGCCGGCTTTGATGTGAATGATAAGATGAATAAGCACGAAGGCGACTATGTAAGTGCTTAGAGCCGACCTTTTTTTAATCAGTTTATTAATTTTTATTAATATAGAGCATGCCAAAGCCATGTTTTCATAGAATCCTTATTTCAAATCTACATTAACAATTATTAAAAAAATCGATGGTACTTAAGAACTTCTCATGTATAGCAGTTTTAAACAGACCAAGTTTCATCATAATCGCCTATATGACGTTTGAAATGTTTTTTTTTTTAACATTAACCCTACTATTAAAAGAATTCAAATTTCACCATTGAACAAACTTTTAAGTCACCATAAAACCAATTTAATTTAAGATGACCTATCAATCCTATTAATATTCTTCACATATATATTATTTCAAACTTCTAATAATAATGTTTTATTTCCAGCTCGTTGTTAATGCCAAAAAAGTCGTAAATTTACTTTCAAGGAAATTGGGCCGCAAGGTATGGTTCTTTGGAGACACCTACAGCGAGTTCGATGCCATTGTCTACAGCTACCTAGCCATCATCTTTAAAATCGCACTGCCCAACAATCCACTGCAGAATCACATAAAAGGGTGCCAAAATCTGGTGAACTTCATTAATCGCATCACAAAGGACATATTCCGCAACGAGGGCTACAGTTCCACTAAGCTCACAAAGACTCCTAGTGGCACGGAAGCGAGTTTCACGGTCTTGGAGCCGTCCGAAATGAATACCAAAATCGTTGCTGGCGTCGGTGCAGTTTTGGCAATGGGAGCATTTGCGGCATGGCGCGGAATTTATAACCAGGTGGGAACCAGTGGATCAATTAAGTAGTTTTAAACCTCTAACTGCCTGGAGCTTATTCAATAGTTTTGGGCCAATGTCTTTGCTTGGCTCCAGACACTCTTGTAGACACACAACCAGTGCAGGTGCCAAATTCTCAGTTAATTGCAAATTCCGATTGCTTCATCCCTTGCAGCTAACAACACGCTCTTCGACGGACTACGATGGCATAGATTACGAGGATGACGATCTGGAAGAGGGCCTAGACTAATCTCGCTTCTGCAACGATATCTATGTGTACAGTATATATTTTAAAATACAAAGATGGGATGAAGCACAAAATCTGTCCAGCTTTAAAAGTTGCGAGAACATAACAGTTGGTCGATTTATATTGGACATAAATCTTTTGCACGAAAAGAAATCTTAAGATGATATTATACGACAAGGAAAATCCCTCAAAGACCTTGCTTTGGCGGATGCAGCATTTGTTAACTAATATAACTCTTAAGATCGCTATCCGATCCAAAAATTCCATTAAAAATCGACCAACTATAATATGCATATTCGATATATGTATTATAGTTTGAATTCATTTTTAAACCGTCTTGTAAAAAATAGCATTTTAACATTGTCAGAGCGTAATAAAATAGAAGGCTGAGGCGCTTCTATTAAAGAAAAGAGTACCGAAACCTCCATTAATACCAAAATCCGTCGATTGGAGTTGGTTTTGGTTTATTACTCACTAGTCTTAAATGTAAATTTCGAATAGGGGTCAATACGATAGAGAAGTTAGAGTCTACAGTGGAATTGGTAGATGCATGAGGGGTATCCAACGCACTCATGTCTTGAGCGCGTCCTGCAGCTTTCGCCGCGCCACACCGACCCGGTCCTCCTGCTTGCGTATGTCGTCCTCTGAGATGATTACCGCGTGCATTAGCGGCTGTTCGGGATTCATGAATGCCATCGCATTCTTGGTCAAGTCAGCCTTCGTGGAGCTCTGGCCGTGGACGCCGGCATTGAGCATATGTAGTGCCGTAGCCACCGACTGGAGGACGGTCTGTTCGTTGACATTCGGGCCAACGGTGCGTATGGTCTTGGGCAGTGAGATGTCGTCAAGCTCCTCCCCGCTGTCGTGGCAGGCGCGGAGTCTTTCCAGCCGCTTCTCCCAGAAGAGCTGTTTGGGCTTCTCTCGAGTGCCATGCTTGGTATCATGCTTCACTTTGGCAGGATCCTGACTGTGATTGCGAATTGCCGTCACCGGTTGCTTGAAGATCGATGCAGTCTGTCGGATTGGCGGCACCAGGGAGACATCTGTGCGCAGGGCTCGGCTGTAAGGGATTAAAGATGAAAATTCATAAAAATTTTGCTGAATTCTAACTTATACACCAAAAAGCACGCAAGACAAAACGTAAAGTGGGGCTTAAACATGCATAGACGGGGGAACTAAATTCTCAGGAGCACAGAGCTACAGCTTTTTTGGTGACTAATTTGAATTGCTGGCCAATTGTGTTTCTTTTCATTTTTTTTTGTGATTTTTAAATCCCGCAGGCTGTATACTTTGCGTTCTGATCAAAGGTTACAGGCAAACAAGACAGGACACGCTGGCATGCAAGAGTCAAGTGCTCCTCCACTTGGCTCTACCTGAGTTCGTTCTGTTGCTGCTGGCGATTGGTCGTTGATGGTGATGCAGATGAGGCTGCAGCTGTTGATAACGGGACCACGGCCGGAGGAGCAGCACCTCCTGCTGTAGCAGTGCCTCCTTGGCTCCTGGCAAACTTGCGCTTGAGAGCATTGGCCTGCGATCCGGTAGTGGAACCATTTCCACCGCCACTGGTCAAGGGTAGCGGCATGGCACTGCAGCGATACAGTGAAATAGATGGCGAGGGCAGGGCCCGTTGTTGCATCTTTCCGGATTGGAAATCAGGGATTGTAATATCCTGCGGCTTTCCCTCCGCCCTTTTTCCTGTGGGACTGTTGAACGGACGCGGCGGTGGGTGGAGTTTTAGGTGGGTTAGGTGGTTCGTGTGTGTGTATACATAGGCGTGTGCGTGTGTGTGTGGTGTGTGTTGATGCGGATGTAATAACAGAAAGGTAGTGAAAGTGATTAAACGTATATCCGATTCAACAGCGTGCAGTATTCCGATATTAGGTATATCCCCCTTGTCTATATAGTAGTGTTCTTCTTCTTTACCTGTAGTAGAAAACATCCACCTTGTTATTGTTGTTGTTGCTGGCTGTGGTGGTGCTGCTGTTGTTGTTGCTGCTGGCGTTGCTATTGGAGCTATTGCCCGATTTGCGGACCTCCTCGCGCTGCCATCCTTTTGGCAGGACACTGCAGTCGACGCGTTTGCGCTCGATTGTAACGCTCGGGTTCATTTGCATGCTCGCCGAAGTAAATAATTAACAATTCCACAAAAGCAGCGTCTGGCTAGCAGCAATGTGCCCGTTCTTCGAAAGATCAAAATTACCAAATGAGAATAGTGCTGCCACCTGATCTTTAAATTTAAAAATGTATTTCAATTCAATTATTTTAATCACTTAATTGGTGCAGAGGGGTATATGACTTTTATTTTCACAACAAAAAAACTAAATCAACAAAATCTAATGAAGGCAAATAATAGAATGGCTTTAGGGTGAAAAAGGATACATGAGCAGCACTAAACAAATCCAACCTGGTAACATTGGCGGTAAATTAAAGAAGAAGAAGCAACAGAAAGGGCGACGTAAGAAATTTGGGAGTTTTCATTCGCATTTTCCAGGCAACTGAACGGAATATGTAAGCCAGGCCAACGACACGCCGACCCAACTCACCGAAGCCTCGCCACAGTAGCCAAACGCTACGAACAACGCCTGCTGCGAGCAGTACAACTTGCTTGGGAATCTCCCACTTGATCCAATTGGGAATTTTACACCTGGCAGCTGTTGGGACACAAAAGTCATGTCTTCGTCAGCCATTTTCGTGCTGGACGTTAAGGGCAAGGTGCTGATATCGCGGAACTACCGCGGTGACAACATCGACATGGCCGTGATTGACAAATTTATGCCGCTGCTGATGGAACGCGAGGAGGAAGGCTTGATAACCCCGATCCTTCAGACGGCGGAGACCACGTTCGCGTACATCAAGACCAACAACCTGTATATCGTGTCCACGACGCCGCGCAACAAGAATGTAAATATTGCCTTGGTCTTCGTCTTTCTCCACAAGATAGCCCAGGTCTTTGTCGAGTACTTCAAAGAGCTGGAGGAGGAGTCCATTCGGGACAATTTCGTGATCATCTACGAGCTTCTGGATGAGCTCCTGGACTTTGGGTATCCGCAGACCACCGACTCGAAGATCCTTCAGGAGTACATCACGCAGGAGGGCCACAAGCTGGAGCTACAGCCTCGCATACCCGTGGCCGTGACCAATGCTGTCTCCTGGCGCTCCGAGGGCATCAAGTACCGCAAGAATGAGGTCTTTCTCGACGTGATTGAGTCGGTCAACTTGCTGGCCAACGCCAATGGCAATGTGTTGCGCAGCGAGATTGTGGGCGCCATCAAGATGCGGGTCTACCTATCGGGAATGCCTGAGTTACGTCTGGGTCTCAACGACAAGGTACTTTTCGAGAGCACCGGTCGCGGAAAATCGAAGTCCGTCGAGTTGGAGGACGTCAAGTTCCACCAGTGCGTGCGGTTGTCCCGTTTCGAGAATGACCGCACAATCTCGTTTATTCCTCCAGATGGCGAGTTCGAATTAATGTCCTATCGTCTGAATACGCATGTAAGTATTTGAGGAAGGTATTTTTGAGAATTGTAAACAGTTAAAATTACAATTCTAAAGTTATTAAGAAAGCAACTCCATGGAAATAGTGAAACAAAACTATTTGAACTCTTCTTGCCAGGTCAAACCCCTGATATGGATCGAATCGGTGATCGAGCGGCATGCCCACTCCCGAGTGGAGTATATGATCAAGGCAAAGTCACAGTTTAAGCGGAGATCGACTGCCAACAACGTAGAGATCGTCATACCGGTGCCCGCTGACGCGGACTCGCCCAAGTTTAAGACGACCATTGGCAGTTGTAAGTACGCTCCAGAGCAGAATGCCATCATCTGGACAATCAAGTCGTTCCCGGGTGGCAAGGAGTATCTTATGCGTGCTCATTTCGGACTGCCGAGTGTGGAGAGCGAGGACAATACGGAGGGAAAGCCACCTATTCAAGTGCGTTTCGAAATTCCCTACTTTACCACCTCTGGCATCCAAGTACGCTATCTGAAGATCATCGAGAAGAGTGGTTACCAGGCGCTGCCGTGGGTGCGGTACATTACGCAGAACGGCGACTATCAGCTACGCACCAATTAAGGGGAGCAACTCCCAACCCAGCATCATTCCAGCCAAGCTTCAGCGAGTCATCCCTGCAACAGGTAGCTTCATCTCCACCCGCGTTTTTGTCTGCGATGCGTTGCGTTAAGTCAAAAGTATATATTTGTATTTGTATTTGTATTGTTTCAGTATATGTATATTGTATGAAAATCAAATCTAATAAATTTTAACACCTTTTCATAACACCTGCACCAGAGTGGGTAAATTTGAATGTACAAATGAAGATCTAGTTGATCCTCAACATTTCCCGAATAAAGCTTGAAAATGTGTTTACATCCACATAATCGACACACCCAACTGACACAGATGAGTCATAACAAACGGGTTGGACCCACACAAAATTGTTTGCCTATTGCTTAATCATAATAAATGCACTTTCGATCGAGTCTCTCGGTTCACTTTGATTTCTGAGTTGTTAGCTTCTTTTGCGGTAGGAGGATTCTATGGCTCGAAGTTCTTTAGGTTATAGTGTTCCTTGTGCGCTTCGATGTGTTTCTCCAGTTCCTTTCGCTGCTCCACCAGATGCTCTGGCATTTCAGCGTAGACACCCTCGAACATCTCACGCCAGTTGGGCTTAAGTTTCTTTTCCGATACGGCAATCTGCTTGAGGATTTTCTTTCTAACATCCTTGATGAATTGAGCTTCCTCAGTCTCGTCAAACCAGCCTTTGTGCACCATATAGCGCTTCAGCTTGGAGATTGGATGCTCCACTGAATTCCACACCTCGACCTCATCTGCTGATCTGTAGGCTGTACTGTCGTCGGAGGTGGAGTGGTGACTCACTCGATAAGCTAGAGCCTCGAACACCACAGGTTTATTCTCTTTGAGCACATATTCTCTGGCTTTCTTCATGGCATTATACACTGCAAAGACATCAGTACCATCCACACGAATTGTGGCAATTCCGTATCCCATCGGACCACGTCCTGCAATGCCATCGCCCTTGTATTGTTCATGAGACGGAGTGGAAATGGCGAAGCCGTTGTTGCGACTAAATGGAGAGAGTATTAATAGGAAACACATTTGAATAAAGTAAATAGCCTTCAACATTTTTGATAAGATAAAAGAATACTGTGAAACATTTTATCTTATCAAAGTAGTGTTTTGTGAATCTCAAAGTTACTTTTTTTCGTGGTACTAGACATACGTAAAAATTCAGTGCTTACCAGAAGAGGATAACTGGACAACCGAGCGTTGCTGCAAAGTTAAAGGCGGCATGGGCATCTCCCTCGGAAGCAGCTCCCTCGCCGAAGTAACAAACCACACAGGCATCATTATTTGGCTTCATTTTCATGGCATAAGCGGCACCCACAGCTTGGGGCATTTGAGTGGCTGCAAATCCAACATAGAACAATGAGTATAATAAGCATTCTCTTACCTATATTATTATGGGTATTAACTTACACAGTGGACTAGATATGGTGACAAAGTTCAGCTCCCTGGACCCGTAGTGGACGGGCATCTGCTTTCCGCGACCCAAGTCGTCCGAGTTGCCGAAACACTGATCGATGAATTGGTCTATGCGGAAGCCACGCCATACCAAAACTCCAGCTTCGCGATATTGGCCGTATATAAGATCCCGCATCTCTAAAGCAGCGGCACTGCCAATATGGGACGCCTCTTCTCCAAAATTGGTCATGTAAAAGGAGATTCTGCCCTGCCGCTGGGATTCGTAAAGGATCTTGTCCATGGTATTGAGCAGCAGCATGTCACGGAACATTTTCTCCACCACCTCACGGCTTAGCTGGGGATCCTGACTTTCATCCGCAATATAGCCGTTCCGATCCATCACCCGATAAATGGGAATTGGAGAATAGTCTTCTGGGAAAATGAGCTTTAACTCGTTGACAAACGGAGCCTTGGCACCGGGAAAATTGGCATAATCGTTCGAAAGCTCCGAGCTGAAATCCCGCGCAGCCATAGGTACCGAACCTCCAATCTGCTAGTAGTTAATGTAAACAAATAATAACAAGCTAAAATGATATTGGCAAGTACTTACCACTTTAAGATGTCGTTGTCGCCTTGCCACCGCACCGAAAAAGCTTGCCGACTTTCGCAGGAAAGACATGATATATAATATGTATCTAAACTATTAAATGCAACAGGTAATATTTGAGGATTCAGATTCAGCTGCGTGTTTCCCAGCTGATTACGCAATAGATAGAATGGATGTTGGTACCCGTATCGATAAGCCACTAGCAATCGATGTTTACCTTTTTTTGTCATCGAGATCGTTAAAAAAATTTTATATTCAGACTTATTTTGCATAAGATATTGAAAATTTTAATTTGCCAAACATGTAATGGTATTATTGTCTGTACATCTAAAAAAAATCATAAAAAGATTTACTGAGTTGAGTTTTCGTGAGGGTAAGGAGTCACCTAACTTTTCACTTATATCTCCTCATTAAAATCTGATCACAACCAGGGGTTTTCAAAGTTTTTACAAAGATTAAGTCAAACCAAAGCAATTTGAAAATTGCGTTTCAAATAACCGCTTATTTAATATCGAAATGGAGAGAATCCCCCAAACGTGTATTTTATAATCGTAACTTTAAAATGCTACCTTACTTGTTTTACACCATGGCAATGGTAGAGGAAGCGCAATTCTGGCAGGCCATAGGAATACTGATTAAAAACTATCATGCCTTGAATAAAAAGATATTCGAAGTGGTCATTACCCGAGTGGAGAAGCTGGAGGATGGACGACCGAGTGAATCAACCGAAGACGAACTATCCAAGGCCCTGAAAGAAGATCCAAACAATCGCACGTGCACTAGCATTAAGATTGGATTTAAGCTACTGCCAAAAAAACTTCTGAATAACATATTGGGCACTGGAACTGTGGGTGGGTGAGTGCTCTGTTAGATAGTTCATAAAAAGTTAATAATATGTTTATTTACAGACTTTGTGGAGCGCCGGTACGACTGCCAATTTGCTAGTGATGATATTGAAGACTTCTCGGTGCACTTGTTTGAGGGACAGTTTCAACTGAAGTCCAAACAGAACCCGAACTGGTTAGAGTTTGTTCTCAAACCGAAGCTTTTCAGCTGGTCCCAATCCAAACAGGACGAATCGAAGGTAAAGTCATTGGGCTTGGTAAACGTGGAAAAGTACAATGATCTTTACAAGGAGTTGAAACAGAAGCATTCCCAGCGTCTTCTTGAGTACTGGAAAACTGCTCAAGAGTCCACGGATCCTTTGAAGTTTATCTATGAAGATTTGGCCATTGCCGCATATCTTATTGTTCTTTGGAGTCAAACCCAATCTGAACCCAAGGCTTTTGCAGACTTGGGTTGCGGGAACGGTCTTCTAGTACATGTTCTCAATGCCGAAGGCTACAAGGGCTATGGCTACGATATAAGAAAGCGAAAGTTGTGGTCCCTTTATCCAGCAGACACCCAACAGAGCCTCATCGAAAAACCAGTGGAGCCCAACAGCTTTCGCTTAGATTTTCCAGATGTTGATTGGTTAATTGGCAATCATTCGGACGAGCTATCCCCATGGCTTCCGGTTTTGGCTGGCCGTTTAAACATCAAATACTTCCTACTGCCATGTTGTCCTTATGAACTTTCGGGTGCCAAGTTTCATAGGCGAAATACGAAGATAAGTGCCTACCAGGATTTCTTTCTATATGTGTCTCAGGTCTCTCAGGAATGTGGTTTTGAGGTCCTACATGACCGACTCAAAATTCCAAGCACCAAGCGTTTGGCTCTTTTAGGAATCAAGAGAAATAACACAAAAACTATTAAAGACTTGGAGTACTTCGTCCACGAGGAGTTAGCGAAGTATAAATCAGGAGAGTCCGAAATTAAGTTACGTGAGAAGGAAGAAATTGTTCGCAACTGCACGCAGGTGGACAAGTCTATCATTGATGCTCTGGTGATAAAGATCTTTCAACAGCTATTGGATTCCCATGAAGACAAATGGTCAGGTCGACTGCCTATGAGAGAGATTGCCCAAAGTCTTACGAAGGAAGAACTAAGTGGCATCAAAACCGAGTGTGGCGGCATCAAAACTTTATTAAGAAATAAACACGAGGTGTTCGAGTTTTGTGGTGGTGATATCATAGGAATACGAACTCCTAAGCCAACAGCTCCTGCAATCCAATCCCGCCTTACCACCAAAAAACGTAGCTGTTTTTTCAAGCTACATCACCCACTAGGATGTCCTCTCAAGGATGACGAGTGCTCTTTCATACACTAACGCAACTTATTTTGTGTGTGGTTCTTACTCACGTTTATTATTATAGATTATAATATAAAAGAAAGTGCATTTATCGTGTGTCAATTGTAGAAACTAGGAGTCAAGCAGTGTCCTCTAGCGAGAGCTGTCACTGCTGTTGCTGCGACGCCGGCGGCGAATGGGTGAGCGGGACCGGCGGCGAGGTGAACGCCTGTTCCTCATGGGCGACTGACGACGACCGCCGCCACCGCCACCTCCACCGCGATTATTGAACCGATTGAACTGGGGTGGGGATCGCCAGCGGTTGTTCTGCGGACGGCGCATCGGAGGAGAGGGGCGACGCATTGGCGGCCGTTGCTTAGGTATGATAACTGGCGACACAGTGATTTCTTGGCCATCGATTTGCCCGCCATCCATATGCTTCATGGCCGATTCACAGTCCTCGGAAGTAGCGTATTCCACAAAAGGCCACGCCGCGTCCAAAATTCGGATGATATCGATCTACAGGAAACTCTACATTCTTCACGTCTCCAAAACTGCTGAAGATCTCGAATACATGGTCCTTGGTCACGTTGCGGGTAAGCCGGCCAACATGAATACGCACCGGCTTCGGCGTCGGCGAACGTGTTCGCGACCGGGAGCGCTCCCTCCGCTTCGGTGGCGGCGTCCTCTCCACAGAGCCACGACCACGACGGCGTGGTGATCGTGAGCGGCTGGCCGAACGAGAACGCTCGCGCTTTACATTATTGCCTTCGACTGCCGGCCTGTCATTGGATACAGCACGACGGGCACGATCCCGAGAACGACTACGACGTTCGCGATCTCGTTCTGGTTCCTTTCGCGCCTTGCTGCCCGGTCTGGGAGATTTGGAAACCCGTCTGGGCGAACGAGTGCGAGAGCGGGATCGAGCGCTGGGCTTCTCCTTGTCTTTATCCTTGCCGGCAGCTCCCCCTCCACGTCTTCGGTTCTTTTCGCTGCGATCTGAGTCACTGGACGATGATGATGAGGAGCTCGAGGAGTCGCTGGAGCTGCTTGAACTGGATCGTGAGTCTGAGCCGGAACTGCTGCGCGATGAGCTGCTGTCGGATGAGCTGGGAAAGTTAACATTTTGTATACTTCCTTTTGCATGGGGGAAATGATGCATGCTAAGCTATTCACTTTATAAAAATTATAGCAAATATTTATTGCTGAAAAACATCCTTTTAGGATTAAATAGTGCTCATGAGACTTTACTTGGAGATTTTTTGTTTGGCACTACTCTATTCGAGAGTGGAATAATAGTTTAGCGTTCATGTATGCGATTGTAAAACTATTCTATAATTAAGATATGCATAAGTAGGTAAATGAAAAAATTACTTTACGATGCTGCTTTAACAAAATTAAAGATATGTAATTTATTTTCGCTTAAAACGGTCTACTAATCTTTTACAACAATAAAAGTTTATCGGTTTAGGCTGATGTTGAAGCTCTTATGAATGCTTTATGTTCTTATGAATGCTTTTCCTAACAAAACACGACGCCTTTTTGAAATTAACCCTTATTTGGAATGGGCGGATGGGGGGATATATGTGGGGAACACCTTTGCCGGTTGATTATTTACCTGCTTCTGGAGTCGCTGCTAGATGACGCCGATCCGCGTCGCTTGCGTTCTCGCTCCCTACGCGAGGAGCTGCTAGTTGCCGCCTTACCGTCCTTCTCTTTGGTATCCTTCTCCTTGTTGTCCTTTTCCTTCTCACCCTCGCCGGCGGGACTCTGGGCACGCGCCCTATTTTCGACCACGAAAAGTGATATGTTTTAGGTCTTATGGGGGTTAAATCCATTTATGTACTTACATATTCGTATTGCTGATTTAATTAACGATTAGTTTAACAGCACACAACACTCTTTTAAGAGCTAGCCTATATGTTTTTATTAATAATCCCCGTTTTTTTTAACAGAAGCCAAATCCAGGTAGCGTTTTCAGTGATGGTTGGTGTGGCCAAAATACTAGCCTGAAAAAATACCACAAAACTGTAAATGAGTGTGGTATTATAAAACTAATTTAAATGTAATTTAATTTAATTGTCAATAACAACTGTATATAAGTGATAATTTTAATTAACAAATTTAAAACTTATATTAAAATTTTGTATATTTATGGAAAGTATATTTTCTGGAATATGTTTGGAATATTTAGGGAATGTATATTTTGGTATTATCTGAAGAAAGGCTGGGGTAATTTCGGCCAGTCTCGCCGCGGCCACACTCTTTATCAGGTCGAATCCAAGGTAAACTCCCATAAAGTATAAAAACTAAAGATAATTTTCTTGCCAAGCTATCAGTACTCGATACCAAGTACTTCTAGCCACAGTGTAATATGATTAGTGCTTGTTTTCGTAACGTACGTATGTAGTGGAATTACATAAAACGCAATTGTTTTAAGGCCAGCAAATTTTTTTTATATGCTGGTGACGAAGTGGTTGTCATTGTGAGTTCACGTCCGTGTGCCTGTATGTGTGTGAACTTGTGTTGATTTTGTCCGTGCGGGGGAGCGAGACAGCTAGAAAGGGGGCAGCGGTGGGGGTCTTCAGCCACAGAGTTTCGATTTTCCATCCATATATCTACACTCGCAGCGGAAAAAGAGAGTGAGCTAATGTGAGAGAGAGGAGCGCCCCGTCTGGTCTGGGTACATTTTACCACACTGCGTCTTTGTCTGCCGTCGAGTCGGGATCTCCGCGTCTGGTGTGTAGTAATATTATTCTGATTATTCAGTTTATTGTGCATATAATTCAATATATCAATACCCCGCCCCTATATTATTATGAATTAATGTCATATATGTGTGTGTCCGGGTATAAAGTGCAGTTATGTTTGAGACAACGAATGTCTATACCGCAAAATCTACATTTTTATCCCCATCATTGTGTTTTAAAACGCCAAAGATCAGCGTAATTGCCAAAAACCAGCCAGCCAACAAACGTTTCGTTAGTATACATATTCATATAATCAATGTGTGTAAAGAAAACGAAACGAAGGGAAAAAAAAGAAAAAAGAGCATTCGATGAAGTTGACTGCCATGACTACGCAATAGCAACAACAAGAGGGGCACCCACACACACACGCGCATACCTATAGCTAGGTGGGTCCTCTCGCTCGCTCTCTTCGCCTCTCAGTGCCGCTCTTTGCTCTCTTTCGGTATCTTAGTGTATGTGCTCGGAGACTCCATAGGAAAAGCGAATATTTTGATGTCTGCTTGCTTGTGTGTATATGCGTATATTTTTTATAATTTATTGTTTTAATTTCTAAGGGGCGGAGTGTGACCCCAACTTGAGAAACGAACACCGACCCTGCCCAAGTATGAAATATACTAGCCGTTGCTATATAGCTTTCGATCGGAGTTTGGAGTTGCTCCTCCCTGGGCAATACACACACACAGTTGTGGTCAAAATAATAGCTAAATTACGGAAATGTGGTCTTTTTTTTTTGTTGTGAACCATGTTAAAGGGGAGCCCCTTAGAGGCCTCTTTTTATAGATACGTACATGTGTTATCGCTCCATTTAGCCTTTTAATCTATGTTTAGAAATGCACTTATCTTATCTGTATAATAACATTTACCACAAATACCGTAATCAAACAGGGTGTTTTTGTGCTGTTTGGAATATAAATAGTGAGTGGTGTCACACATGGTGGACATTTGAAACTACTTTAAAAGGCGATGAAATGTATGCTATACAAAAAGGAAGGTTAACTTCCGGTATAGAGAATATATTATAGCATACTTCACAGCCCTTCAGAAGTAATTTTAAGCCTTGACAACACCCAGGGGAAAAATAGTAGAAATAATTTATGTTGCTCTATTTTTTTCATGAGAATTCTGTTCTTTTAATAAGAAATGAGACATATTTTCATACTTTACTTTTTAAAAATGTTAACTAAAATGCCTTTCCTAAGTACCACTAACTTTATTCTTCTCAAATATAAGTAACCAACATTTGGCAATATCTACAAGCCAAAAAATCGTTTACAGCACTATTATTTTAACTGCAACTGTATATTGAACCACAATTACAACCATTATCGTTAGAGGATAGCCAAGCATTTGTATATTGTACTGCCTGCTAATTTTTTACGTCTAATTTGCATTACATTGGCATTAATACCCATTGGCCGCAATTAAAACCGGGCTTTATATATATATTTATATATAGATATAGACCTATATTTCAATATCCCACATATACATACATTTATTGCTAACAAAACTTAACCAACCCAAGTAATTAGTTTCTCAACTGAATGTAATAGCAATGTTTTCTTTTACTTTTATTTTCTTTGTTTTAGCATACATACAATATTTTATTGCTGGTTTTGGTGGTAAATTTGCATTGTTAACGGCCGCGGCCAGACGTGCCCCGCTTCTTTAACACACACGTCTCTCAAATGAATACCGATCATCAAGTGTTTTCCCCTATATTGACTCTCGTATATAGCCAAATGTAAAAAAAAAAAAACAAAATAAAAATAATAATAAAAAAGAAATCAACAAATAGCGATACTGATACCGAAAGCAACTAAAACGAAAGTGTATACTAAATACAAGCCCGTATGTACCACATAAGACTGCCATCTGCCCTTTGCGTTGCCGTGCCGTTGACACTTTTGTATCTGGCTGTATTCGTATCTGTATCTCAAACTCACTGACCAACTACTGCAAGCGCAACTGCAAATGCAAATGTAATCTGCAAACTGCAAACTGCACACACCTGAATCTCAGCTCAGCTCAACTTTTAAACGTTTAATCCTCGAACTGCCTACAAAACCAACCAACCTATCAGCCAACCAGAACCAATCAACAAACCAACCTATCAACGGTCTACCGCAACTGGCAAACCAAACGGCTTTAGTTTGTAAGCTTTGTTTTTCTCTTTTTTTTTTTTTGTAAACCTGTTAAAAACGATAATCCTTATCTGAAAAGACTGAAAAGTGAAAAGAAAGTAATAAGTACGATTAGATATCTTGTAACTATTTGTATCTGTCCTTTGTTCTCCTAATGGTTCCAATACAATCGATCTAACCCATCCATTTATGCTATATACTATATACGACAACACGACTTTGTCACACTGTTTGTTCTTACTTTGCACATGTTCGTTTTCTATTTTACGCCTAGTATTTATATTACCTACTTATAGAGCACACACACACACACACATCCAAAACACGGCCCATGTACGTTAAGTGTAACCCCCTTTATCTGTCGCTCTCTTGATCTGGAATCTTTCGATTGTACTAACTGCCCGTCGGGCGATATTTGATAAGTTTGTAATCAGTCATTCGACCCTAAACCTCGATCCATCCATAAACATCCTCCCAGAAACCAAAACCGAAAACGAAACTTAAAACTTAAACCCGTACCCAATAAACAGAACCACTAATATTGTTTTTGTTCAGTTGACACTTTCATGTAAACACAGACACAAATACAAATACAAACACAACACACACAAACATTTAGAGATAAATATGTATGTATATATGCGAGGGGCGGCTTAACGATGGGTTATCGTGTTTAACAACTGAAACTGGAAACGCTGGAAGTGTAAAATTTATCGTTACCACTTATCATTGGCGGACGGAGTCGGCGGAGTTAGCTCACATATACACATGCATATATACTACCTATGTACCCGTAACTGTTAACTTTATATAAATACTTATATACATACTATATATATATATATCGTATCCGTATCTGTATCGGCAGCTTTTCCACATACCCCAAATACATGAATTTATATACATTTATATCGTACTTATACCAATAGTTGAAAAACTAACCACGCACGTATCTCATCTCAATTCCATATAATTGACAACCTATTAAAGCTACACTGTTAAAAACAAACTGAAAAATTGTTGCTGTTTTATTTATTACGATTACAAAACAAATATTTACATATATTCACACATAAACAAACAAACAAACACACACACACACACACCCGTATATATACATATCAATATATACACATATATACATATTTTATTATATTTGCCTAAGTAAGTATTTTGCCTACTAGAGAAACCATAAATGTTTTGTTATTGAGCATGTTGGCTTGTTGGTTGTTTGCTTTCTGTTCTGGAGCGCGGGTCCGGCTTAGAATACTCCTTCTTAAAAAATAATAATAATCAAAATAAAAACACAAAAACGTAATGAGAAATACCATAAAAATCTAGAGCTTACAAACCTAATTCCGTTTTCGATTATAATCTGTGTTGGTGGCATACGAATTGAACGAGTTTTACTTTTTGAAAAATATACAAAACTAAAAGGTTCTTAGATGATTTTTATTAACAAGACAAAGAATAGAATATCTTGTATCTTGGGGTTTCAATTTGCTTTTCTATTTTGAAGAATTCTCAAAAGAAATTTTTTAATATTTTGTTTTATTTACAATTACAAGTTTTAAAGAGGTATTAACAATTGTTAATTTTAATTTCATTAGGGACTCAAAATAATACACAGCTATTATAATAATGGAAATCATTCTTTTAAAGTTCAGAGCTACTGTATCTTTTTCAAAAAGTGTAAGTTGTTATCAATTTTGTAGTGCCCCAAATTCGTGCAGATTGCAAACGGAACCGGGCTGCCTAGTTAAGTGTACAAGCGGTCACTTTATAAGCAAATCGTCTCGTTTCCTTCTCGTTTTTGTTCCCGCCCCACAGCTGAGTGAATAAAAAAGAAAAAGCCCAAAAGAAAGCTCTCGTCCAAACGAAAGTCGAATAGCAACATCAGCGGCAGCCGCAGCAGCAACAACAACAGCCACTGCAATTGCAACACACGCAGCAGCAGCAGCAGCATGCTCAACTCAAATGCCAGCAGCGGCAACTTGGGCAACGGCAACAACATCAGCATCATAACCACCAACAACAATCATGGGGGCAGCAGCCGTCGACCCTTTTCCCGTAATTCCTCATCGGTCCGCTCGCATCGCGGCGGTGGGGGCGGATTGGGTAGTCGTATGCTCTACTCGCCACACCCACATCAGCATGCCCACTCGCAGCAGCAGCAACAACAACAACAACAGCAGCAGCAACAACAAGGGCAGCAGCGATCCAGCAGCAACAACATCACTCTTTTACCTGGACACAGTCCCTGGTGCAACGTCAATTTGAACGGCAGCAACGGCAACAACAACGGTGGCAACAACAACAATAACAACAGCAACAACAACAACAACAGCAACAATGTCAATAACAAAGATGCAAACCCAAATTGGTAAGAGCCGAGAGCCGCTTGTGTTTTAGAACCATTTTCCACATATTCTCACTCGAGATCGAGTTATATCGAATCGAGTTTTATGTTAGCCTTAAGTGACATTGAAAAAAAGCGAATTTGAAACGTAACCCCCTCCAATCCGAACCGCTCCCAAAATCCACCCAAAAAAGAAAATCCATCCATGATTAACAAGACATATCCTTGTAACTTCCCCCACGACTAGAACAGTTTATCTACTTTCTATCTCTATCTCTATTACACCTGAACTGAAAAAAAAACAAACCGAAAATCGCTTTTAGGCTAAAGGGAGAATTTTGTAATTAATGTCGCGTTCAGTAGTGCAACCAAAAACATTTTAATTGGTCCTAACCGTTGAATTTTCGAAGCACTAAACAAAACCAAAAAATAAAAGCTTGCATCGCCAACTTTGATGGCGACACATAATGGATATATAGTATTATACCGTTTATATACTTCTCGATCATTTGTAACTATCTTGCGTTCTCTTGCGTACTGTACATTTTGTGTTTTGTTCCTCGTCGAAATTGGCACTTCTTAACCCCCATTCAGTTACCATTACCAAACATAAACATGCATAATACTAATTACCGTTGTAACTATCCCAGCATTTACATCAAATACTACTACATACAACATACTCGTACATACACAACCCCACATTATACTATCCAGCAAGAATTGAGTTATGATTTTGATTAATGTTTTTAACGTATATGTACATTTTCTAACCGCTTTTATTACCATACCCCAAAATTTGAGCAGTGTGAAGTTATTGTAGAAAAGATACCGTATTAACCGAATCAGAAACTCTTGATTCCCAATTGTAATAACTTAAAGAACGTTCAATGTTTCATAAACTTAAGATCAAACAATACAGTTCCCTAAGAAAAATGCATGAAGAGCACTTGAAAATGGCGAACCAAACTTATTACGTAGTATTTTCTCTTTCGTTTCGTAGTCGTTTCTTTGTCCCAAAACGCTTCTTCTTCATTTTGAGTAAAGCGCGCCTAACGGACTTAAGTACTTAACAACTTAACAGCATGCTATCTCTTTCCCAACCCCTCTCTTGCTCTTTATCTCTCTCTCTCCTTCTCTCTGTGGCCCATCAAGAACATCCCCAAGGACCTACCATAATCGCTATCCTCCTTCTCTTTACCACTGACTTTATATTGTGTGGGTAGTTGGCAATTACTACTTTTACCTTTAAGGGCTTTTAGACTCTTTAGAGCCATGAATCAGTCGTTAACTTAAGTAAATTCTAATTGATTGGCCAAGGAAACAGCATCTACGACGGAGTCATCGACAATCGATTACAGCAATTAACAATTACAAAGCGATTTGGGTGGGTAAGTGCTTTTCATGCAGCATCGAAAAGGGGGTATTTCAATCTTAATTTGAAGTACAAATTAAAATTATAGTCGGTTGTCGCTCGTAAGTTTCAAATTAAAGATGAAAATAACAAAATTAAAAACTTATTGCCATTATTTTGCTTAAAAAAGTTATATTATTAAAATTCCTGCATGATTATATAATATATTCCTATTCACTCTTTAAAATAGTTCGTTATCAAAGAAAACCATAGTTTTTGGCAAAAACATATTATATAATATTATAATAAAATGTAAGTTTAAAATTTGTAAATTTACGAACGACAACTGTTTGTTAAAATCAGAATTTACCAGTCTTAACTTAACTTCAAACTTAAATTTTTTAAATCTATCCATCAGTTAGGGTTGCCACATGCTCCCAATTTCAAGACCTAACCCCCACACTCCACAAATATTTTGATTTAAACTACCGTTATTTTATTATTTGATTTAACTTTCTTTCGTTCTGCGCATAGTGTCGCTTCACGTTTTACGCTATACGTTAAATTTATATTAAAAACAAAAAGCAAAAACCAAGAACAAACATAAATGCGATGATAAATATGTGAAATGCAATCGTGAAAAGTGCAAGCAAAGTATGAATTTAGTTACAAAATTTCCTCTTTATCCAAACCGTACCGTAACTAGTTGTAATTTTTTTCAATTTCGACATTTTATGAATGATGCATTTTAGTTGAGTTTCTTGATTGATAGCTAAGTATATTGACGACTATTGATTGATCATGTATTTTGCTTAACTTTGCGTAGGTCGAGGCGAACCGAGTCGAGTTTTGCAAATGATCAACAAACTCAGCTTAATGTTTTACTTATTTATTTGCATTTTGCACACTGCGGCTTAGAATGTTTGACAAACCAACCTCATAGAAATTCCAAAAAAAAAAAAAACAACCAAAAATTATAATTCTATTAAACAATGAAAACCGACCAATTATCGAAATATAACAGTTAAATCAACTATTTTTAAATAGCTCGAGCATATCCTTCTCCTTTTGATTTACTCCTCGCTCTCTATCTCTCTCTTTCTACTCTACTCTTCTACTACTGACTGTTTGTGTGTGTGTGTAACTTTAAGTGAGCCACAATAATAACAATAACAACAAGTACAGCATTGTATGGTCATTGTCACACTCTGTTTATCAAGTACTCTTCTTTGATTTGTCGTCTACCTAAAATACAGCTGTGTTTAAATAAATAGCAGAGATTTAAAAAATTATCAACAAAATAACAATTTTCGAAAAAGAAATGTTTTTTAATGCATTCCTAATGCATAAATTACCTAAGAGATTTTTTACTGAAACTTTAAAATTTTTTGATATGCTGCAATTTTTTTAAATACGGCTGTACGTACATAAATAGTTGTTATTTGATTTCTAGCCAGTTGCAATCGCAGCTTTTGCATCTAGTCAGTAAGAGTTGCATACTACCTACTACGTTACGTTTTACGCTGACACCGGCTTACGTTACGATTAAATTATAACGTTCGGCGCTTAGACACGCCCCTTTTCCCCCCACTCTCTTGCTGTGCGTGTACATAAGTAACTATACATAGGCATAAGAACTACTACATATGTATATGGTGTGTGCCCAGCTCGATCACGATCTTTTGGATCTCCGTTCTGTTCCATTTCCGTTTCCGTTTTCACCCCGCTAAGATATATATATAAAAAAAACAGTAATTCGTAATAGCTTTTTCACAGGCTGAAGAAAAGCTCAAGCTTACTTACCGTAACTTACGTACATACGAGTTGTTTTTGTAACAGTTTATTTACGTTTTCGGTTTACGTTCTCTTTTGTATAGTTTTGGAGCATGACCAGCACTCTCTCTCTCTATCTCTCTCAAATATATATATACGTATCCAATGTATTTCTCTCGTGTTTAGCTAGTGAGAACGGCCTATTACGTTACAGTTGCCTTTTTGCCGTTACGTTAAATTTGAATAGTGTGAAGAACAGTGTGTGCGATTGGCGTTTCGTTGTTTTGATTTCCGTTTCCATTTCAATTTTTGGTAAGCGTAGTGTGCATAAAAACAAAGCGAGCAACAAATAAATAAATAAAATAGCAAACTAACCAAATTTCCACCTAAAATGCATTCAAAACAAAAGAGCAGAGCTAAAAAAAAAAGGAAATAGAAAAATCTGCAAACGATGTGAAACTAATTAGTACGTACGTATTTGTTTTATACTAAATGTGTGTACATATCGATATTATATATATATATATCTATATTAAACTAATATCTAATTATTGCATTTTGCCATTTACATATATATTATTTTTATCTTTTTCGTTTTTCTTTCTTCTTCATATAAAACCAAAAAAAAAAAAATCGAAAACTACTGCAAAATAAAAAAAAACTATATAAATAACGTATGTGTGTGGCTACCACTCTGCATATATACACCACTACTACTACTACTACCTACTACCTGTACATGTAATATGCATACAAATAACTATATATGGGTTGTGTTTAATACTACCACACACTGCTACTGCATTGATTTGATTGAACAATTTTCAACTGTATCTCGTACAACCGAATATTATACTCTCTATATATACGTATATATGTATTACATATTATCTAAAACAAACTGCAACTGCAATCCTCAAAATCGAAAATCCAGCGATGTACAAACAAGTAATTCTAGCGGAACTTGTATTTATAACAATAGCAAAGCGCATCATCATCACAACAACAGCAACAACAATGGTCACACTCAGAGCCACAGTCACACTAATCACCCCCATTCTCCACACACCCCCACCATTCACCAACCCCACCCTCAAATGCACACCCACCACCCGCATTCAAGTCCACCTCAGCAGTATAACAGTTACCGCCAATATCCACCGCATTCCCCGAACTCCCCACACAGCAACGGTCATACTAACAGCAACAACACTAGCAACAATCCAAGTAGTCAGCGTCCTCCTCAACAGCCTTATGGTAGTACTGTCCATGGCAATCAAAACCAGAATTCCTCCTATCCCAGTTACTACGAGATGTGTCCGGGAAGTAGTGGATCACAGACCCACACCTATGGATCCATGTCCGTTTCCCTGGTGAGACTGAATCCCGCCCGTTTGTGCCTAACGCTAGGACCTGCCACGCCACCATCCCAGCGCGTAGTATCCTTCAGCCATAGATCCAATTCCAATTCCAGTTCCAACTCCAGTTCCAGTTCCAATTCCAGTGATCAGAATCATTATAGCCCACCGCCACGTAGTCAGTACCATCATCCCAATCCACATCAGTACCAATACCAGTACCATCCGCAACAACAGTACCATCCATTGCATAACCCACAGCAACAGACTAATCGCCAATCCCTCCCGCTAACACGAACGAATTCAAATTCAACCAACGCAACAACTTTCAATTCAACCAATCCAACAACAAATAGTAATCCTACTGATGTTGTGAATGTAAATTCTTGTACCGATATAATTCCTCATGGGTCTTCGTCTTCGTCTGCGTCGTCGATGCTGCCCCAACAACCACAACAACAACAACAAATTAATAACGCATCCGCACCCATCAATAGCCACAGCCAGGGACAGGGACCAGGAAACTCACCCAATCTTGGCCACAACCATCAGCGTGGCTACAACAACAACAACATCAATATCAACACCCGTGGTATCGGGAATGGACTCGGTAATGGTAATACCAACGGACCACCCGAATATATGAACTACCGTCGTGGCCTATGTCCTGCCCTATCACGGGACTACTCTGGCAATGGCAACGGACACGGCCACAATGGACGTCGCTATATGTCCGATCATCTCAATAACGCCTCCTCATCCAACGGCCTCATCAATAACGGACACCATCAGCGCAACTACAACGATAGGAACTTGAATAACGTAAGCGGACTGAAACTTTTATTGGATCTTCAAATTGGTGTAAGAGAAATATTTGTAGAGATTTACCGAAAGTATGCAATCATTTATACACACTTAGGGTAAACCTGTCAGATCATTCGACTAAATCATTCGTATTTGTTGTTAGCTTAGTCAGGAAACACTTTTTTAAATGGATCTCATATTTTTCACAAACCCGGATGTTAATCCACTTCCTTTCACGTCCCACCAGCACTTTGGAAACTCTGATCAGGGTGGACCGGACCATCGGGACAGAGCTGAGGGCTCGTCGTACAACTTTATCCGCAATGGAGGTGGTAGCGGAGGAGGGTACGGGCGCAATGGATCGCATTACCAGCACATGTCTTATGGAAACAATAATGGTGCCTCCACATCCTCCGGTGGGCAAGGGCTAATGGGAGAATTGCCTTCAGGATCAGGTCTATCGGGTTCTTCGCTATCGCTGAACAACGGACCCGGCGGCCTCAACTCGGACAGTCCGTCACGAAAGCGTCGCCGCATATCCGGAAGGCCCCAGAACGGACCGCAGCCACAGCACCGCTGTCTTATGGCCCACGTAAGTGTTTTGTCGAGTGTGTCTCCTCTGGAAGAGTTCTTACTTAATATACAATCCTTACCAGATGCAGCAGGGAAGTCCTCCACTTCGACGTCCACGATTGCGCGATGTGGCCACCTCCACGCAGCAGCAACAGCCGTACGGCCAGCAGGTTCACCATCCTCAGCAGCAGCCTTCTAACTACCACCCGATGCACCACCATCAACCCCAAACCCACTACGTCCCTCAGCAGCAGGTGCCACCGCCTCATGTCCAACGTTCGCCGTGGGATTTAGGCAGCAGTGGAGGAAGCACCAGTGGAGCAACCTCCAGCAGCTCGGTGGGTCCCATTCTGCAGCAGGTGCAGGCGCCTCCGCAGCCACCGAGTCACCAGCAAACGGTGGGCTATCCACCGGCACCACCACAGCCTGCCTCCCTTATGGTGGACCTTAATTTGAATCAGGTGCCTGTGAGTCTCCAGTTGCGTCCGTCGGAACCCTTCTGGGCCTCTTTCTGCACGTATCCAATTCCGGCGCAGGCTAGGTTGGCTCCATGCCACCTGCATGGTGTCTACACGCAGCCCTTCCCCACCGCCCCGCCACCCGGATTGGCTGCTCCGCCGCTCCAACAACAACATCAGCCACTTATACAAGGTGAGTAACTATACGGTGAGATAATACCATCAACTAATGTCTCTTCTACTCCTTTAGCCCAGCAAATGATAGCCCAGGCCACGTTGACCGCCCAGCAGCAGCAGCGTGAGGTGGTGGCCATTACGACGACCAATCTGGGACCCATTGACGCTCCCGGTGCCCATGGCCATCCTCACGCTCATCCACATGCTCATCCGCATCCTCATCAACTGCCGCCGGGCATCCACATCACCCCTCTGAGTGGAGCTGCGGCAGCGGCTGCCACACACCACCTACATTCCACGGCGGCAGCTGCAGCGGCCGTTGCCGCTCAGGCCAGCGCCCAGATGTCTGCCGGGCCGCAGCAGATCATCATTTCGTCGGATCGCCGCACATTCCCGCCCCACCGCCGCATACCGCGCTTCTGGCCGGCTAACCATGGTCATCGTCATGTCCTGCCGCCCCAGTCGCTCGCCGCCCACCAGGCTCCGGTGCAGATCCAGGCCACCTCGGGCATTATCAACCCGGGCTTCTTGCTCAACTTCCTGTAAGAATATTTAATCATATTGTACCTTGACCATAAGTTAATCCACCTCTCATCGTTTTACAGGGCTATGTTCCCGCTATCGCCTTACAACCAACATGATCTAAGCTCCGGCGACACCAATGAAACGGAGAACTATGAGGCATTGCTCAGTTTGGCCGAGCGATTGGGCGAAGCCAAGCCAAGGGGGCTCACCCGCAATGAGATTGACCAATTGCCCAGTTACAAATTCAACCCGGAGGTGCACAACGGTAAGTGGTCACAAAGAGTACATTTCGGAGAAACTTATAGAACCATACTAAAGGCATTCAATTTGTATAAATATTACTCATTCGACTAGTGGGTCCAAATATGTAAATTTATTATATTGCTTTTAATCGAGACTGGGATGCTTCTTTGCAAATGCAAGTTTCTCATAGCAATATAACTTACATTTCTTTGATTTTTTTACAATCATTTGGGGAGGTGTACGTAACGTATACGTGATAAAATTGAAATTATGCCCCAAAAAGTATGCTATTTTAGCTATATTTACCAAAATATTAGATTATTTATTTCCATTCGTATTTTAAACAAGAAATCCTTTTAATCTTAATAATTTAACCGTGTAATCTTCTACTTACTGACCCAATCATCTTTCGTCTAGGCGATCAATCATCCTGCGTTGTTTGCATGTGTGACTTTGAGCTGCGTCAGCTTCTGCGCGTCCTTCCCTGCTCCCACGAATTCCATGCCAAGTGTGTGGACAAATGGCTGCGGGTGAGTACCTAAAAAATATACCAAAATGCAATTAGAAGTCTAAAAATTATGATTCTCCACCAGTCGAATCGCACTTGCCCAATTTGTCGTGGCAATGCCTCCGACTATTTCGATGGCGCCGATCAGCAGCAACAGGCGCAGGCAACAGCCGGAGCTGCGGCTGCACTAAGCAGCACATCCGGGGGAAATGCTGGAGTGTCGGGATCATCTGCGGCAACGACTGCCACCGCCAATCCTCAGCAAAGCCAGGCGGCCTAGACCCCTAATCATATTCCACAACACCTCTCCAGCTTTGGCTTTTCCGGGCGATGAGTGGACAAGGTGAAGGAGTTCATCGGGATGGAAAGTTGGCCAGAGGCGGGGGACCCTCCCACCACCGCCATCACTTGATGTAACGCGCAACGAATCCAACTGCCAAACCGTCGACGCTTCCTCCTCAGCTGTAAGCCCCCGCCCACCTGGCCAAAAATATGATAGAACCAACCCGCTCCTTCCCTCAACCACGCCCTCGCGCAACTTGACGCCTCTTCAATAGCTTGTCTTAGACATTAGTTTGTATGTGAGTAATGGTAACCGTAATTAGGAGTAACCCATATATGCATACCACCAAGAATTCAACTATAGTTAAACAGCGTATATAGAATATATATATATATAAATATATATTTGTGTGTATAGAGAAAGATAAAGCCGTAAAACAAGTGTCTGTATATAAGCCAAGATTTGCACAAAAATTCATAATAGATTTTCTTTGCCTTTCACACTCGAGGATACCCTATAATCCATAAAAAAAAAAACAACTATATACGAACAAACATAAGTGTATTCAAATGCCTGGCAGCGGTAACTTAAAGTTCTGATAAATTTGGGATATTCAGGAATTATTAATCCCCAAGGTAGATGTTGATAGGACTTTGAGGCTTACCGTTTGCCAAATCAAAATGGTTTATCTTGAATTGTTGCTGTCCACACGCATACCTATGAAATAACTCTATATTATAAAGTATATAAATATTTAAGGAAAGCGGAATTTTTGAATATTTAGATTTGTGTTTTCTGCTTTTGAGTTAGGCTTGCATATTTGCTGCTTCCTCTACGTATTTTGTATTTACTACCATTAATTTTAGTTTTTTTTTAACAACGTACTATATTTATCCTTATACGACATACATACAAAAAAAAAAAAAAAAAAACAAAACAAAACCAGCATAAATATAGTGCATTGCATTTTATACTAATTGTACGAACTGAACCCACTGAAGAAGTTCTTCTTCTTGCACTAGCAAACAAAAAAAAAACATTAAAACAAAGAAAATTATATCTTTAGAAGAGGAAAAAAGATCGTATATATATATTTTTTTCGTTTCTACTGTTCGAAAATCTAGTAACTATAAACGGAAGCAACTAACCTTGAAACATATAAGCAATCTTTGAAATCGACTAAACCGGATGAGCAGGAGGAGGACGATAAGCGTTTCAGCAAATATACTATATATATATATATATAGATGCATACACAGAACCATATACACTAAACAGGAGGGAAAGCAGCAACCATATAAGAATTTAGCATACAGGCATAGAAACATATGTATATTGGTGGGCTTATTAATGTATTTGTAGTAGATGTGTGCGTAATTAAACTAAATGCAATCGCTATGAGAACACAAATATCGTATAAATCGTAACCAGACTTTTCCAGGGCCAGCGTGCGTGGGTAGGTTGACCTTGACCGCCCATTGACCAGTCCATCCACTTCCGTAGTATTTTTGCCTTTTGAACTGTAACGTCTGTAGCTCTAAACACAAGCATTAAAATACTTACTCTACATACACACCTTAACCTCCTTCAATGTGACTTGTCTATTAAAATTTGCATCAGATGCGAGTATTACGATTATCATATATATATATACATACACACACATACACACACCCAGATATATAGAGAGTTTCCTTCTGATATAAGAGCGATTCAAGCGAACTACGTGCACTAGCCTTTAAAAGCCGAAGGACGACAGCAAACAATTTTTACCAATATACATGTACAAGTACGAGTACCATACAATAATTATCTATATCTATCTATCGATCGGTATAAACATAACCAATTAAACGTGGAACTAAACCAAACGAGAAATATGAAGATGAAGAAGAAGAAGAACAAGTAAATTGAAATGATTCCTGCCCTCCATTCGTATTAAAAAACAAAAAACAAAACCATTGAAACTAACTCAACAACTTTTTATAGCATATATATACTATGGATAGCATTGATTTTTTGTGAGAATGGATATACATAACATTAGTTTAGCCACTTCGGGTAGGCCATAAGCCGTATCTATTGGGTCATCCGTTGCTTATAGCGAGAGTTAGCAGCACTTTTTTCCTATCCTGAATTCCCCCTTTCTGTCCCAGCTCCCTCGTTCTCGAAGTCCTTAATAAATCTATGCATTACTGAAATCTTGATACCTAGTATATGTGTAAAACGTGTGTGTATTTATTATGCCCGGTATTTGAAGAAGTCAAGGATATATATTGCAGTCTTACATATATTCTTATTAAGTATCAACAGTCCAGCTAATATAGTTTTGTCCGATAGTTGGAATACGTTTCCCAAGGCCTCTTTCGCCATTGTTAATCGTAAAAAAACATCTCAAATTCTGCTGATAGATAAATGTTATTTAAAACTACAAAAAAAAAACTACCAAAAACTGACCAGTTTCTAGAATGCTTTGGATATTTTTGATGCCAGCCAAGCAAAACGCCTTAAGGTATGCAAATAATTTATCAACAGGATAATGAATACCGGGTATCTACTGATCGGACCGTTCGATCATAGCGTTCTTTCTTGTTTTTAATCTATATGAATGGTATTTCCAAAAGACCATTGTAAAGGTGTTGTGCTTTTCTAGAATTTTATTAGTAGGAACATCAAACTGAATGATAAACGAAAAACCCAAAAATAAAGTTTATTTTTTGTCACAATAACAGAACGTTATGATAAAAGCAAGTAACTATATATAGAATATATTATATACATGAATTGAATACCTTTTATACGTGCACTGACATAATTACTTACGAGTATATGTAAAGTAAATTCAATCAACCAAGCTAAGCAGAAAATGAACTTTAATCAATATATTTTACTTTCTAATCCGGTTTCGATACTTTTACGCTGTTCAGTTTGTTCTATATCTCTCCGTCTATCCTGAACTAACGCACTAATACTAGGTGTTTCCATCGAATAGTTTTCTTTTCCAACAACTATCTTCGGGTTTTTTATTTTCCAGACAATTAACAAAAATCAAAAGCTTATCATAAAAATATATTTATAGTAAACAAAACGAAGAAAAAACCAAGAAAAAAAAAAACACAAACAAAAAAAATTATAAAGTTTTGCTGTGATGTACGTTATATATATTTAATTACATAAAATGCAATAAAAATTTAAAACATATAATGCATAATTCCAAATTATTACAACAAAACAAAATATGAAACAAAAAATGAAGAATGATTATGAAATACAAAAACAAAAAACATTTTATGCATGAGAATTTCTCCAAAACACAAAAAAACAAAACAAAAAACAAAAATGAATTCAAAAACAATATGTACGACATACTATAACATCTACACTTGTCTAGAATTTATGCAATTTTAAATGTGACTATTATTTTACATTTTTGTAGGCAAGAACCGAGACACTCTTCTAGTAATTGTAAATCAGTTAACCATAGTATTAAACAAACGTTTTTCAGTGGCATTGTAACGGTGAGCGGGCGTTTTTAATGTTAATTGCAATTATTTTAATTTTCGGTTTTGTATTAACTCGCAAAATTTCAATAAAATTCAATGAACGTCAATAAAAAATATGATGTGTTTTCCTATATATATTTTGTGGCATTGGGTAAATAAAATGTTTTAGAAATTATCTTAATTAAAGTCTGCTAATCTAAAGCAACTTTAGCCAGTTGATTACCAAACAAGTTATAGAACAAAACATATCTAAATATAAAACGCAAAATTCTAACAGGAAATGAGCCAACCTACATACCTATAAATATGTCGTCTATGTTTATAAAAAAAAGTTAATTAATTCTATTATTAGACTGATTCAGATTTATTATGAGGAAAATAATGAGATCACAATCTTAAAGTTAAAAGGAAACAGTTTTCTTTAGCTAAAAACATAGTTAAGCTACTTTCTGAGTCATGGAAAAGGATCCCCTTGAGATGCAATCTCGAAAACCTGATTAAATGTGGCAACTTTCGAGTGGCAATCGAAAATAACACATGATTTTTAGATTTGAATCAATTAAATCGAATGTGTATCTTTCACGCCCGAAAACCGCACTCAGTGTGTCTTTAACCGATTTTACGATGGCTTTTCAGCGTTTTGGCCAACATTAGATGGTCGCTTGGGCCTGCAATTCCCGGTTGTCACAGCATATGGCTCTGATTGGCATTACCAAAATTCCACATGACTTTGTTTCAACAGATTTGCGGCACAAAGAGTTAACAACAACAGATGTTCGAAGCGAAAAGCGAAAAAAAAGGTAAACGAGTTGCCAACTAGGGACTAAGGCCAACGAAAGAGACGGCGCGAGTGTGGGAGAAAGAGAGCGGCGACAGGTCAACTTAACTGAGAGCAAAGCAAGAGAGTGAGAGAGCAACTTGTTTATTTGCCACCCACAACTGGCTGCTGGAACGAGAGGAAGAAGAAGAAGAAGGCGAAGAAGAGGAAGATCACCTCTGCTGGCATTGGCAGAGTATTTTTGCAGTTATTTTTCATACTTTGTTTTTTTAAGCGCATATTTTTGCTGTATTTGATTTTGATTTGTTTTCGTTATGGTATTTGCTGTTGCTTCACTGACGTCACTTGACGGTTGAGGTTTCAGTGAGCTTCAGAGTGCCTTTGGCCATTGTTGTTATTTTCGTTGTTGTTTCTTTTGCCCACCACGACACTTTCTACAAGAAAATGTTGAGAAATCAAAAAAGATGCGACAGCTTCTTCTCTATGGGAAGCACTGAAAACAAAGGTAGTTCATTTTGGTAATGACTATTTTAGTTATTATCATTTGTAATACTTCCAACTAGTTTTTATGATTATAAAATATAACTTAGTGAGATCATAATTAAAAGATATTTGAACATAAAATAAGTACATTTTCTGCAAGTGCATGTTTGTTGGCCTCTTATTGGATTGTGTATGTGTAATAGCCGCAAAAGTTCATTGGGAAAGTGCAACCTGAACCTGCTGGGAAATAAGGCCGCAATTGATTGATAAAGAAAACCCCATTTAAATGGCATAAACGATCGTTTGTTTTACTCCCCCGACAGCGAGTGCAATCCATTTTATGGAAACAGAGGCAATTTAATTGATGAAAACACTAAGAATGCTATGGAAGAACGTGCCTTTTAGGTACAGTGGTTGCCATCGGCAAATTACCATTTATAAACGATCCCCCCTTATTGAACGTGATGGTTATGAGAGAGAAGCGAACAAGAAAGAGAATGATACTGCACTGCTGTTATCAATTGTACACCAATAAGATCACTGCACACGTTGGTCTCCTATTGGAAGTGCAATATGCGGGTTCTTTGATCGAAATTCGCGTCCAACGTGCGTGGATCGAACTTTACGGGTCCCCTAATCTCTATAGGCTTCGATTGCTTGTTTTGATTAGTTCGTTCGTTTGGCTGCGGCTCCTTCGTGTGTATTCGTAAATAAGTGGGGATGACATCACCGACGCTCCACTCTCCACTTCGCCGAAATAGAGAGAGACTCTCTTCCTAGTTTACTCTCTCATGGAGCGATCTCTCTTGGCATCCAAAACCTTTTAGCCGTGTGCTCGTGTGCATTTGTGGAGCCACAGTGGGCGTGGGGTCATTAAATACTTTGTAGAAATTCTATTTATAAAGTTCTTTCACTTTCGCAACTTCTGGACTATTCTTTCGTATGTTTAAACTATAATTTTTAAGCTTTAAATATTATAATATATATTAAATATGACAAACAATTTTGAAATTCAAATAGATTTTATGACTTTTAGTCATAAGACTGAAAAGGGAAACAATTTTTTTTAGAAAATATTTTGGATTTTTACTAAAACGGTTCCTTATTTAAACTTAATTTATATTAATAATAATATTTTAGAAAATTTATAATGATCATTACATTTTTGTATTCCTATATATAGTGCACTTACCAATTAAATATTTTTTGAGGCTTTAAAAAATCAAGAACAAAAATTACTAATACGCACGGTGGCCATAAAATAGTCAATAAATATTACTCATACGCAAGGTTGTTTACACCTTAAATGCAATTAAAATAAAAATGAATTAGAAATATATCTATGAGATGGATTTCATACTGTTTAGCCCACTATGCCCACTCATAGCGAACCAGAAACAGACTCGAGGAGGTTGACTTGTTGTTTGTTGGCCAACAAGCGCCGTGAGCGAGATACGCGGATAGAGTGGATAGAGAGCCCAGCCACGCGAGAGAGCGGAACGCCAACGCCGAAAAGTGACGACGACTCTACGGTTTGAGTTGTATCTTCTCGATTTTTTCAATCAGTCTTTTGGAATTCGCGAAACAATGCGGTCGCCGTACGAAGAAAGCGCTGCTGCGGCCGACCACAAATACCAATACCAATACACCGCGGCCAATAATAACAATAATTACTATAAAAACTATAATGTGAATGGCAATGGGCAGGCGAATGGAAATGGGAATCTAAGTGGAAGTGGAAATGGCAATGGAAATGGTATACCTTATCACGCGCGCGAGAATTCGTTGCCATTTAGCTATGGCATAGCCAAAACTTCCACGCCGCTGCGCAAAACTCCGACCCCGACGCGTGTGGATAGTTTTCTAGACTTTGATTTCGGGACCAATACAACGAATGCTACCAATAATGGAAGTTCGGGTAATGGTAGTATTGGAAGTTCTAACGATATGATAAAGCCACCAACCCGGCTGACGAGCCCTTTGCTGGTGCGCAAAACGCTGGGCAATGGTGTTAGACCCACCAGTTCGACGAACACCAATACCATAGCCAATACATACCACTATAGGTCGAGCAGTGCTACACCGACGCCGCTGAGAGATAATTTCGAGCAGCTGCTGCGGGAGCGACGCGAAAAGGTCTATAACGAATATAGGAATATAGACAGGGAGTCGTCGGGGGAGCGGGGACGAGTAGCGCCCGCTCCGCCACAAAGGCAATATTATCCCAGTGATTCCTATGGCAATGGCTTGAAGAACGGCAATAGCTCGGGAAATGGTTTGAACAACGGAACTCTATACCGCAAAAGTCCCTCAAATGGGCAATCCTCTAAATATAACTATGATTTCGAGTTCAATCTTAATCTGGATGACGTTAAACCCGAATCGAAACCCGAATTTACTCCCTATACAACGAGAAATATTCAATTCGAGGATCTGCGATTGGATCAGGATGTGCCAGATGGCGCGGTCAATCGGCGGACCATGGAACGCAATTATCACACAATTAACAGCTTGGAAACTTCGACCCACAAACGCCAGCAGTTGGAGCCGTTGGAGCAACTGGGCGCCGTTTATGGCCAGAACCACATGGAGGAGACACTCACGCGCACTCGCCGCGATCTCTCCGCATCGACATCCACATCCAAGTCAACCTCACCATTGCCAGCACTGGCACTGGGACCAGCTCCAGCATCGCCCATCTATGCCACCAGTACGAAGAGAGTGAGCAACCCAAATACCAATGGCCATCAGCAGATGACGCCTAGTCCCACCAGTAGGCCAGAAACGCCCGCCTTTCCGGTCACGCCGCGCACGCCTTTTGGGGCATCATCATCGTCTTCGTCTTTGTCGACGACGACCCAGTTGCCGCCGGAGTCAATCTATCAAACAGGGCCACGTCGGGGTGTACCGCCAGCTCTGCAGCCATTCGAGGTATCCGCCGACTCCGTGAGATTTGCTCGGAGTTCAGCCAAATTCTGGTACAAACCCAATCTCACGCGCGAAGACGCCATAGCTTTGCTGGCCTCTGCCCAGCCGGGTACTTTCCTGGTCAGGGATTCCACCACATATAAGAACTCCTATGGTCTGGTGGTGAGGGTTGCCCAACCGCCAGCCGGTTCCCAGGAGTTGGTGCGACACTTCCTTATCGAGCCAACACCGCAGGGAGTACATCTGAAGGGCTGCGATGACGAGCCGGTGTTCACTTCATTATCCGCACTGGTCTTCGAGCATTCCATCAGCCAATTGGCATTACCGTGTCTGCTCCGGCTGCCTGATCGGGATATCGTGCCACCAGTAAGGGCCACTACACCAGCACAGCAGCATCTTATTGCCCATGGGGCAGCCACCAATGTCCTGTGGCTCTTCTCCTGCGACACTGAATCGCTGACCGGCAATGAGGCCATACGCAAGGCCATTCGTCAGATGTACGCTCAACGACCCGCGCCACAGCCCACCGAGGTGCACTTCAAGGTCTCCTCGCAGGGCATTACGCTTACGGATAATACGCGCAAGAAGTTCTTCCGCAAGCACTATACGGCAGATGTTATCTCACACTGTGCCATCGATCCGGAGAACAGGATGTGGACCAGTGAGGGTGAGGCCGACAAGAAGACCATCTTTGCTTTCGTGGCCAGGAGATCGCACAGCTCCACGGACAACCAGTGTCACGTGTTCTGCGACCTTTCAGTCAGTCAACCGGCAGCGGCGATTGTCTCGTTTGCCAATCGAACGCTGCCCACCGAAAAGCTAAGCAACTACGTCCTGTAGAAAGGAGGCGTGGCTCGAGGTCAACAGGTCAGTGAGCAGGATTCCACTGCCATCCGGAGTGGAGCGACGCACAAGCAGGTGAGAAGCATGACGGGGTGCAGTTTTGCGATGGGTCATAAAAGAGCAGTTTTTGGGTGTGGTCCGGCCTTGGGAGGCGTAATTGCCGATTACAGTGGTCCTTCGATTGGATGAACTTATTTTGCCAACTTTATTTCAAATGATTAGGCTCCTTAGATGTACTAAAAATATGCCTAACCATATTTTCTTTTAGTTTTCTCAAAGGTCAGCAGTTCAAAAAACATATTTCGAAAATCACTTTTTAGAAACAATTTGTTTTCAACAATAATTTGTTTTAAATATCTTATATGTATTCTGTCTAAAACAAAATATGTCAGAGGTTCGGTTGAGACACTTTTATTTTTAGAGACTTTCCCTTGTTGTTTATTTTAAAATAGACATTAGTTGTGCTTGCGGAACTGTAATTTTGGCTATCTTTTACCGCTTTTCTTCGAATTTAAAATATTTTTTGTTGGTCTAAAGCTACGAACAGAGAAACTTTCATTGTACAAAAAAAATTGAAGTCACTTCAAATATTTGCTTTACCAAGCTGTCACTGTAAATTCATCATCATTCTGCGCTACAAATGGGAAAACTATTAAAAACGCTTCAGTTTCTGGGGCCCTTCCGTTCGCTTGGGTTCGTCTTCATTTTGTTTATTTTACATAACGCCCTGGCTGTTTGTTTGTTTAACGGTTTCCATATACTGCCGAGCACACATCCAGATATATATATATATATATATATATATATATATGTACATACGTACTCACGAGCACCATCTAGAAGCATTTGGCTAACATTTCTAGCTACACGTTTTTTTCGCAACGGAAGTTTCTGTCATGAGTCAGTTGTCTATAAATGATTGAGATTCGAATTCAGAATCGAAGAGCCTTCCCCGGCCCCGAAATTCTGGAGGACCACACCTATTCGGTAGCCCTATTAGGTATTTCTTTCAAGCAATGATTAATTTCCCCTGTTCACGGTCATGTGCTGAGGTCGCCCGATAAGGCCAAAAGCGCTTAACTGTGCATTGCCATGCTACAGAGGCAAGTTTTCATTAGGTGCCAGTGTATATTCGCTATCAAGACGCCAGGTGATCCACTATACTATACTATACTATAATAATAGAGCCGAACATTTGGCTACAAAAATTGTGACGACTAAAAAAAGATCTGCCCACAGACGAGTTTATAGTTATTGCCGTGTTGTTTATTTAGCCTTAAAGATACATATTTTGGAATGATTTGATAAGAATAAGAGACTTGTTGTGTTGATCTTGCTGAGAACATTCTCAAATAATCGCTCCCCGATCCACCTTGAAGTTTTTTCGGAATTTTTCACTTGAGCCATAAAAGCGGAATATGCAAATAAACAGGCGTTCATAGAAATCGATTTTACGTCTACTATATAGCGCAAAAGTTGAAATAAATTCATACGAACCGGCGGGCGTCAATTGCGCATTTTAGAAAAACCGCACATCGAACACACAAAACTTAATTCCAGGCACGTTTGCGTTTATTTTTTCTATTTATTCCACTCTCCTCGACGAGGTTCGGATAAAAGTTACTGTAAATAAAAACCGGGGAGCTCTAAAAATAAAATAATATTAATATATATATATATGTATTTGTTTCAAAGAGGGCCCCGCACCTTAGCCCCAGTCTCTGCGCCTCGGGCCCCCATTGTTTGTTCAATCGAATGATCTATTTGATCCGCAATTAAGCAATTATACATGCATATATGTACAATACATATAGTACATTGGAATTTATGACCTTGTTGCTGCGATTTAAACCAAAAATTTATTCTTTCATCTCTTCCAGGCAAATGGAATTAGTCGGTTATGCGAAGGAGGAGTAGAAGGAGATGTAGGAGGCCCAGTGCTGTAAGATGTACTACTAACTAATCACTTTACGAAATTGTGTCTTGCGATATAATGAGCTTAACTACGAATATGTTAACAGAAATGATGTCAGCCGTAGTTTATTTAGACACGCACACACTCAGAAGTCGGCGATATTTATGGCAAAGCTAAAACATATGTACACATGTGTATTATCAACTTGAATTGACTAAATGCACAGTGGGACAAGTGGATTCTCGAGTTTGATAACATCTATTGGAAACACCCATTCATGATTGCTTATATGCCCACTGTATAAACAAAGCCATGCATATTAAATACATTTTAAACTTCTAATTGAGCCGTTTTAAGGAATCTCGTACCACTGTGCTGAGGGTGAAGTGAAATTGATCCCTGAAAGTTGACGGTTTATTAGCAAAAACAAAAACACTTCGGATGTGTTTTTTTTTTTATATCTTTGAGTTGTGTGTTTTTATATAGGGTGCGCTTGTCAGACAAACGGAATTAAACTAATCTACCACATAACTTTAAATCGATTAATGTTAATTTAGAAAGTTGTTGAATAAAACCTAAAACTGCAAGCTATTTTAGAGAGCTTGTTCCCCTAATTTATACCAGTAATATCTATATAAATATATGTATATCCTTAAGCTCTACTAATGCAGTCAATATAAATAAAGTGCAATGTTGTTAAACAGATTAAAATTCATTTTATTATTATACTGAATCTGACTTGCTAAAAGCTCGGCGCCCAGCATCTGTTAATAATTTGTTATCTAACTAAAAACACAGACACTGCGCTCTACATTTCAGGGCTGTAAATGTCATATATCAACAGACATGTGCTAAGGCGGTTGCTTTTGTTGAACAATTAATGGTTTATGTACCCGCGGGCAATGGCAATATACAATATGCATTTGTATGAACACAACAATTGTTTAGTAATTTAATCTTATCGTTTGCCAGCGACGAGATCTCTATGGTCAGCTAACCATAGGAAAGTGTGGAGTACTTTTTTTTTTTTTTTATAAATATAAATAGTTACCCAGTCAGTCACCCTTGCATCAATTGGATTCGTCTATCCTCAGCTCCAAAAGATGCAAGATACAAGTAGTCTCTTGCTTAATGGCAAAATCCAATTTATTCAAAGGCAGCCCACAGTCAAGTGTGCCAAGTGAAATGAAAACGCGTCCGTCGACACGACCTTGAGATCAATTTGTGGCGGCATGACGTCATCCCCTTTCAATAGCAACACAACTACAGCTGCCCCTCACGCTTTAAAGAAAACAAAAATTCTTACAAAAATTTATCAAATTAAATTTTAGGCTAATGCTCCCCAGCGTTCTGTGCACCCACATTTTAATGATTTTGATTTCAGCATTCTATGTTTATTCTATTTTCTACGGGCTGCTAATTTCCTATATGTATTTGCCATGTCAAGCGCCCCCAAAGAGACCGAAACCAGTTTGTCATGTTCTTTGCCTAAATTCGATAATTAATTGAGTGCCGGAGAAACAGCAGTCACTGAATATAGCGACAAACTCCGGTTGCATGAGCTCTGTGTAGCGTCGCCTTATCCAGACGCCCGGTGACGAAAGCAAAATCCATCGAGATTCCAAGCGAGACGCAATGCAGGTTTTGTATCTTACATTTAATACATTTGGATTTGGTTGTGTGTACAAAAGTGAACATAAAATCAACGTTTGGTGTGTGGTTTTTTAGATATCTACATAGCTACATACAATATCGTTCGTTTACATCATATTCAGTTAAACATAATAAATACATTTTAATAATATATACTCGCATACGTATATATAACAAATAATACATCCAGATTTAGCAGACCCGCATCTTGGAGCCCTAGCAGGCAGATTCAACATTTCGCGTGAAAAACAGTTTTCCAAGTGTATAAAAATACATAATAAGACAACTTTTAAATTCCTTTTGGATTTCAATTGGCGGAATACGAATATAAACGATTTCATTTTTCCAAAACCTTGTCATTTAAAAGCAGTGGAAAATTTAAAGTTTATCAATCCGCATTCCGCACATTGTTATCAAAATCGGAATCAAGAGAAGGGTTGATAATAAAAAGCTCAGAGAAAACTAAGGCGGCTCCTCTATTCCTGTGCCTAATTAAATATGGTTTGAGTGTGTATGTGTTTGTCTCATATTTAAGATTAGTTACAAAAATTTCTCTAGTTTTTCACGAGCCTATTGCCATATTGCCATTTTCCGTTCCAATATTTCGTCTATTGAATGTAGAGCAACTAATTTGACTTCGCCGAGTAAGGACTTGTTGAACCCACCGACGGAGGCGTGGGTGTAGCTCCACTGCGAATGCCATCGCCCTCACATACATATTTTCCTGAAAATCCAAATAAAGTTAGATAATGTTTATACTGATTGTATAGTTAAAAAACGAACCGGAAACGAATCGCCGTTTGACCAGTGATAAGCGATAGCCGCTGCCCTGAAGTTCGAATTCTATGCCCGAAAGTGTGGTGCCTTCGCAATTGAACTGGGTGGCCAAGAGAGCAGGCGTCGAAGGACCATCGTTGAGCTCCAAGCGTGCGCGCAGTGTTCCCACTCCGCCGTCTTGTGAATTCTGAGAAATATCTGTAAAGTTCCACACCAAACGATTCGATTCACCTAACCTGAGAATATAAAAAAATATTTAATAATATAAAAAAAACTCAAAAAATCGTCTTTTACGTACCAGGCGGAATGCGGCTTGGACTGAACATTACGCACTGATCCGTTAACAGGCACCGAGAGTGTCACGTTCAGCAGTGGTGAAGCACTGGCCATGGCATGGTTATTGTACTTGTAGTCCACTTTGAGGGCCGTGTAGCTGGACTCGCACTTCCAGTAGCTAACCAATTGAAAAGGACATGAGCTAGCACCCGGCTTGGTGCGCACCTGATACTTCAGTATGTCCACGTTGAAGTAGGAGGCTGCCGGGTTATTCTCAGCCTGCCTTCGAAGGAGGGCCGTCAAAGCACTCATATTAAACTCCAGCATGGTGCTTACAGTGCTCGACTGCTGACGATCTCTGTAAGAAGTCAGTTTTTAGATTGCGTTAATAAAAAGAGTAAGTAATAATCAAAAACTTACATTTGCACCAGTTTTCCGTTTGGCACCAGGTTCTCCAAATTCTGAACGTGCTTAATGCGAAAACCCAGCTTGGCTGGATTGGGATTATTGGCTAAAAGGCCGGCAATGCCGGCTGGGAATGATAGCATCATATCACCGGACACCTTCACCTGGCAGCGCGATTCATCGCTGCCCCGGAAATAGGCGTGAATGATTTCGTGGAATGCTACCGCCAGCGGTATGGTGTCCGAAATACCGATTGTGAGTGGAGACGGTCCTCTCGAAGAACCCACCCCTATGGCCGTGCGAAACTCGAGACTGCCAATGCTCTCGGCTCGATTCATAGCCGTCACCGGAGCCGGAGACATTCTTCCGCGACCCGGAGCTGTCCCGGTTGCCGCCGGTCCAATAGCTATCATATCAGAGCGTCGTGATGGTGGACGTGGTATGGCTATGCTTCCACCTGTAGATGCTGATGTAGGTGTTGGTATTTGTCTGCCTGGCGGTTTTCCTAGCGTCGCCGATGAGGGCGCTGACATGCTCATGTCACCCAGCTCTGAGAAGATATCGCCCAGGTCCGCATATCGACTGTTGATCGTGTTGTTTGCGTTATTATTGTTGGAAAGTGTTGGACTCTGCAGCGGTGCATAAGGATGCACACTGGCCGTGGGAGTGGAGGCATTCGATATCTCTGGAGACTGCTGACGTGACGCCGGAGCACCTCTGGCTGCCTGCAACTGTTGGCTGTGATGCTGTTTGTGAATTGATTTTGTTAGTTTTTCCTTGTTAAAATCCCTTACAGACAGAAAGTTATACTTACTGAAAATACTCCAGTTGGGGAAAGCGAAATGTTCTCAACTGTGGCACGAAGCTCGTCCACGCTAGCCGACATGGGCGCCTGACCATTCTTCAAGGGTTTAATGCTTACATGAATCCGTCGCTCCTGTTTGTCATTGTCGGAGTCCGTATCCGAGTCGGAATAGAAACTGCCAGCTGGAATAGTTTGCCTCTTTAGTCATAAATGTGAAAATTTTTAAACTTAAAGGCTTACATTTATCCTGACCCTCTTCCCACGCAATTTCCTTTGCCGGTTGTATGCTGAATCCCTCCTCGTCGACCTCATAGCCAGTTCCAGTGCCACTTGAGGCGCCTGGAGCTGTGGTCGATGCCAAGTTAGTTAGGACACCTGCATTGGGAAGGCTCCCACTGGCACCTGCGGCACCTCCGCTGCCGCCCATGCTGCTTGCACCCGCCGAATCGACGCTTCCTTGAGCCGAAGTCACCGACAGAGCGGCCAATCCACCGCCTGCGCTACTGCCACTGGAATTTTGTGTCTTCATGCTGCGTCCATGGTCGTCATAGTCCAGCAGTGTGTTATTGGCTCGTTCCAAACTACAAAAAAGTGAAACATTTAAGTTGTAGAGGAGTGGTGGCAAATATCATCTTTTTAGACCCACCTGGTGAGACGCTCCTCCTGTATGTGCTCGGCGGCCTCGTTGTCTTTCTTTTTCTTAGCCTTTTTGGTTTTTGTCTTGTCGCGCCGACTTCGTAAAATGCCAGAGACTGCCGGCGAGAGGTGAATTAGATTAGTATTAAAAAAATATCGGGTTAGTTAAATAACTGACTTATTAAAGCAAGCTAAGGGCTAATATAGATCACACAGGAAAAGAAAGTGAAATACTTTGGTATATTAATCTTGGTTAAGACTTCAGTGATGGGAAAAACTTCTTTGTGATAGAACAGTTCACAGTTGAAACTTAAATGTAATGTCATCCTCAGAACTCAAACACCGCCGTAAAGTGCTTTAAAAATGATTAAATGTTAATCGGGTATGAAAGAACAATAAGTTGGGCACACAGAAAAGCCTTTAAATATACATATTAAGCCTAGGTACATGCATATTTCTTTTTTTTGATTGTGGAGGGCTGTACAGGTGTTTTAGTAGTTGGAGGGGAGGTGAAATGGGGATGGGGGCCAATCACTTTCATTTACATTCTTGAATCATTTACCCTGAGAGTTTGATGTGAATATATTTAAAAGTGACGTTGCACGTCTGGACGTTGTCGTTGTGGCGGTTGGTGCTGCTGCAGATGTTGCTGCCGTAGCTGTTGCAGTCTGTTGTAGATGATCTTGCTCATTTAATGATTTCGATAGCTGCTGCTCGCTTGTCGTTGCATTCAATTGCTTCTTGCCAGGCGCACTCGCCGTTGCAATTGCAGTGGCACTTGCGGTTGGAGTTAAGGTCTCTGCGGGTTGCTGTGGTGCCTGATCTAAAGTTTTGATTTCGATTAGTCGATCGGTGCAATGGATGGGTGGATGATGGATGATGGATGATGGACGATTGGGATGAGCAATGGCGGTTGATGGATACGATGGATGGATATGATGAACGTATGCAATGCATGGAAGACGGAAACACGACAAAGAAAAGCATAGAAAAAAGATTGCAGTTGTTAGTGCTGTTAGTTCAATGGCTTTGTGGCATTTGTGTGTGCGAGTGGGTGTGCAGTAGTTGATGTATAAAAGTCCCGAGAGTTGTCTGATTGATTGGCTGGTGTTTGAGTGTACAGTTTCAGATAGGAAAAAACTAAAGAAATATAATTTTAAATATAAATAAATCAAAAGTAATTAAATTATTTACACATGGGACAGGCATATTGAAATTCACACACCATTTATAAATATTAAGGAAAGAATGATTCAAAATTCTCGCTGTCTAAAATGTATATTGGAAAACTTGACGTAGAGCATTAGATTCAATTCTTTTGTCCAACAAATGGAAATAATAAAATTCGAAACAATATATAAGACACCTACATAAACGTATATAAAAACATATAAGAAATATTTTACAATAGAAAGAGGTAAACTTTAAAGGCAAATTGATAGACCTTACGAATACATAGAAAAACATTAACCATAAAAGGTGATAACCGAAAAATAATCAAATAAAAACTAAAACCAAATAAAATCAAATAGAATGAACCTTGATTGCTAGTATCCTCAGAATTAGGGGAATTTTTGGTGATATTGGTGGTGAGATTATTCGTGCCAGTTGTTGTTGTAGTTGTTGCTGTTGTGTTGTTGGTGTTTAAGTTGTTGCTATTGTTGATTGCTGTTGTTGTCGTGGTGGTGGTATTGTTGGTGCTGCCACTTCCGCTTCCGCTCATACCGAAATTTCCGGCGCTAGTTGATGGCTGTGGTTTGGCATTTGGCATAAACCACGATCGAATGCTCTTCACCGTGGACGTTGCTCCGCCAGCCGGCTGCTCCGCCGTTGCGTTTCCTCCCGCTAACACATCAGGCGAAGTGGGACGAGGCGAACCCATGGCTCCCAGTATTGGATCCTCGGTATAGGGAATACTGCCACTAGCTGCACTTCCGCTGCCAAGTGAGATGGCTGCCAAGGCATCACCACGCTGATCCATGGACACCACGCTGCCTGACGCTGCTGCTGCTGCATTTCCAGCCCGCAGAGCTGCCTGAATGCTGGTAGCCGAATTTGAGTTAGATGCAGTCGCCGAGACATGAGGCTGAAGTCGAGACCCACTCGACAAGGCTACATACTCCAGTTCAGGCATTTCTGTAAAATGAAGTTAGCTTAATGACATATAATAATAAAAGGATGCTTAAGCAAAAGCCATCAAGTACTCAACTAAATAAATTAAAGTTCTTGTTCCTCAAACGACTTACCTGGCTTCTCCAGACCTGTGTACTTGTTGAGCACAAACTGTTCCAGGAGTTTATCAACAGACATGTCGACGAACTGCCTCTTAAAGTCGGAATGTACTTGACCTACCATGTCATGATTGTTCTGCAGCATTTCTAGATAGGTGGACAGAAACTCCTTCATCTGGCGAAGATGCACCTCCTCAATCTCTTGAAAGCGCTGAAACAAAAAGGTAATATTAAATTAAATTAATTACATTAAATTACAGTATTTTTACCTTGCAGGTTTGTGTCATACGTCTTTCGAATTCATTCTTAATGGGGTTATGCTTGTCCAACAAAGCCTTATATTCCTCCTGAAGTTTTTTCAGTTTTCCCTCCAGCTTCTCGGCATCCTTGTGCGAGCCATTGTCTTTGCGTAACTTCTCCAACTCCTGGACCTTGCTGACATAAAGGTCGCGCAACTTTTGCACTGCCACTGTTGACGTTTGTATGGCTTGGACACATTCAAGGGTCTGCGATTCCTCCTCCTTGACAGATTTGTGCTTCTTGTGCAACTCGTCGGCATACTTGGCCACATCCTTTACCAGCTCGGTCAGCTTCTGTACCATCTGCAAATGAAGGGTGGAGAGCTTTTCCGCCGAGGTTCGCAGTATAGTCCAAACGGGAGCAAATGTACTATTCAACGTCCCAGCCTTGTGGGCCAACTTGGACATCATCTTTGAGTTTTGCTCTTCAATGTTAGATTTTTCTCGCAAAAACTCAGACAACTCCTTGCTGGCCACCAGGCCAAACTTCATGTTGTGGTACAAGACATCGTAACCATTGTTCTTCTCGCCCTAAAATATAAAAGAAAATTTAATTATCTAATGGCTCATGTAAAGACTGTTTGGCTTACCCAAAAATAATCGTTGAAATCCACAGTCATTTTGATGTATTATAAATATTTCGATCTCTAGGCTAGTTTAGCAAAATGTTATTTTCCTTCTCCACTCTCAATTAACATAAAAGGCTTCCTGGCGTTTTAATTGACTTGACGTCTCTATGTAGTACGATCCTTACGATGCTACTGTCTGTCTGGGATGGACTCCTCATCATCAGTTTCAGTTCCGTCTTCAGCATGCATGGGCATTTGATGAAGGCGAGTATCTTCCTCAGACTTAGTGTTTTTATGTGGTTACTAAAATTTTAATTTAAATTAATCAGTAGTGTTTATTTTGAAATTAAATAGTTAGTAGTTACAAAAAATTTGAATGGAATCAATCTTGTACCAAATGACAAATAAATAAATGTAGGATTTTATTTTTTTACTACGTAATTATTTATTGAATGTTTGAAAAATTAAAATCTTAACAAAAAGATCTGATTTGTAAATTTTATTTCATTGTAAGAAAAAGTTCGATGATGACATCTATTCTGCTGCCAACTTGGCCATTTCAGCATCGATGCGCTCGTCCAAAGCTCTGGTTAGGATGGTGCAGCAGTCCTTTATGGCATGGTAGATAATGTTCTTGATCTGAAGCTTATCCTCGTGATTTGTATGGGAGTGCGAAAGTTTTCTGAACTCGTGAGTAAGATGATAGCAGTGAGTGATGTTTTCCGGTGAGACAAAATCCTCGGCCACCTTGATACAATTGTGTAGATTCTGGACCTGATGAGGAGCACCAGCCGGTATAAATACAGCATCGCCCAAGCACTGAACAATAGGATGACCCTCCACGCCATATTCCTTAAACAATCGAGCGCGTAACTTGTCGTCCAAATACCAGTTTTGATCGTGAATAGGATCGTGATCTGGCTCCAGGCGGAAACCCTTCTCTAGGGTCACGCGGTTAAGCAAATCTCTTATTTTGTCCGCATCCCGAGCAGGAAAAATATGCCAAAGAGCTCCGGGTAAGACATCCGGCGATTGACAACGAGCTCTAGTAATATAATCGCAACCACCCAGAGCGATGGCTTTCTGAGTAGCCGCCAGCTGCGGTTTGGTGTCCCCATCTTGGGGTATTCCCACATAAACCATTATGTTGACTGCATCCGAGATATCTAAGTGGAGATTGGTTGTGCCCTTATCAGGGTGCAGAGCCGAACCATAGGCATTGTACATTTTTGGTCCCAAATCAGGTGGGACAAACATCTTGGGCAGACAGCTAGCAATGTTAAGGTTTCCTGTACGCAGAGTGTACTCCGGCATGGGCAGTCCCTTCATCAAATCAGCAAACCTGGTCGGCAGTATCTCGGCAAAATCATCACCCGGTGGCCAATCCTTTAATTTCAAGAGCATTGGTTTGCCATTGGCATCTAGTAGACGCTTGTTCATACACTGAAATCCCTCCCAAAAGTGGCGCATTGGCTGATTAGGAACTAAATTTCCATTTAAACAATTAATTAGATCGTTAGGTTTGTCTCCAAAATCCCGACAAAAAGCCTGCGGATGCCATAGATCCAAGTTCAATGATCGAGCCACCTCGGAAATCATCACAGGCTGGCCGCACTTCCACACCTCTTGATATAGAACTCGATTATCAGGATGCATGGCGTCCGTGAGCCGCAATAGCTTGCCATCGCAGAGCCACTCGTGTGGAACTCCTGGTGCCAACTGAGTAGAGTGGGCCAAAGTCATTGCCCTGGGCGGAAGGAACCTTCTCAAGCCGGCTAATCCCTTCCTAAGAAAATTAATGTGCTTGAAGTTGTCAAAGGCCGTGGTTATAGGATCCTTTCCCAAGGTTTCCTTGGTCCAAACTCTTCCCGGCACATAGTCTATTCCCCGTTCCCTGGCGAACTCCAGTTTCTTGGCGTGCAGCTGATCGAGACGCTGCTGTTGGTGTACTTTCTGCTCGGAGGCTAGGGATGAATAACTAGTGTGCTGCTTCAATTGAGACTCCTTAATCATATCCTGGATCAACTCGTTTAGCTGAGCGTCCTCTACTGCCTGTTTGCTGAGGAGACAGCCGCAGACCTGTGGCACCTGCCACAAAGTCCGCACCTCGTGTAGCAACCTGCCCAAGACGTTAAGAGCATCTCCTGCTATGATCTGGGTCAACATCAGCTCAGTTAGTGAGTGCTCCTGTGGTCCACTAGGATCGCTGCAAAGCAGCCAATGGTACTCATCGCATCCCTTTTGGGCTGCGTTCTCTGCACGACGCAGCCGCTGTCCCTCCTTGCGATCCTTGAAGCAGTCCAGGCACACTCCAAAACCGCATTTCCGACAGGTCCAGTGATAGTTGAATAGCGTGGTGTCACACACATCGCAAATCTCTCTGGTTCCCTTCACGGCCTTCTTCCAGGCAATGGTGCCATCCGGATTTTGATGTAATCTTAAAGCCTCCGCCTCCTGACGCCATAAATAGCAAAACTGATCTCCGGCATGCAGTAAAATGTATCTGCAGACCTGTATGTCCATGTAACCACTGGTAGGGGCTGTAGTTTTATCCGGCTGCCAAATGGCGATATCCTCTGGTAAGGGCTCACTATAGGGATTTGGAAATCCAACCACTCCCAATTCTCCTTTCGCATTAAACTGAAGTCGTCGAAATTCATAGAACCGGCAGTATACATCGCTGACGGAACTGGTTTCACCGTCTTTGGTGGCCAAATTTCTTCTTCGGCACTCTCGACACTTGGGAATTGGTGAGGACCCTTCTGCGGGTTGTGCTAGATGCAGCTTGAAGCAGGGCAAATCCTGCAAGAATATCGAGCCACTGGTCCGGAACTCATTGTACCGCTGCTGCTCCTCTTCGGTCGGGCACTTGACCCTGGACCTCTTCTTCCTGCTGCTGCGGCTGCTCAACCCTTACACTTGGATTCTCTGATTCCCTGCAAGCTCTCTTTGTGGAAGAGGTATCGTTGTTTATATGTATCTCTATAATGGATCTCGGCTCCGAACGGGTAGACATTGGCGATGTGGGCACGTTGCGTTTGCGGCTCGTTCTTGTGGTGCTGCCGACAAGGGCGGCCAATTCTTTTTGCGACATTTTGACTCTCTGGTCTTCGGAAACGAGAAAGAGGGAAAAAAGGAAGATCGAGATTGTTTTCAGGATTTTTTTGTAGACTGTAGACAACTGGCGCCCTGGTAATGCTTCTCATGAGAAGGTGGCTGCTGCTTCGTGCTCCATGCTCTTTCTGCATAATACTTTGTTTACTTTACGCCTTTACGCGAATCTCGTTCTTCCGTTCGTTAGCGTTCGCTTAATTTCGCGCATCTTGAACACGATTATTACAACGCGCCCGATGTTGCAACATTGCCGGTAATGTGGCGAACAACTTTCGTTGGCTTTCTTCTTCAATGCACACGCACATTTTAATGAATAGAGCAGAGCTTCAAGAGAATACAGCACAACTACTCACTGCCTCCACATTACCAGGCACACAGAAAAAACTTACAACTAAAAGTTATAGATACTTGCGTAATGCAGATAGAGATATTTTTAAATTTACTTATTGATAGCTGCTAAGCTATCAGCATAATAAAGAGAACACTAAGAATTTAAATCAAAATATCTATGTATGCCGAGGCTAAGTAAAAACTAAGTTGATAAACACCTCTGCAAATATTTAGTGATAGATTATTGATGGCCATCCTCTGGTAGACTTTTATCAATCAAGTTATTATTTAAATAAAGGTCTATACAAACTGTGGGCTTGAAGTGAGTATAATTTATATTTGTAAATAAATGATTACTAAGTTTCTTAATCAGTGTACTTTTGTTTGCCTAATAGATCACGAGAAATCAATAAATTACGGAATAAGTTAAAATATAATTAATGTACGTCATTTAAAAATCAAGTATACGACATGAGGTGCCAATTATATTACAGTGAGTTGTCATAGTTATAGTTGAAATATCCCTAATGGAAGTGTACTTCATGAACTTTATTATTCTGTCCGTAGCTGTAGCTAATTTTTCTGAAAATAAACGTTTCCAATTATGAGTCGGCGACTCAAGGGTTAAAGATAAACTCTGTTCATAAATAACCATGTTTATCGCCATAATATGGGCGTCTCAAATTAAAAACTGGTGGAATTCCTTGATAAAGACCCTATAGAATCGTTCTCACTGTGCTAAGAGAACCAAAATTCAGTTATTTGTTGTTACTTCTATTAAGAACATGATAATGAAATGATGGCAAACGAAAGGTTATCGCACGATATGACTAGATTTCATGGGGGAAATGAATTTGGAACTAACAGCTCTGTTAACAGGGGCAACAAGTGTCATCAAAAGTCCAGCAATGCGAACCAGAGGAATGTGCATAGGCCGGATAATTGAGGCGACACCGAGAAATTAACCCCTGGTCACAAAAAACAGAAAAAACACACACATAGCGAAAGACTTGTTTGTGTTTTTGGGCGTTCACCGCCGAGCAGAAAAGTTTTACGAAAAGCAGAATGGGAGAAATGAGAAAAAAACAAAAAGAGATGAAAGAAAACCCTACAAACTACTCCCCATGCCTTCTCCCCTTGGCGAATTGATCAATCAATTCACTCGCTGACCTTTTAATTCAATGAAGGTCTGCACTTTATATAACAACCAAAAAACAATTGTATTGCTCAGATACACACTTTTCTTTATTAACAATGCTGTTCTGATAACGCTGTTAGATAAATATTTATGTATGCTACACTGCACTACACATTAACATTACTAACAATTTGCAGCAGCTCGGCAACACTGTCCGATTACTACATCGCTCTAGATTTGTTGTTTTTTTTTTGTTTGATTTTTCAATGAATTTGTTTTTGTTCGCTTATTTGGAGGTGCAAATTGCTTAAATTTTCTATGATAAATGCACAATTAATAAGCACTTGGCACTGCAGGGAATGCACTCGTTGCAATTCAGAACCACTGCCTTTGTCGAGTTTTATCAATTTAAATTTGTGTACTGAATGCCACAAACACCAGCACACAAGTTCACACAAACACACACAGCTACATAAAAAACTTGGCGTTCCTTGGCATACAAAGTGGATTTGGATAGAACAAACAAGCCAGCTATTCAAGAACTCATTGAAGAGCATTTTTCACGGGGAGTGGTCACTTCACTTACATTTACTTATTGCATGTTGTGTAACCGCTTGAGCTAAACTTCTGTAATACTTCGCCCGTGTAAACTTCAGTCGATTTGATAGGAAAAATTCGATTTTTCATTAGTGAGCAAAGCGCAACTGGAGATGGAATATCCGTCGATGTAGATGCAACACTATCGATTACTTTCACTTGCAAATTGTGGCAGCCCTGATTATGAGCAATAGGTAAACTATCGCCCGATATTCTTCTAGTAAATCGATTGTTGTTCCAACTCTGACAGCTGTTTGGTCGAAAATGTCTTCGACATTAATAAAATGTTTTAATTTGGCTAAAACTGTGGGAAATGTGACAGTCAAGGGCTTTTTGGCTACACCCAAGCAGCCATGGCAAGCATGCAGGTGAATTCTCTTAGATAAAACTGACTTTCACACACAAAATTTAAATAAAACGAGCCATTGTTTTTTATGTAATATGTAGTGCGGTCGCTTTGCAAACGCCGCATGTTCAAATGCAGATGCACACTTCCCCAGTTCGCCGGGATCTGATGGAGTTTTTCGACGAAAAGAAAAACTGGAGCGAGAACGAGGTGAAAGTGGGCCGTGCTTGGCGGACAGAGGAGCTGCGTATCAAGTCCAATAAGGAGCTGCATCAGCTGTGGTTTATTCTACTCAAGGAACGCAACATGTTAATGACAATGGAGCACGAGTGCAACGACAAAATGGAAGTCTTTCCCAATCCAGAGCGTATCGATAAGGTACATTATAACCTGATGGCAGAGAGCACAGTAATAAAGCCCCCTACTTGCAGGTTAAAATTTCCATGGAAAACCTAGAGACTGTGGTGAGGGAACGCAACAAGGCATATCACCTTTTGGAAACGGGTGAAACCGGAGAGAGGCCTCAGAAGGCGGTTAAGAATGCATTTGGCCTGCAAGTCAACTACAAATCCTGCGAGCACGCCCTGCCCCCCTTCATGAACCTCAAATGGATAAAATCCCGCCATATAGGCTTTGGCGGTCGTGCTGTAAACAGGTTCCTGCTCAAGTATAGGGAGAAGCTCTACAATGCCAAGCGGAAGGCCAAGAAGTGGGTTGCATTTTGTCTAAATCAAGAATATATTCAAATTTTGTTTCTTTGTAGCCGCTCCCGCAATGAAGTCATGATGATCCTGCGACGCAATCCTAACTTTGACCTGGTGGCGTTGCGTCGTCAGTTCCCCGACGTCAACGTGGACAAACTGCTCACGGACGATAAGGCTCGAGGTCACTATGTGCCCAAAGTTGGCGTTTAAGCTGAGAGGATTGCAGTTATTTAGTAATTAAAACAACAAAATACCATCAACATGTTTAATCTTCGTCAAACTTAATCTTGGTGCCCTGGAAGGCAGCGATTTTTGGTTTAAACTTCTGTTTGGCCACCCAGGATGGATGCATGCCTTCCGTGGAAGAAGGAGCAGCAGTAGACGGCGGAGGGACAGTGATTTTTGACGCTTGTCCATCTTCGCCGAATGTAATTTTCTTGCCTTTGAAATCACCGATAATTGGTTTCTGCTGCTGCTTGGCCAGCCAGGAGGGGTGACGATCATCGGTTGGCCTTTTCGCTTTAAACTCTTGCTGCCTGGTCTGTTTTGGTCTTTCCCGGTATGTATTTGTACGTCGCTCTTCATTACGAAACTTTTTGGATGGTGGCGGCCTCCGTTCCTCTTCAGCTTCGCTGTCATTGTCGCCGGAAAGAACAACGGCAGTGGACAAATAAGGCTGCCCGGATTCTGTGATAAAAAAGGGATCAACAACATGTGTTGGACGATTATTGTCAGGTTGTGTTTCCTCTTCTTCAATAATTGTCTGCCTTTCAGGTTTAGGTTTAGGCTTCTGTTCTTTGGCTTCTTTGTTTTCCAAAGCCTTAGACTCTTTTCGTTCAACTTCTTGTTCCCATTTTTTCTTCAGTGGATTTGATTTATTTTTCTCAATTTTCTTTATAGATTCCTTTTTGGGAAGCGGTTTAGGTTTCTCTAAATTTTTTTTCTCATTCTTTACGACTAAAGGTTTTTCTTTCTTAACGTTCTTTTCCTTTTTGGAAAGTTTCTTATCTTTGATCTCTGCAGGGATGACTGGATGTTCCTCTATTCCAGTCGAAGGCTCGGAGGTATATTTCTTTTCAACATGGCTGACAACACATGTAGTCGCTTCCTCTGCTGCTGTATCATTATCTTTTGAGTCTGCTACTTTATTTTGTTCCAACCACTCTAATCTGTTTTTGGTCTGAGCCTTTTGTTCTTTCAGTTCCTTTCTTCTTCTTTTCCGCTCTTCAGTGCGTTCTATTTTAACCCGTCGCTTGCTCGTCTCCAAGATCTCCTCCCGCCACTTGGCTTCCTTATCGGGGCTTAGCTTCAGAGTTTCCACAAACTTGTCCACCAATCCGTGCATCAATTTGTTTAACCGCAGCATGGCGATTCCCAATTCATCCGGAGTGGAGCGCTCGCTGGCAATTACTGCGTTGGGATTTGTACCCTCCTGCAAAAGCGATTGACGCACAAGGTCCAAGCATTTCAGAGACTTCAGCTGAGCAAGGCCCTCGCTGTTTTTTCGCAGGCGAATCTTCTCCTTTTCACTGTCCGGATTTTTGGCCAGAACATCTTTTGTTTTCCGTAGCTTTTGGACTAGTTTGGCGATTGTCTGTGCGCGAGCTTTTTGGATGACCTTCTTGTTGGTTATTACCTTTGATTATAACAAGCATTAAAAAGTTTTCTTTTATTTCAAATGTTTACTTACCAAATTATTATATTTCAATTTGTCCATGCTGTTTTCGTAACAGTGGTGGTCGAACTAAAGAGCATAATAGGTGGGAGTCTACACTACGTTTATAATTAAGGAAATGCCAACCTGATTTATCATGTGTTCAAGACATTACCATTTATATTTAGCGGGAAATTTAATGTTTTTTGTTGATCACTTTTAACCGTCAAGCAAAAACTTAAACTAAGCATACATATAATTCTCATGCCTGTCACGGGTTATGACAAGTGTTAAGCTCTTGTGTTATTCGCAGATTAGATTAAGTAAATGCGAAAATTTTTAAATTGATAACAGCCGAATTCTATAGCTGTCTACTTTTTATGACCTGGTCACATTAGTTTACTTCGCTGTTACCAGATCGTTTTTTCACTGGATTTTTTAGGTTATTCACGATTAGGTTTATAAAGCCGTTCTGCCTTCTGGCAACACTGACAGCCTAGATTTCATCTACATTTCACATACGAATTTATTGTTTTCCTGCGTTGTTAATTGCAATTACTGCATAATAATTAAAAGACGTGCAATTGAGAAGTACCGCCTGCCGTACCGTTAACCGCGAACGTGACGTGAAACGCGACCCAGCAACTACGCCGCGCGCGAGAGAGAGAGGGAGAAAGGAGCGGAAAAACAAGGAGGAGCTAGCTGAAAAGGCAGCAACAAAGAAGGTCCGAAGCCCCGGCAGGCAAAAGAAAAATAAAGAAAAGCATTGAAAACACATCCAACTAAGTAATAAATTCTAGCCTAGTTACTAACTGTGAGAGTTAGACATATGGTTTTTATTAAGTGCCTGCAGCGCTTGAGTTTAATTTTTAGTTTGAGTCATTGATCACTTTTTTTTCTCTTTTTGCCCGTCTGGCTGTGTGCATGCAGTGCGTGTGTGCGAGTGAGAGCCAGTGACTCAGTGGCGTGCATTAATTCCTGTCTAATTATGCGTTTAATTTATTTTAATCAATCTTAATTAATAATTTACTCCACTTGCAGCCCATACACATAGACAAACATATACACTCACTCACCCACACACAGACACATACGAACAAGCGCACGGAGAGAGAGACTGCAGCTGCGGGCGCTCGAAAAAAAGAGTAAAGCATCGATCGCGAGAGAGAGACTGTGACTGCGATTGCAACTGCAACTGCGACTGCGACTACGGCCAATCGAACACGGACGCCAAAAACAAATGACGGAATACAAACTGGTCGTCGTTGGTGCCGGAGGCGTGGGCAAATCCGCGCTCACCATCCAGCTTATCCAGAACCATTTTGTTGACGAATATGATCCCACAATCGAAGACTCTTACCGAAAGCAAGTGGTTATCGGTGAGTACTACAAAATCTATATCCTACAATACGAAAGAGTTTGGGTTTTCCTTCTATCAAGATAGAAAGACTGAATAAACACACCATATTGAAATCGAGAACAGTCATAAATGATTCCCCAATTCTAATGCTCTTCTGTTCCCTTGCAGATGGAGAGACCTGCCTTCTGGACATTCTGGACACCGCTGGCCAAGAGGAGTATTCGGCAATGCGAGATCAGTATATGCGAACCGGTGAGGGCTTCCTGCTGGTCTTTGCCGTTAACAGTGCGAAATCCTTTGAGGATATCGGCACTTACCGTGAGCAGATCAAACGCGTGAAGGATGCCGAGGAGGTGCCCATGGTGCTAGTGGGTAACAAATGTGATCTAGCCTCGTGGAACGTGAACAACGAGCAGGCAAGAGAGGTGGGTACAGGAATTTAAAATTGCCAACGGGTTTTTTATTCATCATTATGATCCGTAGGTGGCCAAACAGTACGGCATTCCATACATTGAGACATCCGCCAAGACGCGCATGGGCGTGGACGATGCATTTTACACACTGGTGCGCGAAATCCGCAAGGATAAGGACAACAAGGGACGAAGGGGCCGCAAAATGAATAAGCCGAATCGTAGATTTAAATGTAAAATGCTCTAAACGGCCGCGCATCGGTTATTATTCACTTTTTATTTCTTCAAATGTCGCCTGTTTGTCTGTATGTGCGTCGGCGGATTGCTGATCGTCTCGGGATTCAAATGTCCATTTTGGACACAATGCGAAAAACACACACATGTTGGAGCGTGTTGGTCGGTGCAATTGTCAGATAAAAAGAAAGAAATTGTAATTAATTTAAGTAACTAGAGTTTTATGTACGTCGAAATGATTTTGTGAGTGTGTGTGTGTTTTGTGTCGTTTGAAAGGCTGCGAGGCGCCCTTTTAAGAGTATTAACAATAACAACAAACAAAAACGAACGAAGCAAATCGAAAATGAAAATGAATATGTACCTCTACATAAAAACTATGAATACTGTTGTAACTGCCTTGGTTCAGCTGCTATATCCGTTTGTTTTCAACCAGCACTAAACTTGATTCTATGTTGTTTGTACTTTACCAGATAATCCGTGCTAAAATCCAAATCGCGACGTAAACCAATTTTGTGAATTGTAAGTCCCCGTTATCATTTGGTTTTAACCCTAAAGTAAACAATCTTTTTTCCGCACACACGCACGACCGGAATTCCATTAGTATTCATCATTAGAGAAAAAACCGATAAGCTCACAGAAATTTTCGCACAAAATAATTAAATTTGCAAGCCCGAAAACTAGATTTATGTTCAGTTAGACACATTTTTGTGGTGCTACGATGATGAAATTAATATCCCTATAAGTTTTGAGATATGCCTTTCTAACTACTTACCCATACTGACAGATAAATCGGAGAGAAAACAAGCAGCCAATTAAATTTACATTATATAGTTTGCTTTAAGCTTTTTATACATACATACATACATTTAATATTTAATTTTTTGTATTAATTTTTGCCATACAAAAAGGAACGAAATAAATCGATTGTGTGTACTATTTATCTAATGTGCTTTTCATTCACTTACTACATATTTGGGATTTTTTTTTGTCAAAAAACTACATAAGAAAATTAAAAAATAGAAATAAAGATAACTACTTAAATCATTTTTTAAAATTTGGGATAAATCCAGTTTAAAATATATATGAAAGAGTATGTTGCGCGCGTAAAAACAAATATGCGATATACCAAAAAAAATTTCAAAACGTTCGATAGTCATCGATAAAATCTAAAATCTTTCGGCACTATCGATAGCTTGATCAAAAAGTCATTGTTAGGGCTATCGAATGAGCTCTGTCAAAAGAAATAATTTGTCGTGCTCGCATCGAAAATTCTAAATTCATAAAAATTGATTTTGCGTAATAAGCAAAACTTTAAGCATAGGAATAAAAGCAAGTAATCCCGAGCTTGACTATCAATCTAAAGGTAAGTTAAAACGCTTGAAAAGAACATCAATTCGCAAAATCCAAACTGCGGTCGCCATTTTGTTTTCGTCGACGCCGACTCGGCTTGTACTATACATACAAATATTGCAAACACATTTTGGGTTAAATTGCAGTCGGAAATAAAAATGGACGCAGGCAACTCCGTAGAAAACCGTGAGAAGGAACGCGATCGTCGTGGACGTGGGCCGCGTGGCTCCCGTTTCTCGGACGCTGATGGCAATGGAAACGCCGGTGGAAACCAGGGAGGCGGTGGCGGAGCTGGCAGTGGCAACAACAGTGTTCGCGACCGCAGCCGCGAACGTCGCAATTGTCGCGTCTATATTTCGAACATTCCGTACGACTACCGCTGGCAGGATCTGAAGGATCTGTTCCGTCGCATCGTTGGCTCTATTGAGTACGTCCAGCTATTCTTCGACGAAAGCGGCAAGGCACGTGGTTGTGGCATAGTAGAGTTTAAGGATCCAGAGAATGTTCAGAAGGCCATGGAGAAGATGAACCGCTACGAGGTGAATGGTCGCGAACTCGTGGTTAAAGAGGATCACGGCGAGCAGCGCGATCAATATGGCCGCATTGTACGCGACGGAGCCGGAGGTGGCGGTGGCGGAGGTGGAGGAGGCAATGGTGGCAACAACGGAGGTGGAGGAGGAGGCGGTGGCCGTGACCACATGGATGACCGTGATCGCGGTTTCTCTCGTAGAGACGACGACAGATTGTGAGTACCCCCTCTATGCTAATATCCTATATGCATATGTATGTATGTACATTGTTCCAATTTTCTGGACCAGGAAAGCAGAGTTCGTAGCACTCATAAATTACCTGATTTTCACAGACTTCCCAGCTGGCAATGTCTTGAAGTATTTATTTATCAACGATGTGGCAAACGTTTCAGTATTGAAATGAATTAATCAGTTTGACAGTTGTCGTTTTTGTATTTATTACCAAAGATTTCCTTTATCTTATTCCTGCATTTAAAACAATTTTTTGTACGAACAAATTTATTCAATTTAAGGCATTTTCGAGTAGGGTATATGTTTTTTAGTATTGCATCTAAAGTGGAGATGAATAACATTCGAAGGCAAAGTTTGCTGAGGTTCCTTTAGGTTTTCGTATGAAAGGCAAGTTCATTCATTCTTTCGAAATTCCTAAGTCCGGCATTTGTATTTATTAACCAGTCGCTGATCTAATCTATTTACAAATTATTTATTTGCAAATGGTATACATTTCTTAATTGGTAAAAAACATGGATTATTAGCATGCATTCGTTAGGAGTTGTAGGTTCCAGTAAGTTAGAACATATTTGGTGCTATAAAAACACTTTGATTTCTGTATGGGATTTCAACCGAAGACCATTTAGTTATCAGCGAACTGTCTTGTTTGGGTTTTATACCTCTTTGGGTGTAAATAGTTGATGGCTGATCAAAGCATTAAAATTTTGTACACTTTGGAGACATTTTCAACGTTTTTTATAAATGTGAGATTACATCAGAGTGTTTGCTTGCATTTGAAGTTGCATAGAACGTAAAGAAATGAATCAGACTCAAGTATAAAGATATCAAAGTAAACTATAACCAAGTTGGATAAGCTATTGAACGTGTATGAAGATTCTGCGGCTCTCTTGGCATCCTACTCTTCCGTAGCTGAAGCTTACCACTTGTGCTTTTTGTTATTTTTCTCTGGAAATTTGGCTTCTCTTTTTCTAGATCTGGGCGTAATAATTTTAACATGATGTCAAATGATTATAATAATTCGTCGAATTACAATTTATATGGGCTTTCTGCTTCGTTTTTGGAGAGTCTTGGCATAAGTGGACCTTTGCATAATAAGGTTTTTGTTGCTAATGTGAGTATATCGTAATATAAAATTCCAATAATCCTATGTATAGTATACAACTGAACCGGACGACACTACAAATATGCTGCGTTTTGTTCTTGTTACGGGGCCTCTGCTTCGTATTTATAACCCAAGAAGGGCACATCCTCAGGGAGAGAACTGTTTAGTTGTCTTTATTGTATCTAAGCCGACTGTTAAATATGTACAACAATCCTCAGAGTCCTACCTTTTTCGACATAAGTTCCTTTCTTTTGCGATGATGTATACACGTGTGTGGGAGCACACGTTATATTATTTAATGTGTTAAAACCTGACTGTGTGAAATTCCATAGACTTGGGAAAAACACTAAAGACTCGAAAAATTTCATGTTCAAAACCCCTTTTATTTTCGAAAAATGAATACCTGTACGTGGCCCTTTGTTAGGTTCATTATGGCATTGCAAACATTGGGTGAACTTTACTCCTTTCTAATGACTTGTGTGGCAAATTAAAATTGGGCTGGTAAAATAATCTTCATTTGGAATACAATTTTATTTTGGTTTTCTTGTTTAATACGGATTGGTACGTTTGCAGCAGTAATGACTATGGCGACTTCCTTATGACTTGTTGGTTTTGCCTTTTTCGTGCTCCTCACGTTTTTCGCGAAGTCCACTTCTTTTATGTATATGGGTTATAAATATGAAGCAGTTTTACAGGTATTGGAAAATTCAATGTCATCTTGGGCTATTACATTCGGTTTCTGTGCAACTGTGATGGAGCGACTCTCCTACGATTCTTATCTATCGACAGCATAGTTTTACAGCATGGTTTTGTCAAAGACAGCGGCTTAAATCAACATGGTTATCTTCCGGATTAATTTCAGTGGCTAAGCCATCAGATTGACACATTGCTAATCTATCTTTTAAATTTCCCCAGCTGGACTACAAGGTGGACAACAAGAAGCTCAAGCAGGTCTTCAAGCTGGCCGGCAAGGTGCAGAGCGTAGAGCTTTCATTGGACAAGGAAGGCAATAGCCGCGGCTTTGCTGTGATCGAATACGACCATCCAGTAGAGGCTGTTCAAGCCATCTCAATGTTGGATCGCCAGATGCTTTTTGATCGTCGAATGACTGTTCGCCTGGACCGCATTCCGGACAAGAACGAAGGCGTGAAGCTGCCCGAGGGTTTGGGTGGTGTTGGTATTGGTCTGGGACTCAACGGAGAGCCGCTTAAGGATGTGGCTCACAACCTGCCCAACGGTGGTCAGAGCCAAGGCCAGTTGCTTGGCAACCCGCAGCAAGTATCTCAGCTTGGATCGGTGGGTAGCCAGCCCAACAACAACGCCGTGAGCAACGCCACCACCAATCTTTTAAACAACTTGACCGGCGTGATGTTTGGCAACCATGCTGCTGTTCAGCCATCGCCTGTGGCTCCAGTGCAGAAGCCCAGTCTGGGCAATAATTCTGGTACCGGCGGATTAAACTTAAACAATCTTAATCCAAGCCTGTTGGCCGCCGTGGTTGGCAATCTTGGTAACCAGGGAGGAAACTTGTCCAACCCCTTGCTGACTTCGTCACTAAGCAACCTGGGTCTTAATTTGGGCAACTCTGCCAATGATGATAACCTGCCCCCAAGCAATGTGGGTCTTTCAAATAACTATAGCAGCGGCGGCACCGGTGGTGGCAATAACTACAGCTCCGGTAATAACTATAGTGGTGGTGGAGTATCCGGCAACGTTGGATACAATGCCTACAGCAGCTCGGGCGGAGTTGGCGGCGGCAACGGAGGAGGCAATGTTGACGGAAACGATTACAATTCGGGCAACCCGTTGGACATCTACGGTGGAGGCGGCAATGTGGGCAACTCCAATGTTGGCTCGAATAATGCTGGAGGTGTGTCCCGCAAGTCGGATACCATAATTATTAAGAACGTTCCAATGAGCTGCACTTGGCAGACGTTGCGCGACAAGTTCCGTGAGATTGGGGATGTTAAGTTTGCCGAAATCCGGGGCAATGATGTAGGCGTTGTGCGATTCTTTAAGGAGCGCGATGCCGAACTTGCCATAGGTAAATTATATTTAAAAAATTATTTCTTTACATAGCTTAATTAAACTATCTTTACAGCGCTTATGGATGGCTCTCGTTTGGATGGGCGCAACATTAAAGTAACTTACTTTTAAGTCAAGCAAATAATTTCCGAATTCGTCGGACCTTGGAGCAAATCAACACTTTAAGCATTGACCAATACCCGATTTTATGTAATTCACGCTGCAGATTATCGGATTTATGGAAATCGAAGATACGAAGAGCTCATCTAAGCGAATGCACCCACACATTTGTATAACATTTATATATATATTTTACGCATATTATTATACAGACTAATATTATGATAATTGACGTTCCAAAAACAAGCCCCAATTTTAAGTCGATTAAAACCCATAAAATTATGTAAACGCCTGAAAGTTTTCGGTTTTTTAGTGTACGTTTATTGAAGTTTTTCTTAATTACTACAAGCATTGGTGGCTTTGTGGTTCTATATGTGGATGCATATTTTCTTCCTACGTCGGAAATGATTTACAATTGTATTTGCCTGCTTAAATAATTCGATCTTGTGGCATTATTTGGTGGCTGCTGCGGCAGAAGATGTTTTGAATCTCTCCAAGCGAGCTCGGGCTTTCTCTGACCAGGCGTCCTTCGATACTGTTGTGGTGGTCGTCGTGGTGGCTTCGGAAGCTGATGCTCCTCCAAAACGTTCCTTCCTCTTCTGTAGGCGCTCATCTACCGATGATTTTGGTGTTTTTTCGGGCACTACGCAACCGAAACGTTCAGCACGTCTTTTGAGTGCCTCCTTCTGCTGTTCCTCCGTCTCCTTGTTGCCCTTGTTAGCTGTAATGGAGGCGCTCGAGGACTTATTTATGGCTGTAGCAACTGTAACAGCAGTGGCGGCGACAGCTGGGGCTGCTGCTGGTGTAATGCCAAATTTCTTTGCCCTTAGTTCTAAACGCTCTTGGGCGGTAAGTTGGGTGAGTTTCTTTTCGCCAGATGGCTTTTCACCGTCAGTTTTCGGTCCAACCACAATTGGCTTGTGCTTCTTGATTGGAGTTTCCTCGGTGGAATTGCCAGCAGTAGTTGTCGGCGCCTCGTTCTCCTTAGAAGGCGTTGTCCCCGTGCTGGCCGCCGTGCCTATTGGTTGCTGGGAATTGTTTCTCTTGAGAACTATTTTCTTGGCAGGTACAGCTGCCACTGAGTCCACTGCCGTCTTATCCTCTGCCAGTAAATCCGGTATGGCCAGAGTTGTTGGTGTGTTAACCGGGCTCTTCAGCAGCTCATCGTCGTTCTCGTCGCCCAGCAGCTTGTGTTCATCCTCGTCAGTTAAGGATACATCGTCGTCGTCAATGGCATCTGCTATGGCCGAATCCTCCAGAGAAATGTCTCCCTCCAACAGAGCAGTCTGCAGGCGGTCCTGCAGTTCCGTCTTATTGCCGTTTACAGTGAGGCCCCGAAGCTTTAGCTCGCGCTTCAGATCCGCCACCTGGAAAGAGCAAAATAACTTCCAGTTATTCGAATTGTTGTGCCGATAGACTTACCTTCATTTTAGTCACGTCGCTTTCGGGCATTTTCGTAGATTTTGAAAAAAAATTAACTCTGTTGTGAACACCCCGAATTGTTAGTGGTGAGCAATTACGAAAGTTATCGATTGCTCAACTGCCTTGCACGTCGTGACACGATAATTGACATAAAGATATTATTTTTGGTAAGACTAATTTTAAATCGATTTTGTTTAATTTTCTTTAAATATTACAGCAATTTTTATTTTTCAGCTTATTGTAAACTATTTAAAACCTTAAAAAAAAGTATTTTAAATTAACTGAATACTGTCATCTATTTGGCCAATACCAACGATTTCCATTATAAAACCGGATTTTTCAAAAAATTAAAAAAATAAATTAAAAGGGTTTTTCCTAAAGTTAAAAAGGTATATTAGTAATTTTATAGTATGTATTATTTTCATTGCTAGTTTTATTTTTAGTTGGACGTTTATCTGAAACATAATTTCAGAATGCATCCTTAAAGATCAGTCCTTTAAGTTTGATTAACTATGCCAAATGTTAAAGTTATTGGTAGTTTAAATTAAAGGTGAGGCGGTACCAATCGTATATGGACAATTCCCACTACTAGTGCACATTATAAGCCGCATTATATTTAAAAACACTTATGGGTTTCCACGATTGTTATTGGATCTCGTAATATTTGTTTCTGTCACTCCAGCTCTCACCCCATGAATTGCCGTTGCAGACCCCGTACACGAGATAAGATATAATATATGAGTGCTGTTCAGAAATAGCAACCGTGCACTCCAACCCCCGCGATCCGGACCAATCCGCTTGGCTCAGCTGGCAGAAAAGCCCGACCGGAAACGGGAAATGGAAACTCATTGCAATATTATCTGGCGTCGCCCTTTGCTATTCTTAGTCGCCCTTTTCCATCGGCGAATTTGATTCTTTGTCGCGAGGAGCAAGGAGCTCCTTACCCTACAACCTTGGGAGCCATGCAATTTTCCCAGCCAGATTGAATTGTTTCTATAAGTGCCTCTTGGAGCCGCACCTGCTTACATTTTTGGGCAACATAATCTTCTTCAAGAGTCTTCTAGAAGAAAGGAGCACACATGTTGCTCATGTGCCGATATAAGAAGCTGTACCTAATTGGCACTGCTGCATACTCATATTTATTAATAATTTTCCGTGTCTTCCCTTTGGTGAGACCGCCTGACTTTTTAGGTCGTAACCTTTGCCACTTGGCCTTTATCCCTTTAAAAGGGAGTGACATGCCCAGTGCAGTGGTAATTCTAATTAATGTAATGCTCCATCAACGTGTCGCTTAATTGAACTCATTTATAAGTAGCTGTAGCCATACTCGTAAGGCGGTTTTCGTATAATTACCCTTACATCGGCCAAACATAAAGCCTGAGTTTGGCGGCACGCACTAGCTGAATGTCGTTGATTAATTGCTCATACTATTTGTGTTCTAGTGCGGATATTATGCAAGAGGATTTGGAAAACATAATTGTAATTGTTTTTCCTCCAGATGCTCGCGTTACTCACAAATTGTAAGTTTAAGATTGACTTACTCAGAGCATTACTAAGAGCACCTATTTTCAGAAAGCAAATGAATTGAAATAGAATGCAGGAATATGGTTTTTTTTTATTATAAGAAACGAAATGATTTTTTTAACTCTTAAGCTCAGTTTTATAGGGGAAACTATATTTTAAAAAATGTAAATTTTGAAATTGTGAACTCGGAACTATAACAAAAAATATGCTACTATTAGTAAGGCGTGCCTTGGGGAAATCAAATAGTTTTCTTCCGGTTACTCATTAGTAACTTGTAGATTCTTCTCTTCCATTGGTTGTATTTACAGTCTAAGCTCCATCGAACCCAAAATCCTTAAAAGGCATCGTATCAACCCCTTCTAAGATTGATAAGACCAAGTAGAGACCAAGAGCTAAAATCTGAGAGAGCTGCTCCGAAACTTACTCTCCTCGTTCAGTACACTCTTTCGGGTATCTGTGGGATACTCGAACTGCGAGTAACAAATCGTAGCAGGTTCGTGAGCTCAGTTGTTTGACGACATCGCGAGCGATCGGTTGTGGTTGTTTGTTTATCCGGTTTTATACTCTCGCCGCCGTCAGTTCGAGTAATCTCCTCCTCCGACGATCAGGTTCGCACGTCATCGCCAGACGTGTTGTTCGATTGATTATTTGCAAATAATACGAATAAAAAGTACGGGTACAAAAACCTAGTATCTATAAGTACGTGCTTGTGAAAATTAACTACGGATACTAAGAAACCACTAAGTTTATCCCCTCCTAAAAGTGAGCTAGACATAGGATGGGTTGATGAACACCCAGTGACCTTGTGATGGTGTGGGAGCTCAGTGGTTTTGTTCGCCCCAGTGATTATAATAAACAACAAATACTTATCTTTGGTGTAAAAACTGTTAGCATAGATCGGTGGCGGAGTTAGCTTCGTGATCTTTTCTTTATCACCTGAGTCACTTTGTATGGCGCTCACGTCACCGCCCCCACCAACCCTTCCCCGATACGTTCCATCTGTAGGCTCTGGAATGCCAAACAGCTTACGATCCTAACTCACTTACTCTCTTGCTCTCTCGCTATTCTGGGGTTCTCCCATTCTCTTGGGGATCTCACACTCGATTTGATTCTCGATTGGGTATATCCACCAAAATGGGTTCGTTACCATTTTTAGTTAACAAACAATTATATGGTTACACAGCCATTTAAAGGCCATCACAGGAAACAGAGTACGTGAATGGCGGGTCCCAGGCCTCATCCCCCAATGTTCAATCCATAATATCGCTAATCAATTCATTCCGACCTATGGCACAATAAACACTCCGTATTAACCTCAATTAATTTAACTAATTGGCAGCGCGTGCCCTTGCAATCTGCTCTGGGTACACCATTAGATTCTGGATTCGCTTCATTTACTATTGTCCAGGTAACCATTGGTTTTCGCCATGGTTCCACTTATCGCCGTTGCTCTTTCAAGTCCAATTCCCTATGTACACCGACATCTATCTTATCTAATCAGTTTATTAAATACGAAAACTCATGCGAGGAACCATAAAAATACACTCACATATACGATTCGTATATTTTTTCGCAACAAGAAGCAGACCTGAATAAAACTTTCTGTGCACCGATGTCGGTTGACTAGTTCTCTATATAGAAATGTACCTATATAGACGATTTAGAGTACCAATTCATTCTGGTTTCGGGTGGGAAGATTAAGTTTATGGCTCTTGTACAACGGACTCTTTTTTAATAAAAGCTTATTTTAAGCATTGTTCTGATATAATATCTTTATGTTATATTCCATTATAAATCAACTCTTGGTTTCTTAAAAGAGAGAGATATGACAGTAAAATCTTCTAAAAAATGTTTGCTTATCCTGCTGACGTCTTTAATTATTCGTCATTAAAATTCTTTTGAGACGTCAAAGTTTGAGACTCTTGCGATAGCTTGACAGACCGATGATCCACACTTGTGAAAATGATCACATAATTGACATAATTCACTTATTCACTAACGGACAAACCGCCTTTGTGTAACTTATTTATTTATGGATGATTTAATATATGAGGACAAAACTGAAACAGTCTTCGTATTGAATGATGCACCCATTTATTGAAGAAGACGCTGATAAGAGGCCACAAAGACGAGGGTTGAACTGTAGTAACCCAACTGAATTGCATATGAATCTCAGCTATAGTGCAGAAGTGTCGTATTAAGTCAAATAAAAGCTTGAGACCTTTTTCATCTTGGGAAATCATCGGTATACAATGCAAAGAAAGAGAGAGTGTGAAATGTGGCAAGTCTTCCGAGAACGAGAACAAGACGACGAAGAACGACGAGTCTGTAACTTGATATGAAAAGTTTACAAGAGGCCATGGCGATAACAAAGAACCAGAATAATATGTTCACGGACTGCAGGCCATGTGCACTTCATAATTCAAAAGAGTGTATTAAAAGCGAAGCAATTATGTTTTAATAATTTATTATGTGTATTAATTTCAAACCGAGCCTGATATAACAATTTCAGTTGATAAAGAGTTTCCGCTACTCTCCAGAACTGATAGAAATGAATAAGTTATGATGCACCATGTATAGGGTAACAAGGGGTATATTGATTGGCATTCAGTTGGCTGTTTCCTGGAAATTTATTCGATTTTTCCCCTACCACAAACACACCTGTTTTTTAATCCACAAAGTTTACATTTTGGAATTTCCAACTCATTCACGAGCTCCTTTCCTCGGTATTGCTTAATCAGCTGGTTGTATAAATAGAAAAATTCGGTAGCATTGGGACTTAATTATTTGCACTTTTCTGTAGTCACTAAAAACAGCACCCAAAGCTGTTTGTTTATAATAATTTAAAATGCGTCCAAAGAGGCCAAAACAAAAGTGTGCTGTTTATTTAGTTTCGTTGTTTCTCCTCTGGCCAAGTTTGTTGTTTTTTTTTTCATTTTAATTTTGGCGCTGGTGGCTACCTAATGGTCGATTGTTCAGATGGTTTTGTTTACTAATTTGGCCAAAAAAAAAGAAACGAAACAGTTTCTATTTGCGGATTTTTGTTGCCTTGCACGAACTCATCCGAAACAAATTTTGGTAACGTCATTCTAACAAAATTGGAATATAATATGTTATAAACTTAATCGTTGGCCTTAATATTCTTCAATCAAATGTATAACACATAAAATATGCATTTTTATTGCCCCAGCTTTTAGTGCTCTTCAGGAAGTGTTTGCAAATAAGATTCCACATTTAAAACTTATGCAGAATCAGAAAAAAACCGAGAATATCACTTAACCCCATCAGAAGACCCCACTCCCATCAATGATTAGACTTAATTGCGTTGACCGAAGCATCAAAGTGCTTCCAGTCAAAGTTCAACATCTGTAGATCGCGTGCCAATAAAGCATTTTATGTTTATTACTCACGCATGCGCCCCCTTCGTAAAGCATAAAAATTCTATGTCAAGTTGACAACCATTTAAAATGTCTCATATGATTATGAATTTTCTCAGTATTTATTTTGCTCCATAGCAATGTAGGAAGTATGTAGATATATAAAAAAAATAATTTCTCTATTCTTACAATGGAAAAATGTGTAATGATTTCACCAAAATATACATAAATTTTGTTCCGACTCTTATCAAGTTTGATATTGAAATCCCGTTGAACTGTAAAATGCTGATGAATGTCACAATGTAACCGGTTTTGGTTTTTCTGTTTTTATTTTTTCATTATCTTGAGATGCAGCTTGCTGCGCTTAAAGTTGAAAATTTTGGTGTGGGTAGGATCGTGTCATTTCCATTTCGATGACTCATCAAACAAAGACCTGTGGTCTAGCTCTTCTAATAAAACGCTGCCACAACCGAGATTCGCAATTAAATGAACTGTGTGTGGTTGCGAGACATCAACAAGTGTCCGCGATGACTCATACACCAAACAGTGAATAATTCCTGGTATTCGTATGAGTTTTCTGCTTAAGCGGAGACCCCAAGAATCTCCAGTCACAATATGGAATACCTAACGGCATCTCTTCGCACATACACAAATGTAAATCGGGCAAAAGTCTTTTGATTTTTGGATTTTGGAGGCTGGGTAGGGAAATCTAGTTTATGTTTTGGGTCAACTGGAAACCAACCGACGAAACCAGTTTTAATTAAAAAAGAAACATTTATGAAACAAATGCGGTTTTGTGACTTTGTTTTTGTCGCTAGACAGATGGTGAAAGTCTATTAGTTTTAAGCCCGGCCTTTATTTAATTGTTATATAAGCGCCGAGAGCCATAAAAGCACATTTATTTCCATTAGAGATTTCGCAGAATCAATTGCGCTTGATGAACTCCACTCCAAAGTTGGCCACTCGAAAAGCTCAAATTGCTCTGTTTCTTGTTGTTCTGGCGATTAGATTAAAAAGTTTTGAACTTGAAGAGCGATATGGGTTGTATGACCAATGAGACTATTGCAGGTGGCTATTTTTTTTGTTTCAAGTAGTGGACAAAAATAACTTTTATATTTTTAAGAACTTAGTTTCTTTGGAGAATGAAAAGTTATGAAATAATATTAATAATTCTTGAAAACAACAAACAAAACAAATAAATACCATTCTTATAATAATAGAATTCTTAGAATAGATATTTCTGTGACAATAATAAATTTAAGCTTAAATATGTTTTTAGTAATTATTTTGAAATTTTATTAAGAACTATCATTGTCACTTTATTTATTTTTACTCAGTAATATTTCCTGCTTACTCAATCTTTTAAAGAATTTATTTGGATAGATAGGAGTGCTTCTTATAATATTCAGATTTCTGCTTTATTCTGCAAATATTGAAAGTAAAGTAAGCTACAGGCAAGGCCTGGAGATTTCCGGTTGCCTCAGTCGCAGGATGAATGTGTGGGTGCGCCAAGATAAACACAAGGCACCAACATCTGCCACCAAATGTTGCAATCTGTCAAGCCAGCAGCCTTAGTGACGCCTCTATTTTGTTGCCCTCTTTTGCAGTTCTTTACCAACAAAGACCAACAAAATAATCGGGAATGACGGCGAACATATCGAAGAGCCCGCGCCCGCTGAAAATAACCATCGTGGGCGATGGTATGGTGGGCAAAACCTGCATGCTGATAACCTACACACAGAACGAGTTTCCCGAGGAGTATATACCCACAGTGTTTGATAATCACGCCTGCAACATAGCCGTTGACGATCGGGATTATAATCTGACCCTCTGGGATACTGCCGGGCAGGAGGATTACGAAAGATTACGACCTCTGAGCTATCCAAATGTGAGTATAACAGCAGGGAATAACAATAAACGCCAAAACAACCAATGGAAAACTTTAGATTTCTTATGAAAACTAATTTATTAGGTTGTTAGATTGTATTTTTTCTCTGTGTGGAACTAATTTGTATCTTAAACTTAACCGTTGCTAATCGATTGTGTGTTTGCTTTTCCCCCTCCAGACAAACTGTTTCCTGTTGTGCTATTCGATCAGCAGTCGCACCTCGTTCGAGAACGTGAAGAGCAAGTGGTGGCCGGAGATCCGTCATTTCTCCGCCCACGTTCCCGTGGTGCTGGTGGGCACCAAGCTGGACTTGCGCATCCCCAACTCGGAGAAGTTCGTGACCACACAGGTTAGTTGATATTTGAAGTAATTTCAAGATTTGTATGCTAATATTTGAAAATATTTTTTAGGAGGGAAAGCGACTGCGCAAGGAGATTCACGCCTCCAACTTGGTCGAGTGCTCGGCCAAGAAGAAGCAGAACCTGCAACAGGTCTTTGAGGAGGCAGTCCGAGCTGTTGAGAGGAAACCAAAGACGTCGCCCAAGCCATCGTGCACATTACTGTGAATTAAGTTTATGCCTAATGTTTAATATTGTTATTATGCGTAATGTATTATGTTACTAATTCGTCTGATTATTTGTGCTTTGTTTTTCGCAAAAAAGGAAACTGTGTAGAAAATTTAACGTTAAGAGCTTATGTTTTAAGTGCCAATTGTGTAAACACCGTATGTTTTACATTCAACCAAAGGGCATTACTTGTAAAAAGGAAAAATAAAAATAATACTAAATGAAAAGATTATACATATTAAATGATAAGAAACTGAATTTAAATCTATATGGCAAGCAAGCAAATCCATTGTATATTTCAATAAAACCCTAGTCAATAATAATTCCAGTTCTTTTTCATTTCACAACCTGTGTATGGCTCTATATTTATTCGTTCTCTATGCATTCTAATTTATAATGCTAACTTTTAAAAAAATATTTTAAATATGTTATTAACAGCAAATATTCAGTTCAGGCACGAACCGTTTTTCGTGAAGTTAGCATGGAGTTAAACCAATAAATATTGCCTATTACCCAACACTGAAAAGATTATCGGTAACACAAATAAGCTTTTGGTAATAATGTAACCATATGCGCTTGGACGTAAGCTATCGATTCAGGACCAATCGATACTCAGTCGGGATATTACCGATAAGTAAGTAATATACCTATCAAATTTAAAAGTTGAAATGTATAACCTTCTAATATAATTAAATAATTATATTATCTTACATAACTTTCTCATTTATTTAACCATTATGTATACAAATTATTTATTTGAATACAAATTATCAACCATTTAATTCTTCGTAGTCTTCAAATATCATTAGTTTAAGTAAGGTTTATGCTATTAAATGGAAAAGCCTCTTTGCGCTTAAAAATGTTAGGCGATATCATTTGTGAAAGGTTTTTCAAGTTTTTTAGTATTTATTTTATTACCCCCTTAAATAATTACTTAACTAGTAGCTTCTCTCTTTAGTGAGAATAATACAATAATTCCTGAGACTTCTTATAGTCGACTTAACCCTTGACCATGGTCAAGTCTTAGCGTGGTCTTCTTGCCACGCCCCCATCCACGCACATGTTACGATCACTGAGGCAAGAGGCATAACCGAGGGCGTGGGGTATGAAGTGCTGCTCGTAGACTCCAGTAAAAAGTTGGGCATACGGTCCACTGGCGAAGACTGCCACATCATCACCGCCATGGGTCTCCGACGCCAGGGGAACTGTGCTGGGGAACATAAAGTCCTTGTTCTTCATATTGATAGCTTTAAGATTCTTTCTCTTCACGGCACCGCCTTCTCTCAGATAGTTACTATCATAACCCGGTCCATTGGCATAGCTTAGAGTGGCATATGGGAGGTCATCCGCCGCCAGCTGCCCGTCATTGATCCCGAAGATATCGTTCTTTCTGCTGGAATAGCCGGCCAACGACATGGTATGTGAGTGATCCGAACTGACCACTATCAGGGTATCATCCGTGCTCGTGTGACTCCTGGCAAATCTTACCGCTTTGTCGAACTCCGCCGTCTCATCGATGGCCCTCAGAGCCAAAGTATCATGGTGTCCATGATCGATTCGACCGCCTTCCACAAACAGAAAGTAGCCACGTCCAGCACTCTGGCGTTCCAGGATATCCATGGCCACCTGAACCATTTCCTCGAGAGTGGGTTGTTCTGTAGGCTCGGCATCCAGATGATAGGCCATGTGGTAGGGGGCAAATAACCCTAAGACCCGAGATGTGTGATTTGAAAGGTTAAGCAAATCTCTGCGATTCTCCACGTAATGAGCACTATTCGTGTGCTGACTCTTCCACTCCTCGATGAGATTCCGTCCATCCAATCGAAGACCAGGTGCTCCACTGCTATCTGTCACGCTTTTGGGCAGGAAATTCTCTCGACCGCCCCCCAAAATCACATTGAGTTTCTGACCTACAGGGCTATTGATCAGCTGGGCAGCGGCATCTGGGCATAGATCAGGATCACCATTATCTTTGACGACCTCTGCGTCATTCTCCCAGTTCCTGTTGGCAAGGTGGGCGTACACTCCAGCTGGTGAGGCATGGGTTACCGATGTAGTAGTGACCAAGCCCGTTGCCATTCCCTGTTTTTGCGCCCAGGCCGCAATGGAGGATACATGATGAGCGGATTGCGCCTGTGCCTGGCAATCCTTGAACTGCACCGCTGCACTTACTCCTATCGTTCCGTAGTTGGCCTTCACACCACCCAAATAGGCGGTGGCGGTGCACGCGGAATCAGCCACCTGCATATTGGCACAGTAGGTCTTACTGAGACCGACATACGGAAATTCCTCGAAGGCAAACTGCTTCTCCTCGCCGCCCAAGTAAACTCGTCCTGCTGTGATCGTGGGTATGGACATGCCATCTCCGATAAAGAGCATTACATTTCTGGCCAGTTTGGTATTCAATTTCAATTTGCTCTCCAATTGCTGATCGAGGGTTTGGCCAGCCAATCCCTGCCAGTATTCAGCGTAACGCTCCTCTGCCCTGAGGGCTTCGAAAACGATTTGGGGCATGGCACGCTTGAAGCGACCACCCAATGGATTGGATCCGGATTCCATTAAGGAGAATACCGGATGCATACGCCTCTCGGCATCATGTGAGGTCTCTACAGGTACAGTTTTGTTAGATTTTTCAGGCAGATCACCACGAACTATGAGTACTTACCTCCTCCAGCTAATAGAGCGCTCAGGCTAAGGAAAAACAAGAACTGCAGCTTCATCCTTTTGTATTTTTGGTTTTCTGATCCAGCTGTACGTTGGCCTGCACGTTTCTTGAGCCACTGATAGCCGTTAGCACGAGACCTGCGATATTTATAGCGTTCCGCTGGCAGGTCCGAGATTTCATAACACTATGCCGCCATCGACCTGACCGCCGGGTGATAAAGGAAAGGCACGCTGCCTTGGGTGTACTTTGCTTTTGTTTTGTACACAGGCAACAGTTCACAGTAGAACCTGCTCAGGCAAAGATGAGAAGCCAATTTGGCACATGCTAAGGAAACTAGCTAAGGAGTAAAGTAGACGGTAAGGAAATGTTGATCATACTTTTTAAATCAGGATATAATATAATATTTGAAGGTAATTACCGGTACATAAATGCACTTCACTTTATTTGTTTCTTTAGGATGGCTGCATGTTGCTGAATTTTCCCATTTCTCAGCTTACGAGTTCTCACTGTAGATGTTATTTAAAAACTGATGTTTTTCAGCGGGAATCGTTATCATAGGTTGCCGGCGTCTTTTGCCTGCCAGCCCGCCCGCTCGTCTCGATCGATTTGAGATCGCCCCGCCTCGTATTTGTCTGCCTGCCGCATCCGCCTGCCGCATCCGCCTGCCTTTTTTTGAACACGCGAGTTCTTCACGTGATCGTTGATGATTGTTGCTGTGCTCGTTTCTATTTTTGTCTTCCAGTTAAGTCATAAACGCGGGCTAATTACCCCTAACAGAAGGTCCAGCAAAAGAAAACATTTGAAAATACGCGCCCAAATGCCGCTGTGAGTGGCAATCCGTGGGATTGAATCTGTTAATTCTCGGAGAGAAGATGGCGCAAGCGCCAGCATCAAAACAATGAGCAGGAACCAGCCGATTGTATCTGCATCTCGCTTCCGCCCACCGTCGGATGTATCTCGAAAGTACAAAAATCTCTGAGCAAGTGTATCTCGGAGTGGCGCGAGTATCTCAGAATTCATCGGCATCCATCGTATTTCGGATGCTGAGCGAGAGCTTCTGCTTTGGCAGCGCGCACTTGGCCAAAATAGTTGTTGGTTCGCATGCAAAACGTTAAAATCGCATTAGCTGAAAGACATTTTTATACCAACGGCGCGTTTTTAATTTTTTCTACACTACAACAACACAAATAATAAAAAAAAATATATAAAATAAAATAGACAAAGTAGATGGCAGAAAGTAAAAAACAAAATGCAAAAAAAAGAAAACAACGAGCAAAGCTAAACTAAACTTTTAACGTTCAACAATTCGATGCGTATACATAAGTATAAATAAATAAGCGCGTGTATATATGAATACATATAATAAATGATATTTCAATAATTTTCAAACAACAAAAGGTTCGACCATCGTTCTGTGCAAATAAATGAAAAAAAGAAAAGCAAAAGTAAAACATAGAAAAGAAAAGTGCTGGTGAAAATCAAATAAACCAAGAAACCAGAAGTGAATGGCATTGATTTTTTTTTGGAAAATAGTTGGCAGTTACCTAAAGTTCTAAAGTTATACATTTTTGTGCATTCGTGTGTATAACTGTATGGAATGCAAGGACTTTTTTCTTATGGGATCAGCAGGAAAGAGGGTTTTAAAAAAGCAAATATAGAAGATGTAATGCCACACAGGAAAATTCATACATAATACAATACAGTAAATTGCTAACTGTGTTTCGGGCCCCCAAATTCGTTCGTGTGTTTGTGTTCGTCGGGATTATGTGACTCTGCGTATACATATATCTACAATGTCGGTTGGCAGGGATATACTATATATATTTATATACCTATAAGTTGGACGCCCAGCTGGCTGCCAACATAGTTTCACATTTGACAAATGTCCTGGTGTGTCCTTTGAATGTTTCGCTCGAGGATTCTGGGTTAATTTCCCTTCAAAACGCTCTGCCAACTTAAAGCTGAGGAAACTCTTCAAATTTTATCCAAAAATTGGGTAAAAGCAGTCATTTAAAGGGGATGTTTCTATATATATACATATCTTTTTGTGATCCCACAACAATCGGGCAACTTTCAATTGCCTTCATTGACAGTTAAAACGAAAGTTATCAAAAACACGAACAACCAGCGAAGTTGTACCATGATAATAACAGCAAACGCAACAACAGCAGCAACAACAACATAGTAGCGTTGACAACTACAACAACAACAAAAACAATTCAGAAGTCAAACACGAGACAACAACAACAACAACACAAACACAAATTAAATAACAACGAAAAATAAAAGTAGCCAAAAACTTTGCCAAGAGACACACACACACATACGCAAAAAAGAGGCGGTGGGCGGGGGGTGTGGTCGTCCTTTATGGGGAAACAAACTTTTAACATAGTAGCCCACATACACATACAAACATACGCCCGTAAATCGCACACACACACACGAACACACACTTACATAGAGAAAAAAGAAATGAGGAAAAACAGAAGAGAAAAGGAATCGAAGCGAAAGATGGGAGGAAAGGAGGAGGGGGTTTGTTACAGGATTTAAGGGGATGTGGATGCCAAAGGACGATTGCACACTGTGTCAATTCTGTAACAACATTCGGAATACTATAATGTAGAATGGAATGTACCCGTATCTCACAATACAACTACAATGTACCAGTAATGAGTTGCCTGCAGGAGTGTGCGTTTCTGTTTACAGTGGTCTGCGTGTGCGTGTATGTGTGTGCATATTTTATGACCCTTTCGGTTGAGTTTAGGATTTTAAAATGGATATCGATAGATGACAGTGGATTTCCTAACAATGGCTTTTTTGTTTAACTTTTGCTCTTACTTGGGATTATTTAATAATTGGATTTTTATTTATGTTTAAACTTTTAGATTAAGTTGAATATTTTCGTTGGGTAGAAACTAGCATCTTGATCTAATTTTGGGGCAGATTTAATATGTTTCTCATAGCATTACTGCTGTTTTCTTAATGCTTGGCTAGTTCTAGTTCGTTTCAAATTATTTCAAGAATATAAACATAATACTTGACTTTAATTAGAAAGGCAAATGGATTTGAATATATCCAATTGTTTAAACTTTTTAAAATTTTTAAGTAATATTTTTCCATATTTGATTAATTTACTTCCTTAAACTAGACAGTGCTATCCTTAAGGGTTTCAAGAACACACTCCATTACTGAAATTATTCTCAATCCATTCACGGAAACCATTAGATTTATCCAGGAAAATATTGTTTTCCCCTGGGTAGCTCATATACCGATTCCTGGGAATTCCCTCAGTTTAATTCGTTGATAAGCCAACTCCATCCCATAGTACATCATCAGCGAGCGATTGTTGTTGTTCAGTGGCAAAGGATGCGCGATGCGGGACGCACGAGCGGATGAAACGAACGCACGACCAGAGCAGTGCGGCACGACTGCTTTCTCTCTGGCGCCACCCCATTTCATGCCACCTTTCACCACCCACTTTGCCCCCCAAAAAGCACGCGCTCCAACAGCGAGTTAACTTTGACGTTATGCTGTAAGCGTTGGGTGCTTCGTTTAAATGAGTGCTCGTTGAATGTGTGAGTAATTGGAGGGATGCTGGGCAGGAAGGGGGTGGGGGGGCTTGGAAAGTGGGTTTGGGATAGGATGGCGGTGGGGTAGGGGTAGTTCGTGGGGGGTTGGTTTGGGGCGTCTTTGGGGATTGCTCGGAATGGAAGAGCAAACGACAACAAGCAAAACATTGATGTTACTGGCGGAGGTTGCCAGCAGACGCTGGCTGGCTTTTATAGTTCGCCAAAGGAGTGAAATGGCGCCAGCTGAAGATTTATGCATGTATTTGTGTGTATTTGTTGTCTGTTTCTGTATGTGTAGGGGGGGAGGGGGGTGAGGGGAATTATGAAAGCATTTGTGTGTGAGTTTGAGTAAACATGACCACTGTTTGGTTGGGGGTTGTTTTGGTTTCCTTATGGCCCACACGGCGTATGTGTGTTTTTCGGTCTGTATGCTATATCTGTCGTGTGTTTGTTTGTGTGTATGTGTTTGCTTACCTTCGCTGCATTTACTGATTTTGAGGCCGCCGCATATTGTTAATGGCCTTCTGCCCTACCATTCCTACCCGTCTACCAAATCCTCCAGCATCGTTGATGAGGCTTACGGAGGCCATCCAACAGTGGCACTCACTGCATTGCTGACCTTCACCCATTTAAAGGCACTTAACCATCGACAAGCCGACCGAAAGTTGAATGTCATCGCGTTGCTATTTTTGGATGGCTACATAAGGAAAAGTATAATTTATCAGTTCTTAAGGGTAAACTAAATTCAAGTCTTAACAGTAATGTTAGTTTGATATGGTTTCTGATGTGGATGGTAGTACTAAGGAGAGATGTAAATCTTAGTTAAACATTAAATATAAAATTTATGTTTGTTAAAAGCTTTTCGAAATGCGGCTTTATAAGTAAATGAGTAAAAAAATTTTCCTGTACGCTATCAAGCTAAATTTAAGGTTTTAAAAAGCCGAAAACAAGTCCAACTACAAGTCCAGTTTCATGACCAGATGCGCTACTACAGTTTAACCTTGGAGCAACGCTCTTCATATTCCACAAACAGTAAAAACCACACAATGCACAGGTGGAGGGGATGGACAGTTGAGCTCAGTTTAATTATAGAACGGGAGATTTGCATGCAGGGGAAGTGGTGAGGCTCCCGGGAATAACCATGACAACGGCCAGCTGCAACCAGGACCCTTTCGAGCTGCAATAAAGTACAGTTTTAGTCCGGTTCCGGATTTACGCTCAAGTGGTCGCTCGGAATGATTGATTTGCATTTATTAATCAAAATCATATCAAATTAAACTTCTATAAAAAGCAACGGACGCCAAAACAAATACGAATATATCACATAAAATGTATATATATACGATAAACGGGGAAAAAATAAATAGGAATGCCATTTCAGTTTTTATATATTATAGCCAATGGCAAATTTAATATCATCCGCGAGCAGGCAAAATTGCTGTCGTTAAAATATTTTACAACATCCTACAAAGATTGAAAACGAATCAAGCGAACATGCATGTGAGTGGGTGTGTGTGTGTGTTTATGGCTGTGGGTGTGAGTGGGGGTGGGCTTTTGGGAGGCGTGCCGTTTTTGGGGCAGTCCCCGATGTCATACCTAGATGTTGCAGCCTTAAAGTAAAACATGAAAATTCAAATATTGCCAGAGCCATATGAAAATTGCACGTTGTTTGTTTACATTGTATGGCGCTGGGAAAGGCAAACGGAAAAAGCGAAGCCAAAAAGATATATGTATATATATCGTTCATATCACGTTTGTAATTAGAGGCCATCAATTGAAAGATTGAAAGTGCCTGTCGCTTGGATGAATTGTGAGTCTTGAAAAACATGAAGGATTTGTGTGTTTACATTGAGGGGAATGCACTCACTGCCTTTGCCATATTTTATTATTTATAAACAAAACCCGGAATGAGGAAATGGCCCACAGAAATTCTTCTAACTGCTGCCAAAATCTACGCATTCAATAGATCCTTTAAGTCCTTGTAAGCTGGTCCAAAACAAAGTTTGCCACCTGGTTCAGTTTCGATGGCATTTAAAGCAATTAAAAAGTCACACACAAAGTACCCGCCCATATATACACACACACACAGCAAAGTTGAACGTAATTTAGCAACAAAGTGAATAACAATTTTAGTGACACCTCCTTCGGAGCAGAGGGGGCTCCCCTTTTTCCTTCGCTGACAGACAGCTGTTACATGGAAATGAGTTTGAATTTCATTTAAGCCATTGAAATGCCGCTGTTTGCTGTTACGTTGTTTTGCTTTTCAGTTTTTTCTTTTGGTTACTTTTGCAAGTTATTGAACCCGTAAAAGTTTTTAATTAAAATTCAAATTAGACAAATTAAATTGCCTGCTAGGTGGCCCCGATTGCCATTCGAAATGGAAAATGTATTTTTATGAGGAGATGTCCTGGGTACGTGCGTTAAATTTTAATTGATTTTTCCCAGCGAATTGTGGGTGTCTGTGAATGTATATATATATATATATATGTGTGTGTATCTGTGTACCTGCTTACGCGCAAAGTAAACGAAGCGAGATGTGAAAACAGAGATGTGGAGTACACAGAACAACAGACACAGATACACGGAAACACCAATACACTGGCAAGCCATTGCGAACTGGCAGACATTCAGGCGTGCGAATAAACGCACACACTCTCCCATGGCCATACATATACATATACACGCATACATTGAAACAAGCGAACAGGACTCGGCATTCGTATTCGTATTCGCATTCGCATTCGGTTCTCTCATTGAGAAGCTGGATGTGGATGTGTGCGGTGGGCGGTGGGCGGCGTTCGTTGAAAGGACAATTCAAGGAGGCAAACGAAAAACATTTTGCCTCGTCCTCTTCCCGCTGCTGCTGCTGCTGCTGCTGGTGTTGTTGTTCGTAGGCTGTTTATTGCCCAGCCTTCTTGTTGTTGCTGTTGTTATCCTGCTGATGCTGTGTATCTATGTAGAATTTATCGATTTATTTTGACTTCTCTTTATGTGCTCCGCCTTCCCTAATACATATAAGCAGGGGCGTACCAAGGGGAATCTATTTTTTAACAGTTTTACTAAGAAAAAGAAATGAATTTTTGTTTTTTTACGTTTGCTTAAAAGTAGGCAACACTTTTTTTAAAGGAGGGAATAAATTTAGCCTTGATATTACCTTCTTATTATATGAGAACTAACTATAGTTTTATCTTTCTTTTGATCCGAAATGAAGTCCTCTTTTCTTTCTTCCATAAATAAATCTATCTAAAATTGATTAACTCATTCCTTGCTATCTCAGATCCCCCTTAAAAACTCCCTTCTCCGTCCCTTTACTACAAGCGTATTATTTAATACGAGCCGAGCGATAAGGCTCCGAAAACTCGGTTAGCAGGCAGCCCACTTTAGGGCGCTTCTGGGTTGAGCGGTTGGGTATCCCTTCTGCCCTTTTCCTCCCTCTTCCCTTCTGCCCTTCTCCTTTTTCTGGTTGTTTTTTCTCGCTTTACTTTTTGCGCTTAATGCGGCAATTCTGACAACAGTCGAGCGGTGATGGGTGAAGTCAGGCGGAGGTGGAGCGGGAGGGAAGGCAAGTCGGCAACGACCCAAAGTCAAATTGAGTAAAACGCATTGAAAACTTAAGTAATTTCCCAAGAACGGCCCACAGTTCTTAAAAGCTTTTTTTTCAGCTTTGTTCTAAACGAGAAGCCCGAAGCAAGCGTTTCTGCCTCTTTTTTTTTATTACTATTTTCTGTTTCGCTTCTTCGGTCTTGTTATTGCAGATGGCCAAAGTTGTTGGCCAAGTAACAAAATGTGTTTTATATTGTAATAACGAAGAATGCACTGAAGTTGAAACTCGACAAGAAGGCGGGGGTGCAAACACAGAAAAGCACACACAAAAATTCATAAACTGTTTAATGAAGCGAAGCAATTACATAAAGCCAAAACCGAAGTGAAGAAGTGCAGCAAAGAAATGCTGAAAAGCGATAATAAAGCCAATTAGATTCTGAGAAACTCCAAAAGCAAAAATATTAAAACCAAAAAGTTATTTACAGCAATACTAAAACCATATTAAATTCCATTTTTCCCATTTTCCACAGTAAGATGTTTAGATGTAATCGAAAAAAGCGTGTCAAGCCGTCCTCTTTACAAAGAATCAACCCTAAACTAAAGTAAACTACGACTTTTTAAAGTTATAAACCTTAAAAAGGACTAACGAATCGCGCTGGTAGAATAGCAGAACAAGGCGTGACTTTTGTGTGTGTGTGTGAGTGAGTGTACATAAAGACGGAAAGCATGTGAAACTGGGGAGCAAAAATGGCCTCCCTTTTGCCTCTGGCCCACCTTTTTGTGTCCGTGCGTGTGAAATAAAACAAAAAAAAAAAAAAAAAGAAACGAAAAATAAAAAGGGAAAAAAGCGACAACTACTACAATCAGCGGCAATGGAATAGCGATTCAATGTCACAGTCAGCGAGCAGCATCTATGTGCAGAGTAACAGATACAGATACAGATACTGGCGCCCTTATACATATACTACCCATACCCACACATATGTATACCGCTCACGTATGTAGAGAAAAGCCATAGCCGCAGATTAGTGAGCCAGTTTCAAGGGGCCGAGAACGAAAGAAAAGCGAAGACGACAACGACGACGACAATCAACATTCATCATACGCACCGTGGGACGCGGCGCAAAACGCAAATGCAGCCCCCGATCGATCGGTAAGCCAAAAAGCTAATAAAACAAAAACCAATTCCCTCGTGAAAAGGTACTCTTTCGTGGACCCTCTCTTTCTCTCTCAATATCTATCTCTCTCCACACCTTTTTCAAGTTTGTTTTGGACTTTTTCTTTTTCTTTGATTTGATTGGTGTTTTCCTTTTGTTTTTGTACTAACCATGACTAACGAAAACGTAGATAAAGTACATACAAAAAGATTATAAAGTAATTGGCCAGTTATTATTATTTAATGCCTTTTTTATGTGACAAAAAGTAAATTTTTGATATTTTCTTTAAACTTTAAAGTTAATTTGACACCTGGAACTAATTTTGAATAGATTTTCCCAGAAGTCTTTTTGAATATCTTTGAAAACATGCCTAAACATTAGTGGTTTTATATATAAACCACTGATTTTTTCAAGAAAGTATACTAGAATGTTGGCAATAAAAAGAGTTTTGTGAAAAACTCAGTTTAGAGAACATAAACTGCCTTTTTGGCTATTAGTAAATTACCAATTAAGCACTTTCGATTAGCCCTTAACTAAGCTGAATGTTGTGCTATGTGATGATCGCTTTGGTAATGATGATGATGTGACTACTCTTCCCGTGATAAATGTTCCAATTTATTTATGGCTGGCATTAACAAGCATCTGAAATATGTGCTGACACGAAAAACACTCGCACACCCTAGCACACCCACATAAAAGCGGTATTGGCACTGAGCTTTGCGACAAATTCACGCGGCGGAAACGTGCTGCCAACAAAGCAAAACTCGGTGTACCCTGGCACTGACAACAACACCAACAATAACAATACATACTAATAATAATAATAATAATAATAACAAGAAAAACATAAGCATCACCATCGACATCGACACCATCAACAATAACAACAAGAACAGGAACATGAACAGCAACCACTCTTCTGTGTTCAAAGTTCAATGACGTTGGCACCGTCATCCAAGCAATTTGTGTTTCCAACTAATGGAAAATTTTTCACTTTTTTTGTGGCTTCAATTTCAGCAGAATTCCATGAGAATTCCATTTCCAACAAATTTTATTCCAAGAACAGGCTTGAAATTACATTTTTTTGTTGGGAAACTTTGAGTTTATTTTGGGTGAATATGTTGGTCAAAGAAGCTTTGCATTGTTTGAGTAATTGGGAAGGTTTTAAGTAATAGATGGTGGTTTCAGTATTAAAAACGAAACTGTTTTTTATACTAAATATTTACTACAAACAATGCATTTTCATATTCTGTTCATAATCATTATAGAAATCTTTCTTAGTAGCAGGCAATTGGCTAAATTAACACATTTTTAAATCTTTAGAGCCTAATACTTAATTCTAAAAATAGTAAGTTTATTTGGAAAACATTCATTCATTAGGAAATCTTTCATCATCATTATAAGACTGACATAAAACGGGAATAATAAACTTATTTTATGATCTGCTTTAAGCACATTATTTTCTTTTCAATTTATTTCACTTATTGATGTGAAAAAGCAATTATTTTTCACAACATGACAGAGAATATTCCGACGATAGATTTCTTTATATGCCCAGTAACCGGTGCTGGCACTTTTTCAGACAAAAATATGCTTTCTTAAGCTGAAAAAATTTTAGAATCTCACTCAGAAATATATTATTTCTTATGGAAAATATAAAAGAAATTCAAATTTTTGAACTAAACAATGTTTTTACATTATTGAAAAACACTTTTTGGATTCCAAAACTAGTAAAATATTTCAAACTAAAAAAATATGACAAATATATACAGTACAAAAATGTCATTCTAATTTTTTAAGTTAAAAAATCGGTATTTTCCTCCTAGCAAGCCTGAAAATGGTCCAAATATGGAATGTTATACCTCCCCGAGCTGGAAATTTAATCTATTTTAAGTTTTAATGGATGTGCATCCAAAAATTGAAAATTTAATTTTTGGTCATTTTTGGAAAAAAAGACGATGGTACCCCTTACAAAAAAACCAAAAATTGGTTAAAAATTTACTTCTCAAAATCAGCCGGGAAGTTAAATAGGATGAAAGTTGGGTTCGTTAGCTGCGCAAAACTGTCTTTGTTTTAGCTGTCTGCCTTGATTTGTTTATTTTATGGGCTAAAAACCGAAAAAAAAACATCTATATTATAAAAAAATGTATTCTCATTTTTCTAGTTTAAAAACTCAGTATATTCCTTCTAGTAACCCTGAAAATGGTCCATAAATGAAATGTTATACTTCCCCGAGCTGGAAATTTAATCTATTTTAAGTTTTAATCAATGTGCATCTAAAAAAAGAAAATTTAATTTTTGGCCATTTTTGGAAAAAAAGACGGTGGTACCCCTTACAAAAAATGCAAAAATAGGCCAAAAATTGTTTTTCTAATTTCAGGCGGACAGTCAAATAGGTCGTTAGTTGGGTTCGTTAGCTGCTCAAAACTGTCTTCCTTTTAGCTGTACAACTTGTTTTGACAATTTTATGGGTTAAAACCCCCAAAAAATATAACGAATATTGTAAAAAATTTTATTCAGATGTTTCTAGTTTAAAAAAAAGCATTTTCCTCCTGATAACCTTAAAAATGGACCAAATGTTGAATGTTATATATCCCCGAGTTCGAAATTTAAAATATTTTAAGTTTTAATGAATGTGCATCCAAAAATTGAAAATTTAATTTTTAGCCTTTTTTTGAAAAAAAGACGATGGTACCCCTTATAAAAAATGCAAAATTTTCTCAAAAATTATTTTTCCAATTTCGGGTTGACAGTCAAATAGGTCGTTAGTTGGGGTCGTTAGCTGCTAAAAACTGTTTTCCTTTTAGCTGTATGTCTTCTTTTGTCTAATTTATAGGCTAAAAACCAAAAAAAATGTAGAGAATATTGTAAAAAATGTTTTTTCTGATTTTTCTAGTTTAAAGAATAAGCAGTTTCCTCCTGATAAGCTTAAAAATGGTCCAAATATGGAATGTTATACCTCCCTGAGCTGGAAATTTAATCTATTTTAAGTTTTTATGGATGTGCATCCAAAAATTGAAAATTTAATTTTTGGCCATTTTTGAAAAAAAATGACGATGGTACCCCTTACAAAAAATGCAAAAATTGGCCAAAAATTGTTTTTTCAATTTCAGGCTGACAGTCAAATAGGTCGTTAGTTGGGGTCGTTAGCTGCTCAAAACTGTCTTCCTTTTAGCTGTATGTCTTGTTTTGACTAATTTATAGGCTAAAAACCGAAAAAAACACAGCTAATATTGTATAAAATGTTATTCTGATTTTCTAGTGTAAAAAAAAGGAGTATTTTCCTCCTGAAAATGACCCAAACATGGAATGTTATACCACCCTGAACTCGAAATTTAATCTATAATCAATTACATATTCTATCCTTTTGTTTTGAGAGTAGTAAATGGCTTTGGCAAGAACTCTGAATGTGAATGTGTGTTGATATGTATTGGAAAAGTAGACCATGAGACTATGAGACCATGAGATTAAAGCTGTAAATCCGATTAAGGATCAAAGCTATCAACACGATTTTTTGATTTAAATTAAACCTAGTTGGCGTTAAAAATATAATATAAGACGTATTTATTTATCCATCACACGTCACTAAAGGTAAGGAAGAATATTTAAGTGTAAACTTCTAAGATTGTCTTTCAATTTAAGACAAAACTTATCGTGGTTATCAAAAGGAGAGTTTGACGTGAGTAAATTAGCTATTAAAATGCAATTAGTGTGGGAAGAACTTTCAATTTTCTAATTAAATTACCTCCAAATATTATTTTTAATACTTTTTAAAAAAATATACATTTTGTTACCTGCAGTCAGCACTGTTAGTAACCCCCACCTCTCGTCCCATCACGGCGATTCCCTTCAGTGACCAATGGCTGCCAGTCAAAATTTATGACTAAAGCGAAATAATAGACAATTGACGTCACCGTAAAATAGGTATAGGAATTTCTTATTTATTTATTATATTTTTTTATTTGGCTTTTACGTGAATGACTTAATATAGTATATGGCGTATGCGGTAATACTTTCCTCGTTGCGTCAAGGGGAAATAAAAACGGCAAAAAAATTCAACGAGAAGTGAACGATCTTCGCCGAAATGACTTATGGAGGACGTAGTGTTGATCTATTGCTGATAAAGTGAAAGTCAAGTTATGTTAGAAATGTAATTATTCATGTCGCCTTGCGAGACAAACGAACAAACAAAAAACAGCAAACAAAACGAAAGAATCTTGAATTTTTTCGAAGAACATGCTAGCTCGCTCGGAATGTCAATGGGCCGGGGGCAGGCGGCAGGGTCTTTTTGGAAAATATCTAGTAGTATTTAGTATTTGGTTTAGCTTCGCCTTTGCGTCTGGCGTCCCGGCAGTTGATGGTCGTCGCGTCATTTATCTGTCAGCGTTTGGCTCAGCATGATGAACTATTAATTTCTGGTTGCCGAGGCAAGTATTTATTTTCGTCAACAGCGGCACGTGTGCCGCGAACATCAACTTGGATTCAGAATTCGATTTCGCTGCCCTAAACTCTCTGCTGTGCCCTTGTTTGTTGCGTGCTGGGCGCATAAAAAATAATTTGAATAAATTCTCAACGAAGAGTGACAAATCCGTATACAGTTCTGCAGCAGTAAAATATGTGGAAATACAAAATATTTGTGGAATATTTATCAGACATTTGAATAAAAGCAGCAAATCACAATATTCTGTTGCATTTCAATGCAACTGCAGAATGCAGAATGTATATATATGTAATCCGATTTACAGGACACCGAATTTATGCCTCACATTTCAATGAGACCACAAATTCATTAATTATAATCTGATGCAAATGCGAATTTGCAAAGGCCTTGAATTATTCGTTGGGGCATAATATCTGAGGGCTCTAACTGATTGAATTCTCTGCCTGATTAAATTGCATTCGATTGTGTTTCTGTTTTAGTATAATTCGATGCATGTTATTTGTGAGTTATGCAGTGGATGGATGTTCTGTGAAGGGCCAAATAGGCTGCAACATT